CCATGCGCTGTATACGAAGTATTTCCTACAAGTATTGAGAGAGTGTCGTGTGAGATTTGAAATTCAAATGATTACTGTTATGGTCTGTATCACTTCCATTTCAAATTATGGAGATATTGGTCTCATATCATTTGAGTAAATTAATGTTCCCCTCATTTCAAATCTGCCTATTTTCGCAATCTGTTTTACATATAGTGTGGACCCCGGCCAGCTTCTCATAGCTACCTGCGCAACGCACCCGCAACGCACGCCTTCAGTGCGCCTCCTGTCCTAGCTTCTGATGGAAATCCTCCTTTCTCTCTCTTTTTTTTTGTTTTTTACTACGTTCTCTTTATTTCAGGTATAAACAATTCGCAATGACCGGTGACGAGATTTCACGTGTCTAATAGTTCTAAGAGCTTCAGCCTTGTGTAGAAGTCTTGTGTTTTCCCTTTTTTCTCTGAAAAATTGAGATTTGATTGGATATTAAGATAATATTCCTTCAAAAGCTTCTTGTATAAAATAAGAGTCCCCTTTGGTTTGATGTGTAAGGTGCGTAAGGTGTAGACAGTGTCTCAAGTCAAATTGAGCCTCCCGAGATGCCAATAGGCATTTGTTTACTGAAATGTCCACTTTTTTGAAATTTTTAACCACTCTAATTTCTACGTCTACGAAGAGAAATGTTTTGAGAATGCTGTTGTTCTTTGATTTTTCTACGTATATTTATTACAACCCATCCATTAGTGCAAGTTCGGAATATGCATCCATTGATTGAATTTGAGGTACTCAAGGAAGCTGCCTGCGTTTCGTTCTTGCATACGTCTTTTTCGAGGTGAACCTAGAGGTTTCCACTTTACATTTTTCTCCTTTGTGAGCATAAATGTGCTCTACTGCTCATGAATGAGACGAGAAGCATTAAGAAGTGCGCGCGCTGCGTGCGTGCAGCGGAAGTATCTATGGGAACATGGCCGGGGTCCATACCATAGTTACTCTAAGGCCCCGGGCAGACTTCACGCGATTTGATCGTCGCGACTGAATCGCGAGGAGACAACTGTTACAACATCATTTCATGCAGATCAACTTGCATTCGGTTGTGATACTTTTCCAGACCGAAATTTTTGAATGTGAAATGAAAATGAATGGAAATCTTGGCGATTTGGTCGCGACGATTAAGTCGCGTGAAGTCTGACCGGGGCCTAATACTGCTGTATTCCAGAACAGTCTAAATTCATTCTTCAATCCTAGTGGCGCACTGAAATGGTGAATTGTTGGTCGAACAGGAGATTTTGGCCTGTTGTGTGTGAATTGTCTTAGTAGCATCTTAGCTCAGCCATTGCGCCTTTGTAACTTAGCAGTCTCCAACTGTGATGGGAAAGATGCTGTAAACTCTTCCGAATTTCCGATCGTTTGGGTAACCTTAACGCCGGTATTAATATTAAATCCATGCCAAACACTTATAATTCGCCGTTGCGATCCCCATTCGTCTAAATCGGAATCAGACCGAACCGTTTGCGTGAATTTGCGCGATTACAGCGCCAGAGGTTGCGCTGAACTGCGCATTGGAGACAGGGCTCGGCACGAGCTGCACCAGGAAAATTTCAAAACGAAGTCTCCTCTGATCTTGAAAAATTACGGAGTCTCGTTTGACCCTAAACCTTAAACGTAAAAAAAAACTCAAAAAAACGTAAAAAAATCTCAAAAAAAACAAAACTTCGGGAAAAAACGTCGCAATTTCTATAAAAAGGATATCGTTTTCGTGGTCTTTTCGGCCACGAAAACGATATCCTTTTTACTTTTTGTCCCAGGAACAATATCCTTGACCCAGTTCCAGCTGTGCCGAGCCCTGACTGAAGAAGACCAAGAGATTGAAGAGAGAGCAGACAGGCAAGCCGTAGCTGCGATGCAAAATCGCGGCGATGCGGGCACGTCAGGCAATTTTGGCCTGGATGATTCCAGATTCGGACAGAGTGTACCTATGTAATTTTACTACTGTATCTGGTAGAGTTGTTTGTAGAGTGTTTTTGATATTCGTAAGGACGCTAACCTTATTGTTTGCAATGACAATTTGCCAAGTTTCCTGCAGGATTGCAAGCGTGAGTCCTTCTATGGCAGTCCCAAATAGGATCAAGGGTTAGCATTCAAGCTTTTGCGCCCCTTACACAAAGCTGTTCATCGCTAAGGGCCTGACAGCAGGATGGGAACATCCTGTTGCAAAACAACGCGTAAAACTCAAGCTGCAGCAGTCAAAGACAGCAACTATTGAGACCTCGTTCAAACAGTTCTTGGCATATTGGCTGAACCTGTTGTGTCAGCACATCAGCCTTGCTTGCAACTAGCTACTCCTATACATGCAGAGAAATATTTGTAGAATATGGACAGAATGCGAAAAGTACAGTTGCCGAAATCGCCATTTTCTCCACTTAAGAAAATTTTGCTTTGAGAAGTTATAAAGTAAAGATCATTAGGATCGCTTCGAAAGTAAAAAGCAGGTTCTATAAAGCGATTTTGGCTCTAATACAGGTTTTTGGCCGTAAACCAAATGTTTCACCAGAAAACGACGACAAAAATGACGCCACGAACTTATGGAACGACCTAATAGTACATTTGAAAGCAAGTTAAGCTCTCTTAAGCCGTAGGCTTCCAGAAAATGTTGGTTCTTGGTCTAGTAAATCCTTCCCGAAGCAGCCACAATTCAACACTCTCGTGTATCTCCTCACGTTGCGTCAAACTTTTATTTTTGGTGTACTCGTTTTGTTCTAGTTACTAACACAGTTTCATCAGCATCTCAGTCCGAGTCTTTTTCGTTCAGCTATCTAGTAGTCAATTGTACAGCTTGCTATTTCAACAAATGGATTCAATGAGAATCGTTCCACCTTTGGGGTCATTGGGCCTCCCCAGCATTCCGGCTAGGTTGGGTTATGGTTATTATACCTGAGCCAGTAGACCTGCTTTATAAGCCGCCGGATTGCTTTTAAGAGTAACTAAAGATCGTTCCGCTGGCAACGAGGGGGCATGCGTCCCATCTCCATGGATTCAAAGTTTTGGAGTTATAAATTTCATGCCTACATCTGCATACTTATCTATTAGCCTACCAACATATTCAGTGCAAGCTGTTTTATCTTCTCACATTAGTCTGATTAGGATCAGACTCGGACTGACATGATGATGTCTGCATTTGTTTACATGTCTTGTTCGTTTCCGCTGTATTACTAACTTCTTGATGTGTCTTTTTTATGGAACGCCTTGAGCGTATAAATGAAATGAAATGAAAAGCATGCATTGTGAAATCAAAGGTTTGCTGTTTGCAATAGTTTTTAGTGCACTCAACTAGATGGTTTTGGAAAAGAATCATCTTGATTTGAATTTCAGAAACGTGCGTTAATTATGAGACAACCCAATATTTGAACGTAACTTTTCATTGGCCTTCCAGAAACAAGCTTCCGATTGGCATTCATATTATATTTCAAGTTAGGTTTGCAAAGAGCACTGAAGTGCCGCCAGCCGACCCAAAAATATGACAAAATTTCTGACAAGGCAGAGTATGAGTTACTGCGGCTGGCTTCAATCTCGCACGCAAATACAAGCACAAAACTTTATGAAAGTGTCATTTTACAGAAAAAAGACCTTTAAGATTAGGCCCAAAAAACGTCACAGTACTTTGAGCAAGCAATATATTAAAATTCTCTTGAGCAGTTTTTGGAAAACATTGGGATGTTTTTCGGTGCAGGATAACGTTTTTGAAAAAAATTTGGGTACTTTTCCGTTATCCGGACCCATTTTTTCAAAGAAGCATATTGCTTCTTCCCTCGTACCATATTTGGTCCCGACTTCATAGAAAGGAGTGTCAACCTTCTGCCACGTGTCAAAAAAATTTGACATGTCATTTGCTTGTTTAACAGGTTTAACCAAGAGTTTGAGTTGCCCTACCTAGCGACGTAAGTTCAATCTCATTATTAGTCAATAGTGACCCCATTTTCCCATTAAACTATCAAAAATGAGCATTGTTATCATAATAACGTCATTCTGTTACTAATTAAACAGATTAGGCTTGTCAAGAGTAGAGAAGTGGACTAGGATCCCCTCATCTAAATGACAAAACATGCAATAGCAAGGAACTTTAAGCCATCATTTATAGTCTCATCTGGCTAAATTCGCAAGAGGAAAAGTTTGAAGGAAAGGACAATGCTGAATTGTTGCTGAAAGCAAGATGTTCTGATATAAATTTCAAATTGTTTTGCTCTCAGACAAACCAATCAAACAGCTTCTAGGTGATCACAAATGCTCTTTTACCTCACCGGAAGTGATTTTGAAAAAAACATGTCAAAATGGACCAAAACGTGTTAAAATTTTTCTGACACGTGGCAGGAAGGCAGTCCTCGTGGAATCCATAAGAAAAAATTGTTCTTAGACTGAAGAACGTATTTTATGAGAGCTTTTTGAAAAAATGGGTCCGGATAACGGAAAAGTACCAAAATTTGTTTTTGCAGAATCCATGTTCGACTATCCATAAATCTTGGCATAGTTTGAATCTTCTGATTGATTTCTTTAGCAGCGTCCAAGATTGGTACAGAGATTCATTCCACAATAAACAGACTGCGTTTCGGCAAACTCGCCTTCTTCAGAGTCTGAAAAGTCGAAAACACATAAGTGAACTATCCGATCAAATACCTTATCGACTACAGAAAAGAGCCCAACCCTCTAGACAAGCAACAGTATCAATCAAAACGCAAGACTAAGGTAGTGCTCACCCTAGCAGATAATAGATATGATCTTGGACTACTGCTAGGAAAATTTCACAGGTTTTCGCCAGCTAACATCTCTCTCACATTCTTACGATCATACTCGAAATTACAATATCTAAAAATCAGAAGCGGATTTCTCTAAAGCTAAAGCTCTCTAAAGCTAAATAAAAATTGAAAGTAGATAATCGTCGTAAGGCGCAAACTCAAAGCACCACATCTTGGCTTCAAGATAGTATTCTTATTCCATCAAAATGTTTTCTGGATAGCTATAGTTCAGCAGCACCCGCCAAGCCAAATTCCTTCTTTAAAGATGGATAGCGACATCATGGTAGTTATTGGTTACATTTTCGGTCTATCATTCTTTTTTCCACAAAGCTTTGGATATTCTTGGCGGACGGGGACGAAGACGGAAGAAAATAATCTCAATGAACTATCAGAAGCAAGGATGCGTTGGAGCAGCCTCATAAGAATAGCAATCGGGAGAGCACTGTGAGTGAGCACTGCCAAAATAAAGCAGCACTTCTAAACTGAATTTTTGCGGCATAGGTAGTCGCACCTACCACCTCTACCCCAAAAAACGTTGCTCCTCCCGTCAAATGTGATTTTTTGTCATACATGATCATTGTCGTGAATAATTAATAAATTTCAGAAGAAGCGTGTCATGACTGCAGCCAGCAACAACACAAAGAAAATGATAGAGGGGCTGAGTGTGTTGAAATCAAAGACATCTACAAAGCTTACGCGATAACATTCTGCCCTCATTTGTGTCTTTTGTTGAGTATTGTTTCATGTCCATGTGCGATACGCAAATGTCGAGCCATTTTTCAAGATCCTGTAGTTGCTGATTTTTGTAACTTTGCTTGTAAAGACTACTCAATAGTATGTTGTCTGGATTTAGCATCAAATTTTGAGACATTCAATGGTTTTTAGGGTAAAAAAAGACAGACGTGAGAGAGGAGACCAATGACATAAGGTGAAGGAAGGAAGGGGCGTGAGAGAGGACACAGAGGATGCAGAAAAGCGTTATTAAGAAAACCGTTAATAAGAGCGTAAGCTACGTGTTTTGAACGCGCTCGGGACACTATGGTGTCCCCGAGGTGTCCTGATTTGGTCCCGACATTGACTTCGTGAGTCGCGCAGGAATTCCATGATTACCCCTCGTTTTGTCCTGCGCTAGTCAACTACGAACGTCCGAGAGGCCTGCGCCAAACGAATTCGTCCTATGTGTATTTAGAGACGAGAATTGGAAACAAAACATTTGTCCATTATAGCGTCACCGCTTGAGCTTATGACAACAAAATACAACCTAAAAGCCCACACGGATCTTTAGTTTGCTAGGTTTCTTCGCGCCATTGCTCATGCTCACTGCGCGGGTGCGGCTTTCAAGCTGCAAAATGTGGTGAGTGATATGACTGCTTAATTGCAAATCAAGTGGAGATCTTCGTTAGGTTCAGTGTATAGGCGATTCATAGCACGCAAAGACTTCGGACCTATCGGCGTCTATGATCGAACGCGGGGTCGGGGACCCGAAAAAATTTTGGGAAGCAGCCCCAAAATTTTTTCGGAGTGCGTGGCTAACGCCACGCACCTTCTTTAGAAAAAAATTTTCGTCGCGCCCCCCCCCCCCCGAGCCGAAATCCTAGGTACGCCACTGCTTACCATCTATTGTCTCTTCCATGCATGAACTTCTTGGCCGGACGCAAGGCGCCCAGTCTTTGCGCATCTGAATCGTGTATAGGTGTTTTACGATGTTTCTGTTTTCCTCTTGAATGAAATCAGACGTAACTCCATGACTTCTGTACCGTACTCCTAGCTCACAGAGTGTTGTCTGACCTCAGCAGAGATTTTTTCTTATATACAATACAAATAAGGGTTGACTCGAAGTTGATGAAGTAGTAGTCACTCATTTTGAAACTCATCCGAGGGAGGGTGATAATAACACGCCTAGTAGTAGTAATAGCAAATGAGTAGTTGTACACTACTAATGACGCTATTTTTCTGCTGCCATTGATGTCCTCACTCTACCACTAACGCACACTGTGTATTCAGATTATATGTTCACATCTTTGTTATCTAACATATAAAAATCGTAAGGTGCATTCAAAAATCTCCAAATAGCGGGAAACCGGGGGGTCCCGAAGCGGGCTCGCCCGCTAGACCTTTGAGATTACTGGTTCACGTCGTATTTAATGTTTGTTATGTAAAGGTACTGTAAAAGGCTCGCACGTATTTAGTAACCTCTTCGACTATGAAGTAGAGTGTGTTTGGCGCATGCCCATAGTTTTGAAGACGCCGAATCCTTTATCCTTTAGTAGAGGGAAAAGAACCGACGTACAGTATTTGGCCAAACTTCCAAAGGCCGAAAGTTAATGTGCTCCAAACAAGATTCGCACTAGAGCGCCAATCTTGTTCGGAGCACCTTATTTCCGGCTTATTTTCTGTCGGCTATTCTATTAAGATAAAAATAACAATTTCTTTTATCGTTTCACACTAGAAAGTCAGGTTTTCTCGAAAAGGTTTGAAATCGCTTTTTGCTTTAGTTTCTTATGTACCTGGGGTGATTTTTCATGGAGATTCCGAATATAGTTTGCATTTTGCGATATCATCGTTACGGTATTAGAGTAATCTTCAACTACAGAAGAGATTATTGATAGAGAGTGATATCGAAACAAAGAAAGAAGATAACTGATCATGAATCCGTTAGACATAACCCCGATATCATCCCATATGTCTTCCCTCAACATGACGTGGATTACGTGGCTTGATGAGGCGCCGCCTCGCCTCGGGCTTGCGCCACGTTGCGTGCGCATTTTCGGCGTGATGTGGCAACAAGAAGAACGTGGAAAAGCCTGCGCCACGTTGTGTTGAGCGCCACGTCGCGCCAAATGATGCGCTCGCAACGTGGCGCGAGCCCGAGGTAAGGCGGCGCCTCATCAAGCCACGTAATCCACGTCATGTTGAGGGAAGACATATAGGATGATATCGAGGGTATGTACCTTAGTGCAGCACAGAGTGGGAAGTGATATGACTAACCGATTTCCTACACCATCTTTAAGAAGTTACTCATGTACAGATCTTCTGATATTGGAATGAAAAATATTTGTACGGAAACAATACGATAACATAAAACACCGAGCGAACAACAAAAGAGCAATCAAGTGAATGTCAATGAAACTTAAACATAGAACACAAACATAAACAGAAATTGAAGATGGTTCAACAAACAAATCAGCGTATCCGAGAAAAAAATACCCCTCGAAAGTTTGATTGCGAGAGTTACTAACTTCTTTCAAACTCCTAGAATGTAATCATAAACCACAGAAGAACATCAAAAAGTAAAAAACAAAGACCAAATAAGCAAGTTAAGCAAAATGCAACTGAAAGAGGCAAAGTCGGCGAGTAGTTACTAAGGATAGTGAAAAAAAAAAGTATTGAAAGCAGTATGCGAATCACCATGAAAAATAAGCCTAGGCACATAAGAAATTAAAACGGAAAGCGATTTCAAGACTTTCCGAAAACATCACTTTTCTAGTACTAAATAGTAATGAAAATAGTGGAAATGAAAGAAGAAATTGTTACTTTTATCTTAATAAAATAGCCGGCAGAAAATAAGCCGGAAATAAGGTGCTCCGAATAAGATTGGCGCTCTAGTGCGAATCTTGTTTGGAGCACATTAACTTTCGGCCTTTGGAAGTTTAGCCAAATACTGTACGTCAAAAGAACCGTTAACACAAATTTCAACTTATCGCAGAAGCCCGCATGGCAACGAAACCACAGTACAGGTAACTTAACCTACCAAAAAATCTACGCAATATGCATGGCGCATATTACATATTGCATATTACAACTTCTAAACACATTAAGAGAGCCGGATCTAAAAAGAAGCGAAATTTCAATATAGCTGTCAAGAATTGGCTTCTATTCAAAACTCACACTGCTGAAGAGCTAATGTTTATCTGCAACTAGTAACAAAATGTATACAAAAATTCAATACAATGTAAACAAGGAGATCACAACTACGAAATGTATAAGAAATGTACTGTCGTTCTAATGAGATACGTTGTGTACACAAAATCAAGATTGCATATTGATAGTGCCAAACTTGTAAACAGCTTTGAATGCAACAGATCGTCAATGTCTTGCATTGGATAACAGCCCAAAAGCATAACACGTTGTTTTGCAATGAGGTAGTGGTTTGCAACACGACACTATCTCAAAATGGTTCCCGTTCTCGAAGTTTTAAAAACTTCTATACGGCAAGACATTTGCGAACCGCAGCAAGTTCTGAGAACAATATACATACATAAACCGGAAAAGTTGCGAATGTCCAGAGTGTGTCTTACCATGAGATGAACCACAAATAAACAATTTTTAGCAATAGATGAGAACAGAAATGAATCAAATGAGGCAGTGTGAATAAATTTTGTGAATGGCGAAAAAAAGGAAACTTGTCGTTTTCATTTTGTTGCGAGGCACTGCTTGATTTTGCTCTTCAAAAAGTCGATTCGAGTGCTGATGTTTGTGCCAGGGAATCTTTCAATCACCGCTTGACACATCTGCTTCATGCTAACCTAAAATGCGAGTAAATGAAAAATCGCTCCCATAAAATAAACTTTTTTTTTTGCAATCCCTTGGCAAAGCGTGCGTTCATGAACTGCTCGAGGATAATTTTTCATACCTGTGCCAGATCGAACGTAGCAAGTAGTTCTTCAATAACAGTCTCCAGCTCTTTCTCGGAAGGGTTGTTCTGAAAAGTGATAATCTGAACTTACTGTATCACATACGATAACATACTTCTTGTGCTGCTTCTTCTGAAGTGTTGGAGCTAGTATCGTCATCGCTGGCCTAAATAATCAAATGAGCAAAAACAATCAAAAAAATGTGGAAAAAGTAGATACTATTTTTGAAGGTTTCCTCGAGGTTTTCTTCACAGCTTCAGTATCAGCATCCGACTCTTTCGAAGCATCTTTTGTCGGTTCCTTTTTCTGTAAATAAAGATAAACCCAGATACTGATTTAGCAGACGCTGAATCTTCGTGGTGGATTACTTGAGTTTTGTGCTTATGTAAAAAGACATACAATGACGTTCAAATGGACTTTCACCTTTCTTGGCGCCTTAGCGGTAGACGGTGTCTTCGGAGTTTTAGGAGTTTTCTTCTCTTTTTCTGCTCCTTTCTTTTTCTTTTCTTCCTCTTCTTTCGTCTCAACCTCATCCTCTTCATCATCTTCGTCGTCAACGACCTGCACAACAAGCTGTAGATGATAAACAAGTAAGGAAGGTACTCTACACGAACTTCATCTGACGTTTTCGATGTCTTTGCCTTCTTCGTTGACTTGGGAGTTTTCGCTGTAGACTTGCGCTTTTTGCCGGGAACTTTGCGTTCATGGTCAACTGGTTTCATTATAAAGACCATAATTGTAGTAACCTAAAAAAATTCTATCAGCCAAATCTTCCATTCAGTGGTGCGATACTCACCATGGCATCTTTTGTGCCACCTCCACTGTGAACGCCCAGTACATTTTTTATCATTCTGAGCTTGTCCATGGTCAGTTTTTGCAAAAAAGCAACCTTCTGCTTGAACTCTGGGGAGTTCTCCTCAAAGGCGAACCTATAAAGAAGAAAGGGACGATTGATGGTGCTCTCACGAAAAAATGTACTATAAGTCAAGGAACGAGCCAAATCTATTATGAGAACACCGAGAAATTGGTAGTAATAATAACAGCAATATAATAACAATGATAATGTACATACCCGGTGAATTTGCGGATGTCTCTCCTGAGAACTGACGCCTTTCCGACATGACCGTAAATTAGACGGTGGATGTATTGTAGGTCATCCGCGCTGTGTTTCCTCAGTTGATCTTCGACTAAATCAGGAGTCGTAGACGTACAAAGGACAGAAAAAATGCACTACACTCCCGTTATCCGTACCTACTCTTTCATATATATCATGGACGCGTGTTGAAGGGATTTTTTCTTTTTATTTTGCGCAAATCTGCCTTTCACGTCACCAAAATTTATTTATCCTACAGTGCCGTCATAATATTGACCAAAATGTTACGAGGGAATCATCTGAGTTGGCTAAAGATCATTATCTCAAGAAATGGGTCCGGATAACGGTTTCTCTGAGGTGGCTCAGCATTCTGTAGTTTTACTAAAGAAAAAAAAACTCACTATAAGCAATCTCTCCTAATGGTACTCCATTACCCATTTTCATTTCGGTGGGGGTTTTTTTGACAGTGGGGGTACCTATGGAGATACGTTCGACCTTGTGGCGCTCACGCTTGCCTTCGACCTCCAGTGGTAAATCAAAAAGGCCTGCAAATATATATTTGGAGAAACCAACGTTGTTAAGTACAGATACGCACCTTTCTTCTTCTCATGTTCTTCATCTTCCTGCTCCTCTTCCTGTTCGGTAGCATCAGCGGCCTCTTGCTCCACCTTCTTCTTTGTATCTTTCTTCTTTGGTGACTCCTTCACGGGAGACTCTTTCGTAGGAGTTGAATTCTGTTTCTCTTCTTTTTTTGCAGGGGACTCTTTCGTGGTTTCTTCATCCACTGAATCCGCGCCCTCGGGCTTGCCCGTCATCTGAGAACCAATAAATGCTAGATCAGTGAGAAGTTTCTTTGTTAATAGAACGTCACCCCAGTTTTAGGTTCCAAAAGTTCATTTTCTACTTGCTCCGTTTCCTTGGTCTCTTCCTCATTAACAGGCATATCCTCTATAATCTTCTCATCACTCGTGTTCGCGTTCGATTCTGATTTTTTCGGGCTTTCCATTTCTACTACCATACCCTAAAGTAGCGACTGTTTAATAAGTAAGCGTATTATTGTCAGCATTGCAGTTGCTCAGACACAAAATCAAGCGAGAGTTCTATGCCCATGCAAGAATTTTAAAATGTTTGCTGGAGATAGTCAAGGCGTGGTATCTACTTGAATGTGAAACATCAGACTACACTAGGTACCGCCTTAATTTCAAATGGCATGATTAGGTGATTATATTCAAATGCATGTATAGGATCTGTACTTGGACTTTTGAATGGAAATTTATGAATGAACTGTGCAAGGTAGGCGACATAGTTCGATAGCTTAGTGGTCGACCTAGTAAATATGTAAAATCCTAAAAGGTCAGTAGGTACAGATAGAAGCTCGCATCGTTTATTGTCATATAGTGATGGTCACGTAAAACTCCGACCAATAAGTAGTTCGGAAAGGAAAATTATGCCAGATAAAGTGCCGAAAAGAGCTTATAAAACATTGTTTTTCTCCTCTGTTCTGGACACGGTACTGGACGAACTCTTCCCCCTCCCCCATCAATGAGATCATGAATACAGCTATGATTCATAACATGAAAAAACAATATTTAGAGAATTATGTGAAAGAAAACAGCAACCTACTTTGCTATCGTTGTCGCCGGCAAGGATATTATCAGACTTTATTTGTAAAGCCATAGAAATAAGCAGATGATTTCGATGCGAATGAGCAGCGTGGCCTTGTACAAGCAAACGCCAAAATTTGGCGCGCAAATTCGCCTAATTATCGCGGAAGGCGACCCGGGTCACTTCTCAGTGCTTCAGCGCTCAAGTCAAGCGGCAAGGCGTCAACGGAGAACCGTATGTAGATACATGGGATGCGTACCAATCGGCAACAGAGGTAAAAATCCGAGTTCTTCAAATCCAACATGTTTTCACGGGACTGCACATAGTACCGAAACGCTTCTTCCCGCGCATTTCTACATTTCTAGTGCCAGAACTTCGACAAATGTTTCAACAATTATTACTACTAACTCGTATGGAAGATGTCCTGTTAAGACTTGCAAAAACATTTTCCCGATATTTTTGGGAAGGAAACTGTTGTGGTTCTAGCGTAAACTGATTCAGACCCAAATCGATTAGAGCATCGAATTTCCTTCAGCGCGCTTATATCAAGATTGTATCGCTCTGAGTACTCGTCTTTCTTTGGCTCTATAGAAGAATATTCCAAAAGTTTAGTAGCAGCCATCGAAAAAGCAATATTACCGATATGTAGTGCTAACACTAATGTGAACAAGTGGTGAAGGGCACAATTAACCAGTTCGAGCTACTGCTTGAAGGAACAAACTTTCAGGACATAAACTGAGTATTGGTACCTATATATATACATTCTTGACCAGCTGCGCGCACAGCAAACATGTTGGCAACATGCAACAACATTGTTGGCAACATGCAGCAACATATTGACCGTAATGACTAACATGTTGGCAACATACAACAACATATTGCTCGTATAGCTAATATCTACTTCTGATATGTTTCCATGTTACCAACATGTTGGCATGCGTGCCGCAGCTTAGAGATGCAGAGCAAGGATAAACAGTCTTAGAAATGGACGATAGATATCATCTCATTCATTGCAATCGTGGTAAAACTTTATACTAGACGTAAACATAGATATGTGATAACATAACAGACAACGGAATCCAACCGAGGAAGGAATAGTCTAAGATGCATCAAATGTTTATTCACATCAAATCAACTGAGAAACAAGTACAACTAGTCTGATGGAGAGATAATTTATATATCAACAAGCTAAGCAGAAGGCGATTGTATAAACTCGTCTAGGAAAAGAATTCATTCCTAGATGAGCAAAGGCCGGATAGCACTTGCAGACACTCGCATGGAGTCACAATAATACAAGAGGAATATGCCATATTGGACTTCATATCGAAAATGGCGCTAATAACAACTCAAATATTGAGAAAGAAAAGAACTGCTCGAATAGCAAATTGAGAGTTTGGGGATAACGCAGTCCTGTAGGGTTCAAATCAAACGGTACATACATACAGATTTGTCCGATGGCTTAACCGGGATTCTCACTCTGATCATAAAATAGAGCAAAAACAGCTAATTGTATGCTTGACCCATTGCGAGAATTTCAATATACATCAACCGGCTTTCCTCATTATATAAAAACTCTGGACACGCTTTGGAGGGGTGAAAACAGACAAACAAACAAGGAAAGACAGACGTTCAGAGGACTGTGCAGCTCCATCCGCTGAAAAAACTCTTTTTTGGCTGGTTTTGGCCGCCAATGTTGACACGACCTGTAAAAAAGTTATAAGTTCACAATCGAAAAATGATCAAAAGATAGGAATCTTGCAAATAATAAATCAAGCAAAGAGAAGCAAAAGGTAACTCTTCGTCTTGCTAAACGTGACCCAATTATACCGATGGTGATCGACTTTCAAAGTTCTTTCAAGCAATATCTCCCACAGGAAGAACCATAGAGCAAAGAGTAAGTATAGTAGTATTGATTGTAATATTTAATACTAGCTGGCTTGCCCGGCTCCGCCGGGCCTGCCAGCTAGACCCGTGTACGTATGTTCCGAATAGAAATTTTTATCTCTGAACCGATTGGGACCGAACTTTGCACACATACACTTCGGGGCAGGGAGCGTGTCACAGCCCACTTTTCGTTATCGATCGATGTCGATTTTACCGATTTTTTGCAAAATTTGAGCTAGGGGGCTAGGATTTTGCACAGGGGGGTAATCGAGCATGCTGATCACCCCTTCGGGGTGATCAGCATGCTCGATTACCCCCCTCTGCCAAATCCCAGCCCTCTAGCTCGAATTTTGCAAAAAATCAATAAAATCGATATCGATCGATAACGAAAAGTAGCCTATGACACGCTCCCTGCCCTGAAGTATATGTGTGCCAAGTTTGGTCCCGATCGGTTCAGAAATGGAATTTTCTATTCGGAACATACGTACATACAGACATACAGACAGACAGACATACAGACATACAAACAGACATTCAGCTTTATATATAAGATGATTGCAAGCAGATCTAATGTAATCTAGTCAGGTAGGGCAAAACAGAAGCAGCACTTTGAGCAAACGAAGAGTCAGACGTCATCGAGAAGTCGCTAGCTAATTAGGAACAGCTAAAAAAGAGAAATCCTGGCTTATTTATTGATACATTTGTGGTTAATGTGTCACAGAATTCAATCACCAACAGCTAGTAAGTAGCCAAGTAAATGATGACGTGAAAGCCCAGAGACAGGTTAACCGCACAAAAAAGTGTTATGATGGCGTAAAGTACAAGCAAAAAAGATTCTAAAAAATAGGACTAACAAATGATTGATATCGGAGGAAAGAATCCAGTAACGAAGGCAAGATTTCATGAAGCAAACATGTACGAATCGAAAGCTTACCCGACTGAGAGACAGCGTTGGCCTGCCCTCGTTCCATTTTAACCTTAATGTCCCTTGCCAAGCTGAAAAATGCTTCCTCCACATTAAGATTAGCCTTCGCTGAGGTTTCCATGAATTTTGTGCCATATTCGATAGCAAGCTGTGAGAAGCAACACATTACGAATACAACAAAAAGATGAAGCGCATGGTACTTACTTGTTGACCCCTCTCTCGTGAAACCTGTCGTTTGTCCTCTGCGTCACATTTGTTGCCAATGATCATCCGCTCAACATCCTTAAATGTGAAAATATGTGTAAAACTCGAGGGGTAGCAGTAGGCTTAACGATTCAAGAGAAATATTATATTGAACAAAAGACAAGAATAACTAGCCTGAGATGCATGCTCTTCAATGTTTCGGATCCAATTTTTGATGTTATCAAATGACTTCTCGTTGGTTATATCGTAGACTAACATGATGCCCTAAACGATTTAGTTGATAAGAAGAGGAGAATAAAGCAACGTGAAAACATACCATGGCACCACGATAATAAGCCGTGGTTATTGTTCTGAATCGTTCCTGACCAGCAGTATCCCTGCAGAATAAATTTATAGAAGCATTCAAAGCGATGACCTTGGGAAACTTTTACTGTTTTGCATTTGGTAAAGATTTATCAAAATAAAGAACAAAATAAGCTCGACTGACCAAATTTGTAGCTTGATTTTCTTTCCATCGAGATCGATTGTTCTTATCTTGAAATCGATACCTAAATTCACTCAAGTGGAGATAACCATACATGGTGCCCTTTAACCATACCAATCGTTGATATGAACGAGTTATTGAAAGAGTCGTCTGAGAACCGGAACAGCACGCAAGTCTTTCCTACCCCGCTGTCGCCAATGAGCAGTAGCTGCAATGGAAGATAAAAGGTAGACGAGAGACGCCAAAGACAAGTAGGGCCCAAAAGATAACTGCAAAGCTGATGGCATACAAGGAAATGCAACGATAAACGCACCTTGAACAAATAATCGTAGGTCTTCGCCATTTCTTCCCAAAAAAGCACCCAGATGTGACCCTGAAGAGTGAGATGTGATAAGCAAAACTAGAAACACAAGCAAAGAAACGAGTCATGACGTTTTTGTGACATCATTACGAGAACAGGATGGCATTTCGCAAATTTGGACCTTAGCCAACGCGGTCGTTATACGCCGCACGCGGCGACGGCGCAAAACGCTGGAGCGCCCGCAAAATTTCAACGAAATATATTCAGCGGTTTCTCCTCCAAAACTCAAAAGATCCATCGTGATAAGCGTTTCATTGTGATAAACATTGCAACATCGCTCTTCTACATGGATTCCCATATACTTTCGGTCTTTACAGATAAGGAGTCCTCCATCTCCTTTTTAGCAGAAAAGCCTTGGGTAGAAGTCGTTCTGCGAAGCTTCAAAAGAAAAGGTTTAATCCCTTAAAGTGATATGTCTTCAAATGCACTCGAGCAGCGAATGTGATGCGGATGCATGAGCACTTTAACTGATGGACCTTTAAAAAAATCAATAATTTGTTGGTTTGTGGAACGGTGTTGCAAGGGGCTTGCTTTCCTGAATAACCTGTACGCCTCTGAGAGGGAAGTAGATTCCACGGAGGCTTCAAACCCCGCTCGCTGCCGCCCGAAGTTGCCGGAACTCGCCGGAACTCGCCCGAAGCCGCCTTCACGAGCCTATTCAAACCGAATGTCAAATCTTATCCGTACATTGAACAAAAGACGGTACGAGAGTCATCTGGTAACAAAAGCTCAAAACAAGACAGCACGCTTACTTGTAATCTTAATTAGTATTATGTGCATTATTTTTGCAAAGCAGGGCGCTGTTTAATGTGCTTGTGCTCCAAGCCTTTGTCTTCTTCATTTTCAAACGGGAGACACAAACAAGCATATATAATCGTTTTAACAGCTTCAGAATAAAGGGTTCTCCGGCTATTCGCCAGAAATTTCACCGTTTACAGTCGAATCATTTCATATGATCACGTGTGTCATTACACAATTGTGCACTTTTGGCGCTCCCATCCTGGATTTTTGGAGGAGACAACCCTTCAAGTAAGTGTTTTGGATGTGTTAATCGTTTTAACAGCTTCAGAATAAAGGGTTCTCCGGCTATTCGCCAGAAATTTCACCGTTTACAGTCGAATCATTTCATATGATCACGTGTGTCATTACACAATTGTGCACTTTTGGCGCTCCCATCCTGGATTTTTGGAGGAGACAACCCTTCAAGTAAGTGTTTTGGATGTGTTCTGAGTGTTTTCTTTCCTTATCAGATACTACTACCTCAAAGTTTAAGCGATAATAAGCGGTCAGTCCTTTGCGTTTTTGCCACAAATCCAGGATGAGGACGCCAAATACGGACGGTGTGTGCAGTGCACACATGATCATATGAAATGATTCGACTGTACTTGTAAGGTAGGTGCCAGTGTAAGCGTTTGTGTTGTTAATGTTTTGTTCAGCTTCGTTCAGCTGCAAAAGGCGCACAGTTGATTCTGCCCAGGACCTGCAGCTGAAGCAGGCCTTGGCAGCAGTAGAGATTATGCAGCAGACATTAATTCTGCGCGCCTTCTGCAGTTGAAAGAAGCTGAAAAAGTATTGGTTTACTCTGGCACCTACCTAACTGCTGCGCGCAATGCATACGCGATGCATGCAGCCGTTTTGCCTTAACCTGTGAATGCCTGTAGTACGTATTAATCAAACCATTTGACAGGCTAAAAACAATGTGTGCAAAAGGAAGCGACATATTCCATCAAAACGCAGGAACAGCTCAACGCTCAAGATGTCAACGGGAAGGTTCCAACCACGAGTGTCTTTGTGCGGTGAAAAGACCATTAATGTAAACTGTCGATTTTTCTCGATATCAAGCGAGCGATCGTCACCGATCGATGGGCAACAGCTCTAAACTCGTCTGACTTTTCACTTTCTGCTATGCCATGTTAGATGAAGATTGACGCTTCTTGTCATTTTGCTAGCTTATAGGCAGTCAACAATCTTTCAGATGGTAGGAACTGTGTGCGTTCTGAATGATATCTTTGTTGAAGGTTGAAACACTAGTGAAGTGTGTTATGAACAAAAAGTAAGTCCTGTAGCAAGACATGTCTTATTTGAAGTAACCATCAATTCTTCTCCAATGGCAATGGCAATGTAGTTACTCAAGCACTAAACGGTGACTCTGGCGCCTCACGATGTCGCCCTTCTCGTTTCCCCCAAAATTGTCAATGCAGTAGCCACTATTGTGCCGCTCATGTTTTTGGCGGCATTGTCCGCTCGCGATTGTTGCTACCCCTGCTCTGCGTCCTGATCTGTGGCACGCATGCCTAAAGCCCTGGCCATACGTACAGTGATTTCATCGTCGCGATTTCATCGCCGAAGCATTTCGTGATTTTAGCGACGAAATCGCGACTATCAAATCGCTCATCGCGAGTTCTGGCCATACCTGCCTGTTTAGCGATAAGGTGAAAATACACACTCCAGACTCATTCTACGGTTTCTTTTGGCTTTCAGAAGAAATATTTAGTGTGATTTCTTTACATTTGCAGGTTTCTTCGTCTTTTTCGACACCAATAAGTTCTTTCATCAACAACTTATATTAGTTTCTCGCGCATTTGCATTCATCATTCAACCTTTCTCATTAGATACAGGATATAAAGCCAATACCAAGTTAGCTGCGGTTTCATACGTCGCTAATTTTTTCGCGATAATCAGACATCTAGATACTACGTATGCAGTTTAGTTACGAGTTTCGAACAACCAAAAATATTCATTTTGAATGATGGTACGAATTAGAAGAAAAGTGCAACACAACACGAAAGAAGTGCAATTTAAGAAATCTGCATTACATTTTAACATCTCCGCAAAAAAACAAGTCGAAAGAAAAAAGAATTGTTCCAAAAACTCCCAAAAAAAGAAATCCAATTTCAGCGATATCGCCCCGTCGCGGGTTTCAAAGTTGCGATGCGATATCGCAAGATTTCGGCCAAATCGCGACGGTTTCGCTGGAATCGGTATGGCCTAGGAAAACACGGTCTGCGATCCGTCGCGCCGGACAGCTAGCACGACCGAAATGCATGATTTGCCGGCATGAAATAGGGGGAATGGCAGTTGTCCGATTGCACAAATCGCATCGCGGTGATTTTTTTGACGGTATGGCCAGGGCTTAACACGTTGGAACGGGCAACAAATGTCAGCGACAGTGTTAACTGTTACTCTTGAGCCACGTCCAGGCGTCCGGCACTTTGAAATGTCATCTCCAAACCACCGGATGCTATTCAGGCCAGCCCATCCAAAGACTGCTCCTGACGCGTTTTGACATGGCAAGCATTGTCAAAACGCTATCGATACTTTTCTCGCTAACCAAAGAAATTGAAGCTTGCCTGGTCAGGACGTGCCCGGGAGCCATGGGTAGGCGGGCCTTGATAGCTTCCGGTGGTGCAGGTCCATTCTCTCTTTTTGCGGGGCACATTAAATGATTGGACTCGTGGGGATCGGCCATACTATTCCTGCTATTCCTACGACTCCTGCGAATCCTGTGAGTCCCGCACAGTTTAGACGCCGCTTAAATGAGCGCGTGTTGCGTAAAACAACAGTAACACGCAACACGCGCTCATTTAAAGGCAGTGTCCGGGCAAAAACTCGATATTGAGATTTTGTGCTTACCTGGGCCTATTCGCTACGCTGAATCCGAAAATGCACATTGTAGAGCGCGAAAATGGCGAAAAACGGCTCTAACACAGGAGGGAAATGAGCAGGTGGGCGGAATCCTCCCCACTACGAATTCACGTTACCGGCTTCCGGAGCGACCCTCTCGCTTCCGATTTCAAGTCAATCGTTCGCACTTGACCAGTAGCGATGTTAGGACGGCTAACGGAATCGAGAAAATCGCTCCGGAAGCTGGGAGCGTGAAATCGCACTGGGGAAAGCCCCGCCCACCTGCTGATTTCCCTCCTGTGTTAGAGCCCTTTTTCGCTGTTTTCGCGCTTTCCAATGTGGATTTTCGAATTCAGCATGGCGAATAGGCCCTTATAAGCACAAAATCTCAAAATCGAGTTTTTGCCCGGACACTGCCTTTAAGCGGCGTCTAAACTGTGCGAGACTCACAGGAATCGCAGAAGTCGCAGGGGTGGGGGAACGAAAGCCGCCAGGTCCAGCCGCCTTTGGCGGCCAGCTGGTCCTTTCGCAGCGTTGTTGCATGTCGTTCCAGGACCAGCAGTCCGCGGAGGCGGCTGGACCTGGCGGCTTTCGTTCCCCCACCCGAATCGCAGGAGTCGTAGGAATAGCAGGAATAGTAGGCCGACCCCGTGAGGATGTTTAATTTTGGACCGACTCGTTGACAGCACAGACTGACTAAACGCTGTGGGCCATGTGCGGCGCGATTGAAAAGTTGCGAGAACACGACTTGTACAATGGTACGCGCCATATTTGATCCGCTTGATCCGCTCCATCCACTTCGCCATTAGTCAGTTTGCTGATTTGACCAATAGCGAAGTGGATCAAGCGGAACAAGTACGGCGCGTGTAATGGCTGATTTGTACTGGGGCAAGTATTTTACCTCGGGCTCGTGCTCCGCAATGGTAACCACCCCGTGTGGTCAACGAAACGGATACACCGCCTGGGTAGCACAAATATGAGGAACGCTTTGAAATAAAGATAGTTTTGGCATTATAGGCCGTCCGCGCAGGGCGCGGAGGGTGCGCAGAGTGTGTACTGCGCACTTCTCTTTCCTCGCGCACTCTCGCCGCTTTCTTCTCTGCGCCTCTTCCTGTCATGAACTCTCTTCAATAGACGCAGCACCGTGCTCTCCGAGCACAGCGCGAACGGTCTTTACCCTTTTCGTCATTTCTTTGAAGATTTTTAAGAAGATTCTGGCTCATAAACGCTGAAGAACTCGGACTATAAACAACTTTAGGCCCTCGTTACTTCTGTGGAAATGACAGTACAAAAATAACTTATGCTGATATGAAGACTTCCGTATGCTTATGATGCAGGGACTATAAGAGACGTGAATTTTATACGGCGTTGAAGAATTCCGCTGCCACATGACCGCATCTTATTATCACCAGACACTCCCGTCAACCCTGTGAGTCATCTGCAACTGCACACCGACAGAAGTATTGCTGTGTAACTGCGTAGCATACATCCCACAGACGTGGAGTTTTTATAAGGGAGGGAACCGTCGCATGACTGAGGCACGATCGTAGGCAACCGTTAGTTGATGAGTTTGTTTGTGTTCGGTCTGCTCGTTCTTTCTGTTTCACACGAACCTGACTGCCTTCGAACCAACCGCCTTGATTCAACCGACTTAAGGTTATGGGAGTAGCTGCAAGTAGGGACAACGATGATCTAACGGATAATTTAGTCAAACATGGACAAATCGTATCGAAGGAAGTCGAATTGGTGTTCAGGTTCATAACAGTCGCAAAAAGTTTTGTTTTTTCTGAGACTTTCCTTTCAGACTCGTTGACCGAGGAAGGTTTTTCCCCAGTGAGTACATAGACGAAGCTTACCGCGATAATCCCTTCAAGGTAACTTTTTTTTCCATAACTTTGTTCGGGTTGCTTACTCATCATGTTTGTTTATTATTCGATGCTAGTTGTTGAATTTCATTGGTAATCGATACCTCAAATCTGAATGCACGCCCGAATGCATAAATAAATTTTCATTGCAATCGATCTTGCGATAGTCATCAAAATGCAGGATCTAGTGAAACCTTTGCGATACCAGCCAGTGCAAATCTTGTAAGCGTTGCCTGCAGATCTGTTAGGTTACCAGCCAGTGCAAATCTCGTAAGCGTTGCCTGCAGATCTATTAGGTAGGCTAAGAACTAATTTCGTTTTGGCATGCAGATCTCCATAAAATCTTGTTGTTTTTATCCATGATTCTTTTAGGAGAAGGTACTTCAGTGCTTCTACTATCACATAACATCTGCTTAGAATCTTCTACTATCAGAAAAAAGTAAAGGTTGCCTCGTTATGCCTAATTTTTCAATTCTAAGCTTTCTTCTTAGTGATGGATGTGGAGATTAGTAACTTATTATCTTGAGACACACAAGTTTTCTTCAGTTAGCGATAACATTAGTGTGATCCGTCTTTATGAAATTCTTTGGTTGAATAATGAAATTTTCTCACATTGAGAACGTTGGGGTATCTCATCTTTTTGCGCCTTTTCTCAGAGAGAAATTGAATTCCATCCAAACAGGGTTTACCATAAAATCCCTGTTGGAGCGCTCTTTGTAGGAGTCGCAAACGCGGCCGAAATTGCTCATCAACTAGCCTAATATAGCAGACGTCCATATTGTTGATACTGATATAATTACTAGTGTCAACATCAAATAGCACATATTAAAGGCAGTGTTCAGGGATATCTGGGCGCATGGGTTTTCCGCTTGAATATTGATGAGAAGATCCTAAGTAAGGCACTGCCCAAGAGGCAGCGCAAATATTCATTCACGGCTGAGAAATCCGTCCCCGAAGCCCCACACCTGCGCCGTGACCCTATCCCGAAAACGATTTCGCCCATTTTAACACTACGTTCGCGCTGGGGCCCATCCCAAGTGTTAGGGTCACGGCGCAGTCGCGTGTGTTTGGGGATGGATTTTCAGCCGTGGATGAATTATTTGCGCTGCCGTTTAGGCAATGTCTTAAAGGCGCCGTCCAACCAGATTCTCGACTGCCAGATTTTTGTCTTCAGGGCCTTCTCATGTCCTTGATTCTGAATATGAAGTCGAGAATCTGCGAAAATCCCGAAAATTTCCATTTCGGAGAACCCACAGGCGGGCTTTCCAGAACGATGATTAGATGAGCGCGCACAAATGGGCGAGCATGGATGGGGAGGGGCGGGCATGGATGGGGGTCCTCGTGCATCTTCGCTATTCCGAAGCGATTTTCTCGCTTCCGAAGCGGCATTTTGTGCCGCAACTTGGGCATTGGCTTGATAGGAGGCCGTACTGTTATATGTTCCAAAAGCTCAACACCCTCAACTTAGGGTGGACAGTGCCTTTAACTAGGATTCCCTGACGGTTTCCAGGCAAAAAACCCATATGCCCAGATTTGCCTGGACACTGCCTTTAAATGGGCACGCGACAAGTCTACTAGTGACTAGTAAGCCGAATTAAAAATAGGATCAGCTCTGACTCGGAAAACTTGGATCTTGCGAGAGAGAAGAAAGGATTTATAATGCTTCAGAAGCATTTCAAATTTCTAGCTCAATAGAAAAGATGGTTTTGCTTATTCAGTGCCATTATCTTGAAATAGATTCGGAACAAATGTTGGAGGTAGGAACCGAAACTGCAGCACAACAAGTTCATGAATATTTCTGTTGATTTTTTCAGCAAAAGCGGTAAAGCTTAGCAAGTGGTAGCTTCGGATTTATAGTAAGCCAAAGCACTGTATCTGATGTTTAGAAGACTTGTATAGCTTTATTGGGCTGTTGAGTTTTGGATAGAAAAAATCGCGCCTCTTGACTGTCTTCCGTATACCATGATGATCAAGCTGGGTTTTTTTTTGTCATATTTCTCATATGAGAAGAAGACGAAACTAAAAAGTTAAAGAATGTCATAGCCATGTAGTTCATGGAATCAATCTTGTTTCTTACATTCTCGAAAACTGTGGTGTGCTCAAAATCAGAGGGTACATTAACAAATTTCTACTATTTTTTGTTTCATTTATTCATCTGTTCTGAACCTTGCAGTTAGGCTGTTGTTTTGCAGGTCCCAGCTGAAGCAAATGGAGATTGGACGCCAGGAAAGTTACATATATCAGCGCCAAGTATGTATGCCACAGTTTTGGAAAAGCTAGATTTACATCCTGGTCATGCATTTCTCAACATTGGATCTGGAACAGGATGGCTAAGCACGGCTGCGGGTTTTCTAATCGGTATGTTTTCATTTTTTATGGAACTGCTTTCAACTTAAGATTGAACAGATTTGTAAAATTGTCATGGATCTTCCCCTTTGTATGGGGCATTCGAAAAATCGTGACGATGGCGCGACTACGGCAACACGCCCGCAGTCCTCCTGCTTGGTTTCTATCTCTTTTCAAATAGTTTTTCTGCTTATATACGAAGTGTAAGCAGAAAGACACTGGAAGTGACTGAGCTGAGCGTTGAGGTGTTGCTTGTTTGTATGGGTGTCTTATGCTTTTGTGTGCGCAAAGACCGCGTCAACTCGTCGTCACGATTTTAAAAATGGATTATACATCTTGCGCGATGTGTAGACTTTCAGTTTTTTGAAAATGTGGGCATATGTTTTCCCAAAAAAAAAAATCACACTTGTCACTAGTTTCACGAAAGGTGTTTACCTGGCTTTCAAGGAAATGTGTGCAAAACAAACAATTGTCTCTCGAGGCGTCCATCTTGTGCGCTGTCGCAAGTTACCCATTGCAATCATTCATGCGTATTCAAACAGTAGTACTTGTTTTACTTTCAGTTACCTCCAGTTTGATTCATCATACGCATAGACTCAAATTTATCATTCAACATTTCGCAGCTTTTTAGGAGGTTCGGGCATCAATCATGGCGTGGAGATACATGACAATTTGATAAAGTTTGCCGAAGAACGGCTTGCTGAGACTCTAACACTACCTGAAGTTTGCGCTTTCAACTGGGCTAAGCCAGCGTGAGTGTCTATTAATTTTTGCGTTTATTAGTTCATCTTATCCCATCTCGCTTTATGATTTTTTTGCAGCTTTTTCCACGGAAATGGACTTTCGCAAGAACTTTCGCATTCAAAATATTTTTACGATCGTGTGTACTGCGGTGCAGCCGTCAATGAATTGCAGACGATTGCTCATCTAATAAAGCTTTTGGAAATTGGCGGCAAACTGATTGTTCCCTTCAGAAACAGCGTATTCTTTTATCTCATGGATTTAAAGCTGTGGCAAGGCCTCAAACTAGTCAATTTAGTTGACCGCATATACACGTACAGCAGAAACGGCGTATTCGTCAGAAGTTTTGATGGCTTGCCAGTTTGCTGATTTGCTGCCGCCCAAGCCCGATGATCGCACTGATTGTCTTCCTTGTGTTATTCGGTTTGCTTTAGACGTTCCCTTTGAAGCACAGTCTAGCACCGCTTATGTTCCAGGCCTCCGTCTTTGGCAGATCACTGCAGAAATGTGATTCGCGAAAGTCTGCGAAAGAAGGTTATGGAAAGCTATCCTGTCTTCATGCGAAGCATAGTCGACACGGAAGGTGCTTTTGGGTACGTCTAAGCACATTCGCACTGCATATAGCCTGTTTTGGATTGATTTGAAGCTAATTTGCAATAATTTTTCGCATCTGTTTTTTTTCATTCATCTCATATTTGCATTCTACCGCTCCTTATCCCTTTATATCTGCTTCGGTGATGGTTAGGCACTTATCGTTGCTGTGACATTAGTGAACCGTACTTTACCTGCAGCTTCACCCTCTTTTGAATCATCTCTCACTCGGTGAAATTTTTGATTCCTGACTTGCTTTTGCCAGTCGATGGTGAAACGGCGCAGGTGAGAGAGAGTAAATTTGTACGGGTTGAATATAAGAAGTGATTGTCTGGCTAAGATAGTTGCCGAATCATTGTTTTGGGTTCCTTGACAACAATGAGATCCATAGATCTGATGATGCGCCTTCTCACCACGATGGCGATGCAGAAATGGCGGAAAGCCAGCGGCGAAGAGATCTTGGCATTATTCGCCAACCAATCCGTGTTGAGTTGTTCCGCAATCTCGGAGCAGCTCGTATCCGTCTGGAAGCTTACGATCGAATGGCTCGGGAGGACAGGTGACTCTTAACGATGGATTGCTACTCCCATTTAGAATCATGTAGAGCAAAATGAGAGCATGTAAAGAATTTTCGCTCGCTTCGTTGTCGGAATTTACGAGAAAAGCTCCGTGCTGTGATTTCTAAGTGAGAACGCAAATTTCTTGTATTTGCTTTTGCATAGTTTGAATGACTTGATGTCTTTGATTCCTGTGCGTAAAAACTGCTCCATTTACTCCCATCATCTAATAATGGTCCTTGTTACTGTTAGCTTGTAACAAAATCTTCCACTTTCCCAGAAATGACAACGAGGAACGAAATGACCAAGAAGAACGTGGTGAAGGGGCGGAAGAACATGAGTTTCACGAAGGTGGTGACAATGATCGACCTGATGCAGCCGTTCGAGATGTCGATGTTGGCGCTGGAATGTTTGTTTTTGCGGATGAGGGAGCACCATCTGATGACGAAGAGCTTGGAGAGGACGACAGGTTAGTTTTTTTTAGCCAATAGCTCTGCTTTGTACATGGAACGCTTTTATTGGATTTACTTGTTCAGGATGGGATTACATTGGTTAAATGCCATCCTTGGCTTTGAAAGGGACCGCGTACAAGCGCGATTGCGTCAGCGTCGAGCCCGCGAACCCGAAAGAACTGAGCATGTAAGATCAGAGACGTCCAGCGATGACGGCAGTAGCGATACATCTTCAAATGCGGATGATGCGGAAGAGCACGAAGCTGAACATCCAGTTGAAGCAGGCAATAATGAAGGAGAAAATGCGGAAGCAGCTGTAGCCGAACAATCGGCTGAGTTAGATTCAAATGTTGATAATAGGGATTCCAACGAGCAGAAAACTGAAGAAGCTGAGAGTGGTGAAGCTGCTGCAGAGGGTGATGTTCAGAAAGTCAGCGAAACATTGGTTAATGAAGCCTCTGATCATGACGATTTGACACAAGGCAAGCCTCTTGGTGAAACCGATGCTTCTTCCACTGCACAGTCCTCCACTGTTGCTCCTTCAAACGAAATCCCCTCCATTAACGTTCTCAAAGTAAATATTCATTCACCTGATAACACAGAAACCCCGTCACAATCCTCGGACACTGTCCACGAGGACGAGACAATGGAGACTTCTGAGGACCGACATATTAATTCTGCTGTCAGAGTGAGTCCGATTCAAGGCAGCAGTTTTGCAAACTGGATTTCTGTTAGATTTTAGTGGTGTTAGGATAACTCGCAGCTCTAACCTCGTCCTCGAATTCATGCGCTACCTGAAAATGCCTACAAAAGCCCACCTTTGATGATCACTCAAAGTAAATGAGCAGGGCTGCTAGTCTTCTAAAGCGTGTTGCCAGGACATAGCGCATGAATCTGAGAGTGAACTGGAGCGGTGTACTTGGCAGGTCTACTCTACAACCTAAGGTCACCAAAATCTGACAGGGTCCATTCCGTGAAGCCACTTGCCTTCAACTGACGAATAGGAAAAATATCCGGTGCTGTTTAGGAAGCTGATAATCGGGAGGGACAGCTAAGTGTTGAAGGAGAAGTTAATGACCATATGGAAGCAGAAGCGCATGAAGCACTTGGCGAGGAGGAAAGTCATGGAATAAATGAGGATCGTCTAGACAAGTAAGAACTGCCGATGTTTTATCGATAGTCATTCCCTGACCTTTAGTTTTGCTATGCGGGAGATGATTGAATTGAGCGAGTTTCTTGATGAAACGAATAATCGTTCACGTAAGTTGCATAAACATCTTTGGAGTTAATTTCATTAAAATCCTATAGGAGCAGAGCAGCGGGGAGCTAATCGTCTGAGAATTAACGGTGTCAATGGAGCGGGATCGTCACGACGTAATGGACCACGATCTTCTGTGTCGCGACGTGCTATCAAAAGGGCTCGAATGGCGGAGGCCGAAAGTCAAGACGAGGTGTCTGTTCAGTTGTTTCGCACTTGTTATCGTTGCAAAGGGTTCGCAATCTTGTCAAACTTCCGTTTTTCATTGCCGTAAGGTTTGATCCTGCAGTCGCTGTCAACGGCAGTCATTCCATAAACATATTTTGTCCGCCCCAATATGATTGCAGTTGCTGCAACGAATGCAGTATGAAACAACTCTAACGATGCAATGTATCGTGTGCAAGGGAAAGTATCTTAAAGGCACCGTCCACCCAAAATCTCGCCGTCCATGTTTTTGCCGTTCCAGGGCCTTCTCATACCCCTGATTCCGAATATCAAGTTGAAAATCCGCGAAAACCACGAAAAACCCCGTTTTCAGAACCCACAGAGCTATTTCTTCGGTACGGTGATTGGTTGGGCGCGCATGGATGGGCGGGACGAACGTCACGCCCACCCGAAAGGGGAGGAGCCAACGTGGCGAACCGTCACCTGAAGCGATTTCCGAAGCAGGTTTCTCGCTTCGGAAGCAACTTTAGGCAGCGCGAGTTGGGCAATCATACAGTCGGGGGCCTCGCAGCTGCTAGGTATCATAATCTCACCAACCCCAATTTGGGTGGACGGTGCCTTTAAAAGAATCTTGAGCGATATTTGGAAGGTAAAGTTTGGTTACAAGATTCTCAGAATGCCTCGTCGCTATAAGCATTCAACACTAAATAGGCAGGGGCCTTCAACGTCAATGTTCTGGGATATTTTCATAACTCCTCTGGTAAACCTGCTGCAAAATTCAAGTTTTTTCAAGTTTAGAACTACTATTCTTTCATCACCGTAATGGCTGACATTTTCAGGCGGAGAAGAGAGCAGAGGAAGAGCGCGATCGACAAAAAGCGTCTCTTAAAGTTTTCGGCGAAGCATTCAATGAAGCTATGCAAAAACTTCCATTACCTAAGCACTTGATCAAGTTCCTCTCTTTACAGTCCATTTCTCCTGTGTTTGGAACAAACCAAACATCTCAATGGGACTAACTCCTCAGTTATGTAAATATGCATTCGGGCAGATTACCGACAATGACCTAGCCTTCATAACAGATCAACAGTCTTTTCTTCTCCATGGATGTACATGCATGTTCATAATTTTTTGTGTATTTTAGCGATCTTGCTGTTAGAGTATTGACTTGAAGTCCATATATTTGTAGATTCGAGAGTAAATCGTTCTTGATTGGATTGTACTTGTGAAAACATTCATGGACACTTTCATCCCCTCTGAAGACAGATACCTGACGTAAATTATACAGCATACTACATGATGCACAAGCTCAGAGTGATTCACTAGGTGGACCGCTGAGAGCAAGTTTGTGCACGAGATGAGATCTGAAACATCAAAAATGTATAATGTATCAAAAATGTATTGATCTGGAAACTAAAGAGTATCTCACCTTCGAAATCTGCTGTCCTTGTTGACAAGTATGTGGAGATCTCTAATATTAACACGAACTGTTCGTGGTCGATGTGCAGTACCAGAAACGCCACTGCTACCAGCTTGGTCCCACCTGCGAATGATGAAATGATCTTACATTAGTCTAAAAGCAAGTGGCTCAGCAAGTTGGACCCTTACCAGGTGGTGATAGGTAATAGACCCTCAAAGTACACGGTAACTCAACTACACTCTCCAATCCGTGCGCTAATTGTAAGAACTAACAATAAGATCGATGTCTCCCCCCCCCCCTACCCCCAACTCCTAGCCCACTCGATAAAAGTGGGGGTTGATGGGGTTTTTAAGCGCGCTTTCCGGATTTGGCGCATGGATTGGTGGTTGGGACTGGAGCCACCGTATACTTGAAAGTCCACTGCCTATCACCATCATAATCTGACAATAATTCATTTTGCCGAGCCACTGCCTCGGCAACCGGGTTAACTGGAGGGAGTCAGAAGCCATGCTCCGTCCTGCATTGAAATCCCACCACCCTCCACTTAAGCTGGACAATGCTTTAAGCCTAGAACGACACCTACTTTGGTCGAGAAACTTTGTTACCGCTGCTTAGCGCAGCAATTGCCGCTGCATTTGCATCTCGATTCCTTTTGGCTTCAGCGTCAGCGCGCTGCATTTCCTAAAAGATCAGGAAAAAAATGAAATATCGAGACATCGCTCAGCCCATGTCATTTTCAAACCTTTGCTCTTTCTATCGTATCTTTCGCGCTACCCTTGCTTTTACTCATACGGATCAGTGCCTCCTTCTCTCGATTTTCTCTTTGCTCTTCTTGTTGCCTATCTATATTTTCCAAAAAGCGCAGCTGACTCCGTGTATCATCAATCTGACCGTAATTTGGGTTCAACCTGAATACTGTCTTAATATTGCCGTAGGAAACTTTCAAGAAGAAGCGACCTTAATGGCTCCATGCGGTGCTCAGCCAGAATGGCAAGTTCGCCTATGATTTCGCGCAAACGACATTCCGCTGCGTCAGAGATCAGCACCAAAACCTTCAGAAAACTCATAATGGTATATCCATAAAATACCGAGAATAATCCTTCATACCTCTTCATCCACATAACACACCTCATTCATGCACTGTGTGATGCGACTCATTATATCAGGCGGCCTCAACAGAGCACTTTCCAAAGCTCCCTCTTGTAGCTGACGTACTTGTATCATCTACAGTTCAAAGTAGGAACTTACTACCCAATTTTGAGGTTTATTACTACCTCTTCTTCTACATGTTGCACAGGGGTTTCATCCATAGGTTCACCTCCACTTGCGGATTCCATTCTCTCCATTGGCACCTACACAGAATTATTCATTGCTTCAGTGAACGACTTTGGACCCTCACGGCAAACCCTCTGTCAAATGTCGCCTTCTCCCGCGGTTAGATTCGCGCCGCCGCAGCGCTTAGCCTTGCGTTGCATTCGTGAGCATCTAATCCGGTCATTTTCCCACGCTCGCCAGCCTTCAGTCGCTGTCCAGAGGTGGGACAATGCTTGACGGATATGTTCGGCAACTCAGACTAAGCCGCATGAGCTCGCGACACTATTGAGGAGATACAACAATTTCACAACAATACCATTCGGCAAAACATGTTCTGAATCTGTGGATTCATTCACCTGTTCATTGTGTTCTTGTAGCGGAACAGATACCACACCAACGGACGAAGATGCTGGTGCATACATCATCTGAGGTGTAGGTTGACGTTCGGACACCATCTGTTGCGAGTGTGGATGTGACATCTGCATTTGTTGCACCATGGGCATCTGTTGATGTTGAGAGTGTGGTAGCACCACTTGTTGAGCTTGTTGCATGCCCATCTGCTGAGAATGTGCATGCATTTGCATCTGCTGAGGTTCCATCTGTTGCTGTTGTTCGTGCATTTGATAGTGCGGTTGCTGTTGTTGCTGTACGACCTGTACCTAAAACATCAAATCTTCAAACTCATCCTTTTCTGTATCATATGTTGATATCAAAAGTACTGATTTACTATATCATAACACCAGTGGCGTACCGAGAGGGGGAGGCAAATGGATCGCGAAATTTTTGTAAGTTACTTACACGGGATATAAAATGTGCAAATGATTTGTTTGTACTTGTAAATGATTGAAATAATTTTCAAAAATTTGTAAAAAAAACTTATAGAAGCCTTACATGGAAAAAACTTTCCAGCGTGGCTGCCGCCATGCCACCTTTTCTGAAATTTCGCTTCATGGGGCCGCAAAAATTATGGGGAGCATCCCCAGAAATTTTTCAGAGTGCGTGGCTGGCGCCACGCATCTTTAGCCAAAAAAATTTCAGCGCGCTCCCCGCGAACGGAGATCTTTGGACCGCCACTACGTAACACCGTCAGGAAATCTTATGTGCACATCCAGCCAAGTTTGGGTTTTCTTCAATCTCTGGACACCTACAGGATCAGCTTGTCCACATTTCAGACTGTAGAAATGACAAGAATCTACTTTTTTGAGCTCAAGACTTTGAGTAGACGGCAACTGGTGAGCTAATCGCACTAACAAGGGAAAGTTGGTTAGTCGAAGTGGTTTTTCAAAGAATATATACCATTTAAGAACCAAACGCTGATTCAAATTCTGCCTTCTTTATCTGCGCAATCCTTGTGGGAGGATATGAGCAGGGTCGGGCAAGAGGTGTGGCACACAACCGTCGGATACGACCCCCCTCCCCGCCCCCGCATTACCGTTTACCCACCGCATGATCAAGACATGTCCACACCCTGCCTCATTTGAGCTGAGCGCCAGGACTTTAGTAACGATCCTACTTGCGCCTTCATTTTTGCTCCAACAAACGCTATTAACTCCTCTTTGAGAAAGGCGCAGATTAGGAAGAGAATACGGTTTTGTGCACTCCAAAATAATCTGCATCTCATCTTAAAAGTCACTTCGACTCATTCTTCCCAGTGTCGGATGAGATAACATGTCACTGTCAGCGTCCAGAAGACTGATGGACCAAGGTTGAAAGCGTGGATGCTGCCGCTAATGGGAGATCTCATTATAAACAAAATAAAAGTAAGTATTAGAAAATGTAAGAACGCAATAAATATCAACAGCAAGTGCTCAGAATCAAAATAACCTGTATAGGTTGTGGGTGAAGATGTTGCGGTGGTTGCTGAGCCGTGCCCTGCTGTTGCACAGCCATGATATGTTGCTGTGGTTGCATTTGCATATGGACCTGTTGCTGAGGTGAAGCTGCTTCGATCTGAGGGGCTGGAGGGACCATCATGCCAGGAGGGGGTACCACTCCTTCTATGGTAACCTCTCCTGAAAAACTCAATCGCAGAGATAAGAGTAACGTTTGGCTGTCAGACTTACCGCTTCTCATTGCAGCACGAAGATAAGGCAATGTTTTATGCAGAAATGGTAGGAGATGAGGCTGAGCTTGGGATTTTAAAGCACTTTGCAATTTAGTGGTAAACTCCTCTGCCGGCATTTGCCCAAAAACAAGGGTCTAAATAGAGCACAATCAGAAACAATCGTAACAAGCAGTTCTCTCACTCACGCTGACAAGCTCTTTAACCAAATGAGCTGTTTGTTGAGGATTTTGAGATGGCTGCTGCTGTTCTGGCTGCTGCGACAGTTGAATGAGAGTCTTGAAGAAGCGAACACACTTCGTCACCATGCCCTGACTATCGCTAGTTGGCATTGGCTGTGGAGTGTTCGACTGTGAACCTTGTGGCTGGTTCATTTGAACTTGCATACCTCCTCCAGGTGCTACCGATGCTGAGAAAGGCAATTTTCTCACGCTATAGTAGGATAGTTATAGATTCCTTACCTGGAGGTGCTCCTTGCATAACCATTTGCGGCTGGGTTTGCATCGGCTGTGAGTGCTGTGGGTACTGCATGTGCATGGAAGCGGGAGCCATCATCTAAAAACATTAATCAAAAGTGCACAGAGGCACCAAAAGAAATAAAGCTTAGAAGAAATGACAAAGATTAATAACATAAAAGAGTAGAAATTATATAAAGAGGTACGAAGAAAGAACATGCCGGGTTCGGTTTGACTTCCTGAGGCAGTGGAGAGTTTCCGGATACAGAAGCTCCGGGGGAAGGTCGCTCCCCGAGTCCACGACCAGCTACGATACGAAACTTAGGTCCTCCCGAAGACATTGGCGGATCTGCCATGTCTATAACTACAAGATTACGAAGTGTGCGATTAAAGCCAACTTCAGCAAAATCCCGAAAATTCAAGCATGCCCAAGACAAAACAGGTGCTTCATATATTCCATTAAAACCATAGTTATTCACTTTTATGTTTAACAGTAATCCTTCACACGTTACACTACCCATAGCGACCGGGTAGGGTGAACGTATTTAACAATGGGAAATCTACAATAAAAGCTTTTCTACAACACCCCTCCGCCCAGACTGATAGGCACGGCGTGGCTTCAGTTCAGTATTGAATTATTCAATGCTCAATGACGACGCAACTCAATAGATAAAGGTAGTTCGTCAACCGCACGGTCTCGCTGTAACTGCGGAGCACGCGACGCGCGGTGAAACGCTTGTCATAGCACAAATAGTACTCCGACTTTCGTTGCGTACCAGCGGCGTTCGACTGTCCTCTGAGCGCAACACGCAAATGCCGCTGGTAGGGTAGACGCACGCCGCTCGTACGCTGTACAACTCCGCTGGGAGGAGATCAGGTATCAGGGGTATGATATACCAGGTCGTGCTCTGACGAGTTTTCACGCGCCGCTGCCGTAACAACGGCCAGTCCATGCGGTCGACAAGTTTTCTATACTTCGTTGAAGGTTGGCACAAGAACCAGTGTAGATATGGTAAGAAACATAGCCCAGCTAGCAGTCCAAAAACTATACATTCTGTGTCACTAATACTCTCTTTTTCACACGTGCAGTCGCCAAGCTAAGGCCCTGGCCAGACTTCGCTCAAAAGCGCCCAAAGCGCCCAAATTTCTCTGGTGTCTCTTCAGTTTCAAATGTGAGGAGAGATGAGAGAGAGTGAGGAGAGGTTAGAGAAGTTTGAGCGCTTTTGGGCGCTTTTGAGCGAAATCTGGCCAGGGCCAGAAAGCTTCGCGCCACATCCGTTCGCTTGCAGATGCATCTACAGTCTGTCCCAACCGGGATCAGGTCGAATCTTTGGCTGAAACCGCAACGCTCGCAACGCCACATGTGCGCGCAAGTCATTCTCAGAGAAAAAGAATTAGGAAGGAACAAACAGGTCCCATAACCATCCCTAGCAACTAAACTAAACTAAACCAAACTAGATAGTACTAAACCAAATAAACTGGAATGATGCGTGCAAGCGCGCATCTTTCCAGTTTTGGCCTGATTCGATTCGGACAGACTGCAAATTTCTTTGACTGAATGCGTAGCCATGCAAGAAAGAGTACGTAATCGATCGACCGGACAGTGTAATTGATTTCTAAAGCACGCATCATATTTGATCCGATCAATCCATTTGATCGCTTCGCTATTGGTCACTTCAGTGACTGACCAATAGCGAAGCGACCATGTGGTTGGATCAAGTGGACTAATAGGGAAACGAACTAAGTGGATCAAGTGGATTGAGCGGATTTATGGCGCGTGCCCTACGGCGGGCGTATGTTTGGCAGGAATTTCCATCCCAACATCCAAACATAGCGAGTTCATTGTTGTCTATTTAGTTTACAAAGATGAAAAGTCGGCATAGCTCCCGTCTTCATACCCATAAAAGCCTGATACCTGTGCTTTACTTCAGGAGAAAATCAGCTTGTTGACAAACATCCACGGCCTCCTTTGGAGATGGTGTATGTGTCAAAATGCTTTGGAACGCTCCATTTTTGGATCGCCATTTTTGAAAGCTGTGGGTCCTAGGCGGACTTTGTCCTTTAATAAGAGTCACAGTAATCCGCGCGCCATCGATTTTTTCTTCTTTGTGTGGTGGCGCAGGTCGCTTTGCTTTGGAATTCGACATGCGGGTGTGCTGGTGATGCTTGTTCTCTCGTCGCTCTCTTTCCGTTTAACACCTAGAGAGTTTATTACAGAAACCTGATGCGTTAGAGCGGCCAGGGATTTACTTAGCCGTTTATTTCGCTCAAGAACCTGCTTTTACACCATATTTTGAGCCGCTAATGCTGGAACAAGTGTATCTGTTTGCAGATATGGGTGTTAAGGGAGAATCAAGCAATCATCGAGCTAAGGCAGTTGCCACTGATGAACAAATGCGCCTGGCAAGGCTCACTCTTGAAGGAAATTCTGCCGAAGAGGATCCTGCTAATATACAAAGGTTGATAAAAAGGGTAAGCACTGTGTTTTTTAGTTTTTCTTTTCTCTGTGTATCACTTGTAAAAGCGATATAGTTGCATGATATGTAGAATTGTGAAAATGTAGAATCATCTCTCTCCAATTTTCATGGACTCAAGCCTTTCCGGAATTGTACTTTGCTGTCGAATTGTTATCTTTTTGCTGCCTTCGGGGAAACCTTTCCTGAATGTGAACCTTGCTTCATAATAAAAATTTGTGCCATTGCTGTACTATTTTCCACATACTTCAAGGAGAATGTTGTGCTTGCTATCGCGCGAGTTTGACTTATGACTCACCTCAACTTTACAGGTCATCGAAACCACGAGGTGCTCGCAAGCCCGAGCGGAGCTAGCTTTGTATGATAACGACAACGATCTCGCCGCTGCTATTGATTACATTCTTGAACATGGATCGGAAATAGAATCATGGACTGAGCAGAAAAGCAAAAAAGACAAAAAGAAAGAGGAAGAGGAAAAACGACCATCTCGAGGACAGTCGTCTGCACGAGGTCGAGGTGGGTATGGTGATCGTGGAGGTCGTGGTCGAGGACGTGGCGAGCCGATGGCAGCACGTGGAGCATCTCGTGGAGCTTCAATGAGTGGTCGCGGACGAGGTGGAATGGGAGGAAATGCCCGTCCCGTCCCCGCGAAGCCTCATAGTGAAGATTCGACTATCAAGACCACTGACACTGATTCCGTGGATGAAGCCAGCGATTGGGTTTGTTTTCATTGCTTTTGGCTTAGTACATTTTTTTTCTTTATTCAAATTGCAAAATTTTTCAAACGATAAGATATTTGCTCAAAAAAAATGCGCTGATTATCAGTAGCCTGAAACCAATGCTCGGCAATGGATGGCTATGGGTATCATACGTTCTCAGAGCAAAAGATTCGAGTAGGCTTCGCACGCATTTTCTACACAAGCTTCCGTATGTTCTGTTTCAATAGTAAAGAGTCGTAGATGATGTATGTCACAAGTGTAAACTTTTCAAAAAACAGTCGAAATGCATTCGAGTTACTCTCAGAATGGATGATAGCTTCCTCTACTTGTGTAGCTCTTTTGCGCTTCCCTCTAAAGGCGATTACCCCGTAGATTCGAGGTTCGGCTCTGTCTGGTAACGTACCGCTTTGCCCTAGCAGCGGTAAGGGCGCACTGAAACATGATTTTTAGGATTAAAAATCAGAACTCAGTTGGTGTCACTTGATTGCCATCGACATATGCATTTAGAGTTTGCAAAAGTGTTTGTCTAGCCTCTTATCCTTCTGTTTGTAGCATGGTAGCATTATCGAACAAGAGTTTGGTAGTAGCTTGGGTAAGACGTTACTGGCGTTTATGGATCAGCGTATCACTTTGACTCGCATTTCACTACTGCACTTTAGAAGAACGCTATGTAGGAGTGCCAGTTTTGCATTCAACGCGCAGAAAAACGTTTGGGTGCTTTTATCATCTGTATAATCGTCAATGCATTCTAAGTTGTGTCCCACCACGTGAAGTCTGTGGTATTTAAGTATTAAAAGATGAGGGATGTGCTACTTATCTTCCCTTACAAACACTTAAATCTATCAATCACTCCCATTCACTGTGCTTTTCTCGATGCTACTCCTCACAAGAAAGTGCGCATTAACATCATAATCCCGCTATTATTTGTGAAATCATCATCGCGCCTCTGGTCATGGGGTGATTGAGTTAGATATCAGCAGAGTAGGTACTCTGCGATGTCATAGTGCATAGTATGAAGCCAGCGAGCTTATTCAATTTTCTAAGAATGAAAATTGATTATATATATTTAGAAAGGAGGACCTATGGTGTTCCATCGATCGGAAGATCCTGCAACATCCTCCCTGCCGAATTCGAATGCCTCCGTTCCTCTGTCTCAAGCATCTAATACAACCCCTGCTCCGATCTCTTTTGCTGCAGTTGCTGCTGCAGCCGCGAAGAAGGATACGAAACGACAACAAGCACCGACGACCAACTCTGTACCTGCATCTGAACAAACGGTGCCGAACTCTACAGATTTTCACCATGAGGAACCAGTCACGAGTTCTAGCCCACCTGCTGCTGATCAATCAGCAAATAAGGACGTTTTCTACAGGTGTGTGTAGCTTATTTGTACATGCTTGTTTTTTTCCTTTGCACTTTTTCATGCACTTATTGTTGCTGCAAAGACAACCAAAGTTCTTTCTCTATGTCTCTAATGATGAGTTTGCGCGCAATGCCAACATAATGATCAGTAATATCAGCAAAAATGGTGTGCACAATTTTTTTCAAGAGGTCTTTCAAATTATTCAAGGATTGTAAAACTTGTCGTTTTGTATTTGTTTCAAAACCGCAAAGCACACATTACATATTTATTGAGGAGGGTGCTTACTTGTCCAAGGCTCTGCCGCTCTGTTTAGAGTCTTCTCTTCCTTTTTTATAGTTAGTAATCAATCACAACTGATGTATCACCGTCGGTTCTAGACACTGCATAGAATTTCATACATGTGCGTATATAGGTCTGAGAGCAATCGAGTTCACTCATGAGGAAGTATCAGTTTTTACCGTAATCTTTTTTTTTCGAAGTGATGGTTGGTAGCTAGATCTTTGCAGTGGTCCATTTTATTGATGTTCTTTTTTTTAATTTTTTCGGTAAGGCGCTTTGGGGTGGACAAATTTTTGTTTTACTTGCCAATCATTTTCACTGACGCAGCACAGAGTGAGGTGGACGATAGCTAGCCAGCGAAGAGATCTGCGAATTCGTTAAAATCTTTGCAGCGAAGTCTTATTTAGCACACATATTGTTTAGTATTTAGTTCTTCCTGCCATTGCGTGAGGCCTAAGGCATACCTCAAGCGATTCCAGTCGCTGCGCTATTTGGTGCTAAATGTTCGTAATTGGTTATCAGAGCGCTTTGTTTGGGCAAAACTTAATCTGTTTGCAACAAATTACAAAAGCTAAGCGCCTACGTATTGGAGAATCTCGTACGATAAGTTTGGAGACACTGGCAAACTGCTAGGTCGCGTGAACGTCGCGATTTGGCCCAATCGCGCGAGGTATATCTTACCTGGCGCTATCGTATATCTCTGGAAGTACCACCATTGCACGATTTTACAGCTTTTTTTGGTGAAGCGAAACTAATTATGTTTCGGCATCGACCGTGTAGAGACCGTTTTTGAGCATTGATATGCACGGCTAGCTCATATGCTTTTTTCTTTGAAGTCACTTTTTCTGAGCACTAAAATGGTGTTGTGAATGATTTACAAAGATGCCGCAGCACTGCAAAAAAAATGAAAAATCATTTGATTATGTAGAACCACGGTAGGGGTACAGTAAGTTTCGACCCGCTTTAGGCGGAAATTGGATCGGCGGGAGTCCGCCTCGCAATAGCTCGCGCCGTTTCGCAGCTACAGTATATCCTATCGTGCTGAGAACCCATGTCTGCGTCTCTTCAATCTCCTTAGTCTTTGCTTGGCAAAATGCCAGCGCTATGCGCTCGCAAAGCCTCCAGCGATGCGCATGCGCTGCTCCAGTAGAATGTCTCGCCTAATCCGGGATGAAACCGACTGTAGACGAAATTGCAGATTTCAATTTCAAACCCAACTGATGTTATCGCTGATAGAAGAATTCCCGAATCAACAGATACTCTAACGAGAAGACATAAAGATATTGGGTTCTGCTTTTCCATAAAAAAGTAAATGCATCACATTTTGGTAACATCTATAAAAAACACTAGGTATATGTTGCGAATATAACTGGGTTATTTTCTCACAGATCTTTACATATATTTATTGAGGCATTTTCTTATTTTCATTTTCGAGAGTGGTAGCGCCGCAGAATATAATCCAAAGTCGTCAGTTCTGTTTGCTATAAATAATTTTAACGCTGCAGTGTTCTCTTTGTTCAGTAAATTGTAGGAGTGTTAATTTTGCAGTCTGGAGTTTCATGTTGATTTTTTCCGATAGGGAAGCCTTTCTACCTAGGAATCTTTCTGTGGAATTTTTTTTTGTAAAAAATTCAATCCAGTTTACAGCGAACCTTCCGTTGCTCATCCAACAAATCAAGACGAGAGAGAGGTACCAGGTCTTCCTTCCACATCGGATGCGGATGACGGCGAAGTGTTACCATCTACGCCTACCCTATCACCAGCAATACAGGCAAATTGGACCAGTCAACTAAAGAACGATCTCGGAATTGGTATCTCCAGCTCGCCACGCCAACAGCAGTTCACTTCTGTGCAGTCCCTTACTTCCGCTCCTGGTAGGCTCCTGTGCTATTGTTTCTAAGTATCTGAGTATTTTGGAAGATGAAGGCTAGGTTTAGCTGGTGTCGAGTTTGTCACGGCAACAGTCCCTCCTGGACTTTCGGATTATCATTTTGGATTTGTGGACGCGCCACAAAGTACGGATATACCCACATCCGCCCCTTCAGTGGCGAATGCATCGAACGACGTCCTTTTTGCTACAACACGTTCCACGACTAATACCACGGGTGCTAGCGTACCTTCAAAGGTCACGGAGGTTGGATTTTTTTTCTTTCGCGTTGCCTCTCATAAGTTAAAGATATTTGTCGAAGTGGCCATTCCTCATGAGATGCGTATTATCTTGGGGCATGAACGTCGATTTTCCAAATTTGTCTTCCTCATCTGCGAAGCGTTTCTAGGCGAGGAGTTAGCCATTGGTGCAAAAATATGAGTTGCTTTCATTCTTTTACCGTTCAAATGGAGGAGCTCTAATTGTCACACATTTTGCATGAATGTTTGCGTTTTATATACTTTGCGCAACAATGCTCCATTTGAAGGCTAGAGTTATTGCAACAGTTGATTTTGTAATGGTCGCTCATCTTTTTTAATATGCGACCCTAGTTTCTCGTCCAGCAGTGCATGGCAGATAGGTAAGAAAAATTTGGAATCAGCGTTGCTAGCCTTCCTATAAAGTGTGCATCCTATGTAGAAAAGGCAGTCCAATATGTTTCCTACCTTAGTTAGTGCTGTATGTGTTATGACATTCGGTTGTTAATTCAAATAATTCTAGGGCGAACGTCCGCCGCTGAACGGTGACTTCTCTTTAAAAGCTTCTCCACCGATATCGCACTCATACGGACAACAACAGCAGCATAATACGAGGTCTTTATCGTATGCGGATCCTTCATCAGTATCCTACGCCCCAACTACACAGTCCGACCGTGGTGTGAGCACCGGAAGCAAACCACCAGCGCCCATACCCCATCCTCCGCAGCAGTCAGCTCACCAAGCACCGCAGCAAATCTTCCCAACGCAGATGCCCTATGGTTCGTACCCATACATGAATATGAACATGTACAGCCCGGTGACTGGGGTGCGAGCTGAAGATCAATATGCTGCTCTATATGCTGCGAGTATGCCGTTTGGAATGGGTGTGGATTTGTCGGCGATTTTACCCCCGACGACTCCGATGTCACAAGCGGGAGCCAGTCAACAACATCCGGGTTCAACGCAACATCGTTCTGACACTCATAATCTGGTCGACATGAACAAATTCGCTTCTGGAAACGCTAGAGATGGCACCGGACAACAACCGTCGAACGTCGCACCTCCTCCTGGATTCGCGAACCCATCGTTTATGCCACAACCTGGCCTGTCGTCCCTATTCCTTCAACAACAATTTCCACCGCATCCATACTCGTTCATGATGCCGAATGTCGGGTCTGGACGTCAGATGTATCCGCAGGAGGACGATCGCAAAACTTACGATAAAATGGGAGGAGCAAAACAAGCACAGCCCACTCCTCCACAGCACTATCACAACGGTGGATATCTCAACAGCGGCCTCAACAAGAAGCCCTATAACTGGAACTCTTAACTGGTTGCACATGTTCTCAATCTCTTAAATTCGTGTTAATAATAAAAAATCATTGAAATCATTTGCGTGTTGGTAAAGGATATTTCCTTAATTTTTCTACGCGGTTTCGGAACATTTTCTCCATAAAAACGTTTAGAGCATGACTTCACCCGTCGTGCTAGTGACTGGTGTAACCACTACCCTAGGGAGAGCAATTGTCCGTCGTCTAGCTTTTGCGGGTTATAATGTGGCAGCAGCTGGTCAGTGCGCCACAACAGTCAATGAGATTACTCTAGACAACAGAAAGGTTTGTGAGAGTATGCAAGTTTGAGGGTTATGTGTGTTTTGTTGCCAATCAACTGTGAAGTTAGCGCAGTGAACTGATAGGCCTTTTTTTATGAGGTCATTTCTTGGTGAAGGATTCAGTTAGCAGTGGAGAGTATCTTTATTTCGAGCACATCACCTGTCATAAAGGTTTGGGTAGGCGGGTTTTTTCTGAAAAAAAAAAAGTTAGGGTGCGATAACGGTTTTTTTGCAAGTGAATGGTAGTTGGATGTGAGCTGGACGATTCCAAATGCTTAGTTGAAAGTTTCATACAGATACCACATTATGTAACAATTACTTACAATAAGTGAAATGGTGTTTGCACCCGCTATTCTCTTTATCCTAATGTTAAGCCTCCAGTTTTTCACCTAAATATCGTCGAAGTCAAAATGGTTTGCAGACAAATTGTCATTGAAAGCTCAATAAGAAAATAAAATCGAAAATCGTTTCGCATTGTTGTTTTGCTCTTATGCTGGTTTCGTCTGATCCAAAATTAGAAAGATTTGATGGAAGACGAAAAGGACAAGCTGCGGTTTTTGCAGTTCCTTGAATATTGGACGGCTACCTAATTTCAGATCTAGCTGTTTTGAGAGAGATCCCAGAGCAACACATCATGAGATTTTTTCTAATTGCTGAAAAAAGAAAGCATACATGAGTGAAGAGATAGATTAAAACGTTGATAGGATTAGTATGCGAAGAAACCTGATTGCCACAACTCTCATACATAGCATCTTGTATTTTTTAGCTGCGTGTTCATTTTCAAGTGATCGCCCAATCAAGCAAAATCTTGCCCTCAACTTTTCACCATTGAACGCAGTAGATTTAGGTTGGAGGAAATGTTCTTGGTTTTGCTGTCAATCTTGCGAAGGACAGCGATAGAGCTGAGCTGCTTTCTCGGGTCTGTTGTCTTTTGTTTTGAATCAAGTAGGCAGTCGTCAAATTCTTGATAGGATGGATTCGGTACCCAGTGTATATCTCAGGTCGTCACTGAGTTGGGATCGTTGGACTCTTTGATTGTGGTTCCTCCAGATAATAATGTTCACGGTGATATTATAGAGACCACTTCCACACAGTTTGATACGGTAAGCTCATTTAGAAAATGGCACTGTATGGAGATGGCAATGTACATTTGGCAGTTAACGATATTCCTTGAAAAGCCGACAACGCTTGAAGATGACCATAGACATAATTTTGAGTCGCTCCCTATCTAGGTGTTGTCGGCAAACCAAAAACGCAAAAGCTAAGCAAAAAATGGATACTTATGATGCATATACTTGTAGAAAACAAAGAGATTTTTATGAACCGAAGAGCAGCTTTGAGTGCAGAAATTTTTTGGTTGCTGATTTTCTTACACTAAACCGTTTTAGTGCTATGTTGGCTGCCCAAATTACTGAATTAGTCTTATCGTTGTGATTCCAATAATTTCTGTCCGCAAGCAGTTCGTTAGATAAGCACCTGGAGTTGTTTTTTAGTGCAGTTTGTAGCAGATAACTGAAAATGGCTTGCAAGCAGTTACATTGCAGATGTTCGATGATCGTCTTACTATCCCGTTCAAATTAACAAAAGCTGCTTTGCCGATGTTGATGAAGTCAAAGTAAGTTAAAGGGTTTCTATTTTGAATACAATTATACTTTCTATTTATAAGAAAGTAACAATGACCATTATTTCATAACTCTTAGTCCATATACAACCCTATTCTCCGCAGAAGGCTTGTCCGCCCGACACAGAGTAAGGTTTTTCATAGATTAGATTTGAATAACTCAAAAGGATGTTTTTTTTTGAAGCGATTCAATAAGTTCTTTCAAAGCGATTCAATAATGATTGCTGCCCGAAGCTATGTACAACATGCCTTAACGACAGTGAAACTATGAGATTTAAGTGAATATTTTTTGAAAATAAGCAAGGTGACTGACCCTTGAAATTTTATCCAAGCCTTTAACACGTTGACGACGGTGTCGCGCAATGGTGCGCGACAGGCAGTCTGTCCCTGTGGACGATGTCGCGCAATGGTGCGCGACACCCTAAACATCAGGTTTAATGTGCACAATGGTTCCAATTTGTGTTTATATAATCAAGTTAGGCTCGAAAGTATTTCATGTTGGCCCCGCCCCCTTTTTGGCAAACTCCGCCCACTCCATTGCCCTCTATAAAAAACATTCTTCGATCTCAAATCGCATAGAAAAGCTCATAGATGACAGAGGAACTTTAAATAATCTTAATTTTGACCCCGTCCCCCGTAATGCAGGCTCCACCCCCTCAGTGGCAAGCTCCGCCCACTTTTCAAAAATGCCGGAATTTGCACAAATTCATTGATTTTGAGCAATTTCCAGCATTTTTGAGAAGTGGGCGGGGCTTGCCAAAGTGGGCGGAGCTGCCCCGCCCACTGGCATTTGTGTATCTCACGCATAGATGCATGCATATATATGTGCAGCCGGCTGTGAAAACGCCCGGAAACGGTTCGTCCACAGGGACAGACCTTCAAAAAATGGCTCGTCGTCAACGTGTTAAGCAACCTTCTACTGATGATTTGTCAAGCTTTCCTCGAATAGCTATCTTAACTCTATTTATGGAATGGCGCTGTCGTGTACGTGACGTCGTGCACAGGATACTCTCCTAGTGTAGATATAGGATTGTTCTCTGTTGCATCAACTTCCGTGCTCGGACTGACAAAAAATGTGGCTGTGAGTGCGGCTCGATGCGGTGTGCGAGTAAATTCCGTCTGCTTAGGCATGGTCTGTCATTATTCATGTGTCTTTAAGAGAATTCATTCACTGCTCAATTAAAGGTATCCGGTGATGGCTCTGGAGCTTTGTGGGATTCGAAGAAATCAGATAAAGCAGTCAATCAGTTGGAATCAATGATACCTATAGGTCGATTGGGCAGACCATCAGATGCGGCTTCCCTCGTACAGTTTCTAATCTCTCCCAAAGCAAGGTTAGTCACGTTTCATGTTATCTGTCAGTTTTATCTCTTGCTGTGATGGAAGAGCGTTTTTTAGATATATAACGGGTGAGAACTGTGTACTGAATGGCGGTGTTTCATTTAGATTCTAGGCAAGTTTCATCCTTTATAATTGTTGTACACATTTGGTATGTTCTACTTTTTACCTTGTAATGTTTGATATGTTGAATAAATGACGATGCTTTCTTGAAGTAATCATTACCAATCATGCATCACAAAATGCTTTCTTACTTACCCTACAGTATATCATTTTCGTCATGAAATAAATAAATAAATAAATACTCAATATTGTGCGACTTGTGCGTCGGATCTAGTGCTTTTGGAAGAAATACGGTTTGTCTGCTTATCTATGGGACTTTAGCGCAGCTTTGTTTTTCCAACATAATTGACTGTTTTACTACCATATATCGATCGTTATTTTCCATTTGTATACTCGGAAACACCTTAGTTCCTGCGTTGACACAAGTATTTTCCTGTTAATTTGATCCGTATTCTTCCTTTTTTCTTTTTTCTTGTCCGAGGCATGTAAAACTTTATAGTCTGAATCATTTCATCACACGCTTTCAACAGCTGTGTATATCGCTAAGTGAAACAATTTACTGAGAAAATGTAGATTGGTAGGCGCTTGCGGTTAATTATTCGCAGTTGCACGACAAAGGGAAGCTTCGTTAGTGGCAATTAGAGATAGAAGCAACGTATCGTCGATAGCACGAACTGACAGTAGCGAATTAGGCACGTACAAATTTGCCATTGTGCTAGTCGTGCTTTAGAACACTTCAGCCGCTCCGCGCGTGGTCCGCACGTTTGAGCCCGTGCGATCAACAAATCGGCGCTAAAAGTTGTACCTACTAGAAGATGAAAAGAGCGAAGTAATGTGAGGATTTATATTTGTCGTAAAGTAAGTGGTGTCCGAGGCGGATTCGTTTATAACACTTTGCGAGATGAAGTTGCTTTAAAGGCAGCGTCCAAGCAAATCTGGAACTATGGGGATTTTACATGGAAAGTAATTTTGGGGTCCTAACTAAGGCACCACCCAAGCGGCAGCGCAGGTGACTCACTAACGGCTGAAATATACGTCTCCAAATTCGAAAATGGACTCCAGGATCGTATTCGCGTAAGATGGCGCCATCCATCAGTTTCGCCGCGTTGCGCCATGAATCCATGCGAAATACGATCCCGGGGTCAGTTTCGAGGGGAATATCTCAGCCGTTATGGCACTAATGGCTGAGGTATTCCCCTGAACTTCCGGTTGGGCAGTGGCTTAGTTAGGGCTCCGAAATTACTATTTACGCGAGATCTCATGTGTCAAGACTTGCCGGGACGCTGCCTTTGATGACCACTACCTCATGGGAGAGTCAGTTGTCCTAGTCAAGACTGATTTTCGGAAGGGAGCGTAACGCTAGCCTCATTTGTTTCAATAAAATGTTTTTCCGTACTCATGGTTTTACTGAAATCTGTCAGTGCTCAAGGGAAGCTGATGGAAACTTGACGGAGCAAATACCCCCAGTTAAGGGCAGTGGCTCGGCAAATCTCAACCTAGTCAAATTTGCGCTTACCTGGGGTTTTTCAGTATGCTGATCCCGAAAATCCACTTTTGCATCTTAAAAATGGCGAAAATAAGCGTTTTTTAATGCCCTTCCCTTTGGAATTGGACGAGTGGAGCAAGGCCGATGACGTTAAAGTTGCAGGACCCAGTGGTTATAGCGTTGGGGCAGCCTCCAATGGTGAGAAGGACGTTGCCAACTCGTCCAGATGCGTGTAAGATTGGCCTGCGCGTGTAAGTTTGAGAGCAATTTTCTCGGTAAGAAAAGCATGCTATGCAACCGGGATTGCACTGTATTCATACTTGAGCGATAAGGAACCTACCGCGTCAAATTCCTGAGTTGTTGGATTTTGCCAATCCACTGCTTCTAAACCTCTCCGATTACGTTTCAGTAATGGCAGTACTGCTGTTATCCTGATTCCACTTACAAGGAGAGGATACTTAGTCGAAAGCACCAATCTAGATGATATATCATCTGGACGTGCTTGGAGCGCTGATTTCAAATCTGGCAAAATCAGCTGCGGAGCGCCTTTGGGCAACGAGTTATGGTTGTTTTTGTGAAGAAAATTTGAAGTCGAGGGAAGAAAAAAAATTATACGCAGAAGTCTCCAGTTGGGCTCGAATGGGGGAGTGATGTCTGTCAGATTACTCTGCGCAAAGAGAAATGTCTATCTGCTATACACACATTTAAAATGAGTCTGTCTGCAAAATAAACATGTTGTAACAATCACTTTTACTCTCTTTACCCATTGAATATTTTGGCTCTTGAAACGGTCATAGCTCCTTACCCAAAGGCGCTCCGCAGCTGATTTTGCCAGATTTGAAATCAGCGCTCCGAGCATGTCACAATGATATATGTCTCATCTGGATCGGTGCTTTCGACTAAGTATCCTTTCCTTGTTAGTACAAAACGCAGCTTTTTCATTTTTTCTCTAAGTAAGTCTCGGTAGAAAAAGCAGTGTGCTTCGCGAAACGTGCGCGCTCTCTCACACGATTTGAGCTAAGGAGCAGCCGATAGGGGGTCCAAATTTTGTTCGCCAATTCTCGGTACTATTCCACATAAGTTGACCCAAAAAATGAAAATCGTGAATTTCGCTAAAACTTCGTCTAGGGGGATTGTTTGGTACGCTGAACACGAATATGATGTTTATTTCGTGCGGCAGCGCCATCCGGTGGAGTTACGGTAGGATTACGGTAGGGGGTCAAAATCACGGATTTGCCCGAAATTTGGCCCAGAGGTGTTATTCTGCCCGCTGATGCCAAATATCACATTGGTTTTGAACCGTAGCGTCATTTTCTCGGCTACGGTAGATACACGGTAACGGGTGTAAAACATATCATCCCGAAACGGGTGTATGGCGATTCGTATGATCGTGAAGCTTTGCACACATGACCACCGCCGCGCGCTACACACTCTGCTGCGGCTTTTGCCTAAGCAAAGCACAGGAAAAAGATACATTTGCCGATTTGTGTTTTTGACCCCTACCGTAAACCTAGTGTAACCATGCAGGGAGACGTTTTCGTACGGAGAAAGTGTGACATTTCTAATCAGCATGTCGAATAACCCCTCTGTGCAAAGTTACTGCGAATTTCGTGATTTTGACCCCTACCGTAATCCTACCGTAACTCCACCGGATGGCGCTGTCGCACGAAATAAACATCGTATTCGTGTTCAGCGTACCAAATAACCTACCTAGACGAAGTTTTAGCGAAATTCACGGTCTTCATTTTTTGGGTCAACTTATGTGGATTAGCGCCCAATTCTCTTTGGTTCGTTCAAGCTGGTCGTGTTTAAGTACAAGTACGTCGTATACTAGTGAAATTAGAGTACCTTGACATTACAATTTAAGTCCGTGTCAGCTTTGTACCCCCATTCCAACAGCCGAATCGCAGCCCCAGAGCTTCGTGCCGCGTTTGCGCGCATTTAGCTCGTGGTTCATCGCGGGACCGCCGCGCTAAGCCCTTGCGGTGCGGACGCGTAGCTGCTACGGAAAGGACCACTTGATTGACATCGATTGTAAAACCATATGAAAAAATTTCCATATATATATTTACTATCGTTGATTTATATCTTTCCGTTCGCGATAGGTACACTGTGCTTTGTGAGGGTTATTTTTTCATACAACTTAAACATTTTTTTGTGCTTCGAAAACTGGGTCGACTGGCTAGATAAGATGACATAGTAACTAATTAGTCTAGGGACGTTTCACATACTAGAAGTAGACAAATAAACGGACTTTAGGTGATAAGTATCCCCATTTGATCGTATTTTGGCTGTTTGTGCTTGCTGAAATGCAATTCACTTCTCTGTACTTTAAAAAATAGTTTCTACAAAAATGAGCTGATAATGCTTTGAGCTAGGGTAAACGGCTGGGCATTCCTCGCGCGATTTCATCCCCTAGCAATTCTCTAGACAAGACAATTGTTACAAAACCATTGCATGATGATCATCTCGCACTTTGGTTGATAGATAGCTGTGATATTTATTCGTGATTAATCGGAAAACTATTGCAGCTGAAATGCAAAATGATCGACATGCGACGGACTCGTAACAGTTATCTTGTTAAGAATCGCGAGGCGACAAAATCGCATGATGTAGGTATGCCGGATCCATGAGGCGCACGCCACGCCCACTTTGACTGCAGCAGAGACTGACAAATTCAATTGACTCAGTGAGAATGGCGATGAAAGATGGAAGAGCAAGGAATTTCAGCTATGTTAAAGCGGTCTTTGTCCATGGCAAGGTCCGCAGTCAAAACAGCAGACCGCATCACAGGAGAAGAATATGCAGGACGCAGAAAGCGTTTGATAGAGCATGTCAAAAAAGCTGCTATACAGTCAGGTGCAGCAGGTCAATAAGTGGAAGTGCATGTATCATCAGATCTTTTCTAGACTGCGATGTGGTCGTTCTTCTGAAAGGATCAGGGAGGAATTACATAGCGCCAGATGTACCGGGACAGTATAGGCAATGCAGCCACTTCAGGTTGTTTTGGAAACGTTGAATTGCTCCATGGTGAATGATTCTTGCAGGTACTTGAGTGGTGTTACCAGTCCAGACTGTTACTATCTAATCCATGCACCAAAAGGAGGGTCTGGATTAGAACCAATCCTGTTCATGGATAGAAGAAGCCAGTATGAAGAACTGTGGGAAGGTGCGCTACCAAACGAGTCGATCCTCGAAAGCACTGCCGGTTTTGTGGATTTGCTGCCCACTAAAAAGATCACTGAGGCATATTTGCATAAAATAACAGTGTGAAGCATCTGCTGAACAATGAGTTGTAGGTGGTAACCAAGATGGTTTCGAAGAATACTGTATGCTTTCTCGAAACCAACGATTGGAAATCTACGGAGATTCACAATATGCGGGCGCAGTTTGGAGCAGTTCATGGACTCAAATCATATGTTAGTCATATGCTAGTCCGTCTTTTTTTAGAAGACACAGACCACATAATCTGAGATCGATGAGATCTTTAAGCAGTAGCATACAATAGCGAGACCTCTGCAAGTCCTGCTGCGAAAAATTGGTTCGCAGGGTGGTTCACATAAAGTTTGAATTTGAAAAAAAAAAACCACAACTTTGCTGGAAATGCATGAAATTACAAGTTTCGTTACAAGCAATGGCTTGGAGGAGACCGAGGCTCTCATTAGGTCTCCTTTTAACAAATCAAGCGACATGGCTGGAAGAGCAGTCTTTTTCGTTCCCAGGTAGAGCAGAGCGATCCGTAGGATCAACGAACGAATTGAAAGGCCAAACACTGTATGTTCAAATGTGGTCCAGTTGAAGTCTGACGGGCTGCATTCTTTAGTCCATCATGCCATGCTTCAATGGTAGTCGTCTTCCCCACATCTCGTGTCCCATTTCGTCGTTTTCGATTGCGGTTCTTGGTTACATGTAGTTGGTTCACCTCAAAGTCTAAGTAACCGTGGTCGCTATGATCCGGATCAGGGCCTGGCACCAGCTGGCACGGGGCAAGCTGGATATCGTTTTTGGGGCAAAAAGCAAAGGGGGTTTCGTTTTTGTGGACGAAGATATACGCAAAATTGGCGACGGCGACCTTTTTTTAGTCGACGTTTCGTTTTTTTTGGGGGGGGGGGGGGTTTAGGATTTTAAGAGGGATATCGTTGAGGATCAAAGGGCACTTCGTAAAAATTCCCAAAAGTCAGGGGGGACTTCGTTTTGAAAATTTCCTGGTGCCAGCTTGTGCCGAGCCCTGATCCAGATATAGCAGTATTCGAAATTAGCAAGGAAGCAAATGATGGGTTGTGGTATTTTCTTGGATCAAAGCAAACACTGAATTTTTTTAGCAGTAATAGGCCCACCTCAGCGAAAAGAAAATACTACAGTATGTGATTGTCCTTTTGGCCCGTTAAAACATGTTTAGCCTTTCAACTCGCCCAATCTCACGCTTTCTTTCTGGTCTACCAGAAGCAAAAGCCTGCTCCTCCAAAGCCAAGTCGTTTGTTCTGCTAAAAGAAAATCTGGTGAGAGCCTAGGACAAACCATTGCGCGCATTTAAAAAATTGGAAAAGGTTTTAGAGGGTAAATGCTTTTACCGGAGACAGGCGATTCTGGAAAGTAATCGAGAAGATCTTATACAGAATTTTCCGATCAAGCCAAATGTTTATGTTTTCATATAATTCTTGTAAGCTTATAAATCCTTCTTGCGTCACGTTTCATGTGGACCACCCTGCATATCACAGAACGAAAAAACTGTTCCGGGAGGTGGGTGCAGCTGGGCTTGCCGGGAGACAAAAGATAATGAGCGAGAAAGTGGACTTCAAAGCATCTAAACGTTGAAAATGTTGAAAAAAAGCAGATTTTCGACATTTTAAAGCATTTCTGAGCCCGTAATTGAACGTAGTTTCGGCTCTCACTGCCTCAGCCAAGTTTATAGGCGTGGCAACCCTAGCAGCACTTACCTTTGGGGACGTTTTTCTCGCTTCAAAATACATCTTTTGCAGCGAACCTGGGCATTATTTAGTAGAGCTTCGCTGTTTGAGTGCAATGTTATCAATTTTGGATTGGGGTGGATGGTGGCTTTAAGCCTTTATTTTTTTTTAGATCGATCAACTACGCGTTGTGAAGTCGCCAGCAGAAGTGCAAGCCATGAGGGATACGTGCGGATTGGGTTCTGAGGTAACTGTGACTTTAGACACCCCCAACTGCGCTTACTAACACATTTTTCAATCGAATCAGATGGTCTCGTCAACAATTGCCGGATGTAGAGGATTTGACAGCGAAGCAGCTATTGTTGGACTCTTAGGCTTTGAAGCTTTGAGGTTTGATTGCTTCAAAAACTATAAGACTTTGGACCTCGTTTGGGTTTTTCAACACACGGAAAAAATTATGGAAGGTTCAAAAGCATTCGACAGTGACGTACTACCGCCCCCCCCCCCCCTTTTACCCTTTTCGGAATGGGTAGTGAAATTTTTAGAAGTAATTGAATGGGCCAGTGCTTTTGGAAGTTTCTCGAATTTGAGTTGAACTGTAGGATGCATGAATGCTCTCCTCTTGATTTCTGCGATCAACGTGAGAAGCTCCATCAAATTTTTGTCACGCTTTAGAATTATAAAACTGCGTAAGCAATTTTTTTTTGGTGGATGAAGGTAATTTTTTGTATTTTAAAAATTATTAGAATCTATATCTTAATCTAAATCTATATCTTTGTAAAAGAATTTTTTCGCGGGGTGACTGTAGTCACGCCGTTTTTTTAACTTTTTTCTTTTTGGCGTTATGGCCCGCTGAAATTTGACCATTCTGAAAGTTCTCTTCCTCACTAACATTCAAAAACTTGATGTCGCGGCATACTTCCATCAAATTCATGAAAATTTCCATAACCTAGGAATAGTGCGGTTTGAAAGATGGTTAAAAGAAACTGATAAAGATAAGTCACATTTTTATGAAGTTTCAAGAATTACCTTGAGTTTACAAAAGTTACGGATTATTTGTATAATACTGTAACGCATGTGGATCACTTTTTCGCGCTTTATTTTTTTTAGAGGATGGGGGGGGGGCCAGTACTCGAATGAACTAACTAAATAAATTATTTTTGTTATACAGCAAATCGTAGGTATTCAGACAATGTACTGGCGAGTCACTTGAAAGTTTATCTTACAGACGTGGAGCTGAAATGCTTGCGTATCCTCCAGTGGTAGCTGCAGGTGCGCGAGCTAATACAATACATTACTTGGATGCTAATCAACGAATTGCTAAAGGGTGAGCAGGTTCTCAAATCTAAATGATTATAAACAAGCAAATACCGTAATCTGATACTTCTTCCAGTGATTGCGTCTTAATGGATGCTGGCTGTGATTTGAACGGATACGTTTCTGATATAACAAGGTGTTATCCCATTAATGGAGAATTTACACCCGCTCAACGGTCCCTCTACGACGCCTTGCTGTATGTTCACGAACAATTACTGGTTTACGCCAACGATGTGGAGAAGGTACATTACAGCTAACGGTAGTAACGAAACGAAGCGAGAAGGGAGGAGGGGGGGGGAGAAGGGAGCGCAACTTCTGATAGTTGTTTACATGAGTTATCAAGGTATTAGGAGACCCCATAATTTTTGAAAGTTTTTACTTTCTTCCGCAGTACCTCTCATAATTGAAGTCTACCGCAGGACGAAGGCACAGGAGCAATTGTTAGTTGAGCGACGCGAACGTGGTGCGCGCTTATCTTCACCGTTGTAAAACCTGCGCCTCATGCGCTCGGCGGCTAATAAAGCCGCATTTGCGCTCAAAGATATTGCGCCTTCGCCATGCAGCAGCCTTATCTTGTTTCTTAGATAGGTTTTGCGGTATCATTCGACAGACCAAAGCAAGCTCTACAAGATATAGCACCCGAACATTTGCTCAGTTTGTTATACGTAAAGTTCGAAACCGAAATCTAAGAAGACCTAAATGCCCGAAAAGTCGAGAAAAAAATTGTATCTCCGTTCAATAATCTCCTACGGATCTTCTTACCTGCTAAGGCTTAAATTTTCTACATTTCTCACAGTTTTACTTCCAAGCTTCATGCTATAGAATAACCTGGGGAGCTGGCCAGCACAGCTTCGGCAAAAACATGAAGAGAATTTTGTGCCCTATTTCTAGCCATGCAACAAAATTAGCAAATGTACAGATGAATACCCGGCGTGGAATGTAAGTGCCTGAGCAGGCGGGAAATTTGTAGGAATATTTGGAAAGGAGATACGATTTTTTTCTTGACTTTTCGGGCCTCAAGATTTTGTTAGATTTCGGCTTCGAACATTTTGTAGAACAAGCTTCGAGCAATTGTTTGGGGGCTTTCTTATAGAGCTTGCTTTGATCTATCGAATGGTATTGCAAAAGCTATTTAGGAAACAAGAATATGAGTTATTGCGGAAGAAACTACCAAACTATGGACGGTAAAACGATATCCGGATAATTTATTTTTGCTTATGAATGCCTATAATAAATTTTAATTTGAAGGGTCAAATCAGTTATTTTCTCTGAGAGATTATAAGCCCACCAGAAATTTGGGAATGATCCCAATGCGGGCAATGATTTTCTTTTATGGACAATTTACTTTGTGTATTCAGATTCGTCTGAGTCATCTGTACACCCGTATGATTGAGTTGATTGCGTCAGCGATTCTAGAAGTCGGTCTGCTACCACAATCGGTCGATCACAGACAGTTGCTCGATGTCAGTTATTCGACTAAGTGGGGTATAGGAACGAATGTGCCATCAATCTCCAGCATCGTGGACTACTAGTCCTCACGAATTACGCAATAGCATGAGCGAGAGGACCAATGGTTCACGTGGCAGTGGTTGATGGCGGTAACGGTTCCTCCACCACTCCGACTGCTCTTTCGTGGTTCCAGTTATTTATGACAGGCTGCCGAGTCATTGTGCCCGCATCATGTCAGTCATTACCTTGGCATGGACGTCCATGATTGCCCCACTATATCTCGCGACGTTGATGTCCCTGCTGGTACCGTCTTCACGATCGAACCGGGTTAATTGCCTGAATTCTCTCCATAGAAAGTTTCTAAATGGCTTTTTTTCTAGGACTTTACATCCCAACCAAATCTTCCTTCCCAGAGGAGTTTCGAGGTATAGGATTCAGAATAGAAGATGATGTTGTAGCGACCAAAAACGGTATAGAGATACTGACCGATACCGTACCTCGTTCCTCTAGTGAGATAGAATATCTCATGCGATCTCGATAGAAGTCTTGCCTCTCCATCTGAAAGAAAATATTGCACTGAATAAAAGATAGTTTTTTGGGTTCGTGTACTTATAGAGCCGCTGTGTAGCCGTCGCAAGGTTACAGAAGTACGAGTTCTCAACTTTCGACTACCACCAACGATGTGTGAAAGGATCTAGGTGGCCAATCTTATGTCTTCTCAAAAGAAGTTACGCTAAATTCTAGTAACTAGGCTTTTGCTATTTGCCTAAGCGGATACTGTAGTTCATTCGTAACAATATCAACCCTTGACTTCTCGAATCGTATTTTTTCCGAGCGGACCAATAAGTCTGTAAATACGGTACGCTCTACCGCGCACTTCGTCTTTGCTCCGCTTAAAGTACAATTTGGGCGGAAACTTGAAGATGAATCACTCGACCACATGATTTAGAGCTGTCGCTTGGGCGATGACTTGGTTGAGGCCCTCAATCACTAATTAACAAATCTCAAACTTCAAATTAGCTTAGGTAGGACTATCAGTGCATATCCGTACTCAAAAATCAATCTTCGACGCTTATGATGTACTGAAAAACCTAATTTGAGATGGAAAATCAACGCAAATTCAGGTATTAACTGCGACCCCACTAGTTGCAAGTGCTGTCACAGGCACCTGGTACTTTTCTATGCTACCCCTGAAACAATCTTTAACTTGCGTGATTCCCACGGACCGTTTCTATGATTTGGCTTGTAGCATGAGATAGACTAGGGTTTATTTGCTACGCTGTGCCAGCGCCGTTTCAGCGCCGTGGTGGGGCAACTCGTACATGGAAGTACCGCCTGAATCATTTCCGCCGGCGCAATGGCACGGCGCTAGAACTGCGCCGGCATGGGCAACTTTAGACGCAGTTTGAAATGAGGTCAAATACCAGTTTCGGTTGGGCATATGCGTAGAAGGAAGATCAAAAAAGGTCGTCGAGATCAAAATATGAGGTCAGTGTCTCACGGGGAACACATGGCACCGAGACAACTTCCTATTCTGTGCTCTTTCGTACGCAACATCCTTTCTAAACCTTTATTTTCTCTCAACATCCTACCTATTAATTTGGTTAGTAGACATAGTTAGTGTTTTGCTTGAGACTACTGAAATATAATTATGTGCTTTTCGCAATTTTGATTATGTCCTTTGTGAGTTTGTGATGAAATGTTCGTTGTGAGACGTTTGATTGAAGTCGACTTCTTCGGATTTAAAATTGATGAGTTCCCTGATAACGTCATGATCAGCAATTCGTATCAATCGTAACGCCGACTTTGGTATACTCATTGGCGGGAGTGTCTGGAATATTTCAATTATTTTTAATTTGGATGAACATCACTTCAAAAATAGTCCTTTCCACCTCCCACTTGTATGCTCTCATGTCAAATCTTTCTACCGTATTCGTCGTTCTTGAGCCGTCAAAACCTCCTGCTATGTAGATACAACCGTTCATACTTTCTATACCAAAATTTGATCTGAATACCCACATCCTTTTCTCCCATACTTGATCGTCATGATTCATTATTCATCACACGCAGAAACTGAGCGCTTTTGCACTGACTGAGGAAGTTCGTGTTCAGAGGAGACGGCAGGCAGTAAGAGGGGTTATAGTCCGCGTTTTATCAGACAGACGCCGGCGCGCCCGCAGTGGCGTCTTGTCTCTGCGTGCGATGATTCGTCTAAAATGCTTCTACCCTTAGCTTACCTAGTAATCTCCATATCAGGCAACGGATACCATAGACCAACTCGGTGATCGTAAAATTCCGTACTTTTCAGACGTCGCACACCATTGAAACCGCCAACGACAATCACAGCATTCGTGTCGTATGTCACGGCAGACACTCCTGTCCGAACCGAGCGCATTACTGATGAACCGGTTAGCCTGAATAGTTCTTTCTTCTTGAGAATAAAGAAGGTGAGGTGAGGAAGGTGGAAGTGCCGCTCCCATGACTGACTTCTATGGTGGGAACAGCTCGGAATGATAGCCGACTGACCGTTGCAAGACTTGAGTAGAATGAATAGCACTAGATGTTCGGATGTGTACTCAAACTACCTTCTGATAATTTCACAGGTTTTGACATGTTTGGGTTCCATTTCGCAAACAAGTAGGGTAAACTCAGCTTCTGATGGGTAGAAAGGAATGATACTAATATAGTAATTTCTCTGGACACTGAACCTTTCACAGATTCAGTTACGCTCCGCTTGAGTACTAGTAGTCCGCTGAGAAGGAACCCGTCAGCGTCCTTGTTCCTTCACTGCGCGGTAGAGTAAGTCCCGTCCGCATAAAAGTCCCTGCAGCGAGGGAAACGGCGTTTATAGTCATGGAGTTCTTGCAGCAGTGTGCGCTCGCGCCCCGATCATGTTCAGGAGCGACATTCCTCTCGCCCCTCGTTGCAAGGGCTTTCGAGGCCTCAAAGTGCAAGTGTAGAAAAGCGCGAGTCGCTAGTACCCTCTGTACCATCAAGAGTGATTTTAATTAGGTATGGGGAATGAGGGGGGCGTATTTTTACGTCTGGGCTGCCAACTGGAAAACGTCGCGCTCAACAGGCTGCCAGTGATCCCGCTCCGGGAATTCGGTCAGTACGATTCGCGGCACATAGTTTCTCAGTTTCTCACCCTTTGTTAAAGTTCACAGATTATTCCCATATTAGTTTTGGTTACTTATTTACAGCTCTGCCACAAAACTTGTAAAATGAACGCTTTGAAGGACAAAAAGACACAAACTAAAGAAAGTAAAAGAATAACAATACAGAAGAAGCATTGGTAATCTAGGTAAATAAATTTGACAATTTTTCTGCACTGCTGCTCCCCGCGCGCGACGATTTTTTCCCACCCAGATGTAACGAGCGCCCTCGGAAATGAGTAGAAAACAGCTCACAAGAGAGGTGCAGAGTACAAGCGAGGCGGTCGCGCGGGACCTAGCAGCACGAGGGCCCTTGATACACCGAGGTCGTCGAAACGCATTACGTGTCCGGCCCATTTCATTCTTTTCTGCTTGACATATGCAGCAGCGTTCCTGATGAAGGAGTAGATCTCCGTATCCCTTCTCACCGGCGCGGGTCAATTCACTCCTAACATCACTCTCCCAACAGCACGTTTGATGATGTCAACTGTGTGTTTATACTGCTTCCTCATTGTCCATTTTCTGAAGCGTGCGTCAAAGCAGGAATAATCTCGAGTTGAAGAGGTGGGCGCGGAGCTAAATGTTTTTGACCTTTTCACTACTTTTCTAAGTGTCTTGCGCTGCTCATTTCGTCCAGCTCAGTTCCGGTGCTAGGCCGTTCATCATTTTTATTTCGCGATCTGGGTAGGTGTAGCTTGAGCATTCGGTGATGTTAGTCCCGTTGAGCATGAGAGACACTTTTCCGTTTCTCACGAATATCACGAATCTTTGTTAGTTCCTGCTGTAGACCGATTCACACACCTCGTCAAACTTGGCTAGCATTCGTTCCGCTTGCGTAATGCTCGGCGTTATTAGTACGATGTCATCAGCAAAGCGAAAGATGTAGTTGCTCACGTCGATGATGATGTCCTTGTAGAATGGTGTGATGCTGGTTTGTTACGAATTGTTGAGCAATCCTCTACGAGCGCCCTTTCACCGTTCATGATTACATAATAATGATAAGAAATTACTCGACCTCCTCACTCCCCCTACATGTTCGAGAAAAAACCGCCCTACGGGACACCTATACTCGTTAATATAAAGAAGTGCCCTATGGACCGCTAGACCGATTTTTGAAAAAAAAACTACCACCTTCCCCTCCCCTCCCCCACATGCAGATACAATCACGAAAAAACTGCTCTATAGGAGCTTACAGACCCATATTCTAAATAAAATCTGTCCTATGAGCACAAACCAGTTTCTCAAGAAAGTGCCACACTATAAGTCGCTTATGGATCGAAAAATATCCCCATGGACATCCAACAGGCCAAAGTTTTGAAATGTGAGAGCTTTGCAAAAACTGCCCTATGGGCCGTCCTCTTACCGATATCACGAGAAAACGAAAGGACTGTCCTCAAGTCATCATCGACAGTCGTTGTGCGCCATGGGCCATGGATACTTCAATAAAATAAGAAAATGTGAACGTGACATCATGTACATGAACGTAGAATACTACAAAACTTACTTTGGACTGAACTGGCACGTTGTCAAGGCTAGCAAGAAAACAGTTTCAAAATCAGTCATACATACAAGGTGTGGCTTGTGAAAAAGAAGGGGGGGGGGGGTAGCAACTCAGTGAGAGTGTCGGCACCTCAGAAACTATAACCAGGGTCAAGCAAGGGGTGATAACAAAACACTGCTTGTTTTTAGAAATGTTTCATTTTCAAAACCATTCCATCATATTCTCCATTCAAACTAAGACTCATTTATTCTGTTGCAGTTCCCACCTCTGTATCATTACCTGTTTTTTTACCATTCTTATATATAAAGCTGAATGTCTGTTTGTCTGTCTGTCTGTCTGTATGTCTGTCTGTATGTATGTCTGTACGTATGTTCCGAATAGAAAATTCCATTTCTGAACCGATCCGGACCAAACTTACACACATACACTAGGGGCCCCGGCGGGTGTCATAGGCTACTTTTCGTCATCGATCGATATCGATTTTATCGATTTTTATCGATTTTTTGCAAAATTTGAGCTACGGGGCTGGGAGCTGGCACAGGGGGGTAAGTGAGCATGGGGATTCCGAATACAATATTAGTTTTTAAAATCGTGCATTACTTTTATCGATTTTATCGATTTTTTTGCAAAGTTTGAGCTACGGGGCTGGGATTTGGCACAGGGGGGGGGGTAATCGAGCATGCTGATCACCCCCGTGGGGGTGATCAGCATGTTCGATTACACTCCTCTGCCAAATTCCAGCCCCCTAGCTCAAATTTTGCAAAAAATCGATAAAATCGACAAAAGTAATGCACGGTTTCGAAAACTAATATTGTATTCGTAATCAGCATGCTCGATTACACCCCTCTGCCAACTCCCAGCCCCGTAGCTCAAATTTTGCAAAAAAACGATAAAATCGACATCGATCGATAACGAAAAGTGGACTGTGACACCCGCCGGGGCCCGAAGGGTATGTGTGCCAAGTTTGGTCCGGATCGGTTAAGAAATGGAATTTTCTATTCGGAACATACGGCGGAGCCGGGTAAGGCAGCTAGTAAGCTATATGTAAATAGACTAACCATGACTGCGATTCGAAATCGAGCATCTCAATATCATTGTGTATTAGTCTTCCGTCGAATCCTCCAATTATCGTGGGCCTGCCTGCTAAAACAACAGCACCGGCATCAGATCTGAAGCGCATAAATTTGTATAGCCGATTTTGCGCGTCGACGCTGGACCTTTGCTTTGCCATGAATGGGAGATGGTACCAATGATTCTTCTCGAGATTCAAAATCTCGCCCGAGTTTAGTCTTCGAAAGCCGTTGTATCTGTAAATGGATATCTTGAGTATAACTTTCACTGGGCATCTTAACGATCATTGGAGAATATTGTAAGATCCCGATTATAATCAGCCGTCTCAGCCTGTTATGATTGTGACATTGGATGTCACATTGTGATCTATAGCCAGGACAAGCGAGTATGTACTACGGCAGAGCCTCCCGAGCGGTGAAAGAGTACGTTTTGAAATTTACTTCGCCGACTGTTTGATGAGAGCGGACCAAAACACAGCCTAATAGTCTGTTCTTGCCGGGAAAATTTGGATCTGGATCGCCTATCCGAATAAAACCCCACACATTGGATTCACTAGGGCGCTGTGGTAACAAGACCGAGACTAGCTTTGCTATAGTGCCTTCATACCGCGCTGACAGCCGCACGTTAGCCGCTTGTAGCCGTCGCCAGCAACGTACCCGCCATCAGCGCCGTCAGTTGCTCTTATATCATGAAAGCGAGAAATCATTAGATTGTTGCGCTGCCATGCGTACGCCTAAACGTTGGAGACCAGAATTTTAAAAATTTACGCCATTTTTGCGTGTTTTGACAGTTGGCAGTTAAACTCATATAAATCTTGAATGTGAAATTGTGTGATTTTGCGACTTCATAGGTTTTATAGAGTAAGGTTTGCCTTATCAGGATATATTTTAGACGTTCCGATCCATTGAAACACCTCCGAGATCCAGAGCCTTGAAAAAGCAGGTAAAAAAGCGCTTTTTGAAATTCAACAGCTCATAACTTCTTCAGAACTGCATAAATCATGTTGCGACTTCATAGGTTAGATTCTTCTCATCAAGAGCTTTCAGATGATATACAATTTGTGGGGGTTTAGAGCCTCCTACGAATTATGCCCGTGGGGGGAGCCTTTTCATACCAAAGTCTCCCCCTAGCCCACTTCGATGTATTGGAGGGGGGAGACTTTGGCATGAAAAGGCTCCCCCCATGGGCATAATTCGTAGGAGGCCTTAAACCCCCCCATATTATATATCCTCTGAAAGCTCTTGATGAGAAGAATCTAACCTATGAAGTCGCAACATGATTTATGCAGTTCTGAAGAAGTTATGAGCTGTTGAATTTCAAAAAGCTCTTTTTTACCTGCTTTTTCAAGACTCTGGATCTCGGAGGTGTTTCAAGGATCGGAACGGCTAAAATATATTCTGATAAGGCAAACCTTACTCTATAAAACCTATGAAGTCGCAACATCACACACTTTCACATTCAAGATTTATATGAGTTTAACTGCCAACTGTCAAAAACACGCAAAAATGGCGTAAATTTTTAAAATTCTAGTTTCCAACGACTGTCTCTCAAATCCACTCGACTTTTCCACTAGCTGAAATAGCACCATTTACTCTTTAAAACCTATGAAGTCGCAACTGCTGACATCTTCAAACAACAGATTTATAACAGTGAAAATTTTGCATGATTTTTCACTATTTAAATATTCAAAATTCTGGTTCTCAGCCGTTACTGCCTAGATCGACCTACTTCCTTCGCAGTATGTTATGACAATTTAATTAATAAAATCCGTACAGTCCAACAAACTTTTACTTCCAAATACACCATTTACTAAACACGTCTATTTTGAATTTTTATAAATAAAATTTATAAATATTCTCCATATGCATCGTATCTGTGGCCCTAAACAAAGCGGCTGGGTCATAGTTCGACCTAAAAGATAGCTCTGTTCGACCGTTCTACCCCCCGTCGACGTTTTTGGGAGGTGAGTGTCCGACACTACCACCTTCACTTTTAGCCGGCCAGTGGTAGCTGGGACCACCTTCACTTTCGGTGGGCCCGGCTCCCCCCATCGCACCTTTGGACCAACCTTATTATTTTTCTTTTGCGATATTCTGAATCACAAAGACGAGACATTCTTTTGAAATCTGTACTGCGACACCGTGATATTGGTTGCGTCGGAATTTGAGAAGACGTTGCGTTTAGGTGCTTTATGGATGGTAAGCGTAGAGCCTCCGACGCGCTGCTCTATCGGTCTATGTCTCAGTTGCCGCAGAGCGCCGAGAGGGGGTTCGAGTCGATCAGATGGGTTTCGTATCGGTGGTGACTCCCACTTCGGATTGTTACCCAGTACGTTGTAAAGAGGCAAGGTCTGAACGCCACAAGTTAGAAGAGTCGTTTGGTTGTATAGAGTGACAAGAACAAAATTCCTCCGAAGATGACGATACCTGTCGACACGTTAGGCAATAAACATCCACCCTAAAAACCTGTTTGACACAATATCGTTCACAAAGTACTCGCTGTCTGTTTTCCCTATTTCGTTGTGTTCCTTCAGCATCGTCTCTGCATTAGTAACACGGTCAAATAAGGATCAAAAAGGGCCTTTGTTTCGCAGAACATGCCATCCAAAACGGATGTTTGAGAATTTCCTCTCAACTCGTATGCCTCGTCCCAGTTTAGCGATCATCACCCACTGCACGGGCGCGGTGAACAGCTTCGGCGAGATGATGCCGGCTTGTCGGTCGGATTTCTTTCTAGAGTGGTCAGCGGTCGATGCGACAGCTGCAATCCCTTGCAGCAGCCGGTCAGTGTTTAATAAGGTGGGTATACTTCTAGGTTCACTGTCGCTGACAGAATAGAAGTATTAACGCTGTCAAAAGCTTTATGGTAGTCGACGAAAGTTAGGACAAGACGATGGCGGTACTTCCGGCAGTTGTGAACCTCGAAAACGCTAAATAGTTTTCTTGCAGCTGATACCATTCGCGAAATTTGACTCGTTCGTCGTGAAGAACGGCAAAGAAGCATGTCAGTGATAAAAATCTATTCTTTTTTCCGTTTTTTGTACGCGGCTCGATAATTAGGAGAAGCTTGCCACAGCTCTATCTCTCTAGGCCTTTAAGGCTTTGTTACTTTACAAATTTGTTTCAAAAAGCTTACCCTCCTATAGCCACAACGTGATATTTACCATTGGGATCTATGAATGAAGTGGCGGCAACGTAACATCTTCTATCATGCATATTCGTCACATATTCCCAATTCTGAAGAGAAATGCGAATGATTCCGGATTTCCACTTAGACAAATACAGTTGATCTCCGCTCTGTTGTGTTTCCTTCAAGGGAATTTGGGATGAAATTTGCGCGCGAACAATTTGGTACGTGATGCCGGCCACCCGCGCGCGCAAAGATGCGAACATTACTGACGTGGATACGTCAGCAATATGTTCACAGTATGTTCACGCTCAGATCTTATCGCTACTCTTGGCATCGCAAGCGTACTATACTGGGCGGAAAATCTACTACACTGTACCTTTTTATTCAAATCAAAGAGTTTTGCATGCTGAAAGTATTCTCTGCCATTGAAGCCTCCAAAGATAATCATTTTTTCATTACACAACACCGCTCCATGATAAGCGCGTGGAATTTCTCTGAACAGTTTGTGTGATTTTTGCATTGAAAGTCTTTCGAAAAAATCCAACCTTATCTTTGAGTCTGGTAACACCCAACTATGAGATCTTGGATTAAACACTTCAACGATATCGGATGGCCCGCCGGTGCTCCAGCCACCTGTATCACGAATATCTTTTGATATACGATTCACATGCTTTAAAGTGTTCTCTTACAAGCACGCAAAAGGGTATCCCAAAAATATGTTTGATTCTTAGGTCATCTTGAGTACCTTTTTATATGGGTTCTAATTTACGATAGAAACTTCAGAAGGAATTTTGCGCCTGTGAAAGTATATTGCCCCAAAATATTCGGAAAAGCTGGAGATTTTGTCCAGCTCAATAAGCACTGCTAATTCCATATATGAACTATTTGCTACACTTCAAAGGCACTGACTCGGCAAAATCGAACATCTCGAAGTTTTTATACGGAAGGTTGGTTGCACCCCAAACACGACGTTGAAGCAGGTCCGAGCGCACAGCATGCAACCCCTGCCTAGAAAATTGCCTCTAAACCCGTGCGCGCAAGCAATTCTTACGCAGCTCGGGCGAGCTTGCGATCCCTTAAGGGAATTTCCCACCTTCAGAGGCGGCATGCCACAATGCGTCCATTCAAATTGAAGGGGTTAGGAGAATGCTGGTTTTCGCCATTTTCGCGCTCTTAAAAGTGGGTTCCGGAATCAGCGCGTCGAATTACCCCAGGTAAGCGAAAAAACCAAAAGTCGAGAATTTGCCGAGCCACTGCCTCTAATATCTACTATAAAAAAGCTACAACGCTAATACTGTAGCGCGGTTTTTTCCAGTAATCATCAAGAATCTGGTGATACCATCGTAATCTGATGAATAACCCCTGAGGGCCAAGTTTTAGCGAATTCTGAGGATTCCCAATAGTGGGTGGTCACCCAAGCGAAGTTTTACAAACATGGTTGACTTCTTTTATAGGTTTAGCTGCCTCTTTACTTCCATACCCAAGACAAAGCACTTCTCCCTGTTTGCCCATGCCTGAATCCTGCTTTTAATAGCCTTGAAAGCATAAAATTAGGAGCCGGCCAAATTCTTTTGTCCCCTTTTTAGCTTACAGTAACATGCTGATGCTCTACTACATGAATCGCAAGGGGAAGGCGGCAAGAATTTTCGGTAGTTTAGACCTCGTAATTCTCACAGAAGTGATTTGAGCCTAATTGGTTTTTTCAGTGTGAGATACTGAAAGCGAAAAATGGGACAAACGAGATTCTGGCTTGCTTCTGACTCCACAGTTCGGCGATTTTGAAGCGGATTTGTGGGTTGGACAAAGAATGAATACGTTCTACTGAGTGCAAAAAGGAGAAGCTAGTTCACTTCCGCAATAAAGCTAATCAAGTTCGAAATCGACCGTTTCACTCGAGTGGCTCAAAACATGGAAACTTCAGATTTCGATCAAACTTGGTTCACAGGGGTCATTTAACATGTTGATTATGGTTATTCTCTTTATGTTTGATAGGGCCTCTTTATTGTGCTACGGTAGGTTTATGTTGACAATTTAATACATCATGTGCTTGTATTTCGCATACTGGGTGTTCTAGAGCTGTTCAACATGACTGGAACTCGCTCACTATTAATAGATTAAGCTGAGGCGACCTACGGGGCTGCGGCGTACCCGCCGCGCCCTGATATGTTTGCGTGTCGTTATGTCTATTATCAAATGCTTCTAGTGAACCCGCGGCATATACGCCGATATGTATAAGGGGAACCTTTGTGTTTTTCTAATAAAGTGTTAACGGCTCAACGCGTTCCACACTGGGATTACCTGGCAATCTGCTTACCATTATCATGTTATCGCCATTATGGGCAATCATCTACGACCCCCTTCCCCCCCTGACCTCTCAGTACGACCCCCCCTCCTTGGGTGGCGTGCCACAGCCCACGCTTTACCCTGGTCATAACCTACATAATGGCAAATTTAAGTTCATCATATCCAGTGAGAGAGAAGTTATGAGGAAAAGTTGCAAAACTTAGTTAACAACCTAATATATTCCGGGTAAGTAATGCACGTTTCGCTTGCCACCTTACGGCATGTTTGCACAAAGTTTGTCTAAAAATAAGGAATTTTCTGAAGATTTCTTCTGAGCCTGTTTGTCTAGAAATAAGGAATTTAAGATTTCTTCTGAGCTTGTTTGTCTAAAAATAAGGAGTTTTCTAAAGATTTCTTCTGAGCCTATCTAGGTATCGTGATGTGTATGTTCCAAATCGGTTTATTTGCATCAAATCATTCAGTTTCTTGCTCATAAAAGATTGTTGTGCAGAAACTGCGGCCTCATATTATGTTGCCCGGGGGGGGGGGGGGGGGGGTACGAATTTGTTGGATTGGTAGGAGTCGGTCAAACATCGGAAGCAATTCTTATGCTAACAAAAATTAGAGATATTCAGTTTTCGGATAATAATTCAGCAATATCTTCAGCTACTATAAATCACTTTGAGTGCGGATCAATGCCCCGCGAAGATGACACACCACTTGCTTTTTTATTTGAAGCGATATTCAGCCTCCTCGATTGTCACCTGCGCCGCTCTTTGGCCGGTGCAAGAATTGCGCTTCATGAATCTCTGTTGAAGATTTTGATAGACTAATACTTGGAAGGAACTTGTTTGTGCATTAGGACTTAACTTTTATGGCAAACGCACATAGGAAGATATATAATACTCAAATGGAGTCGTTCCTCGAAGGCAGCATCCACGCAACAAAGTGGGTGGGGGATGCACCGCAATCGCATGGTGTTAAAAGGCACACCTTCCAACGAATAAGTGTCTAGAAAGCCCCATTTCTAAACGCGACGGTTCGTCGATTTCACATTAAACTGCTTATAACACGTAGACCATAGACTGCACAAGGCTACATCTCTATTTCTGGTGTACTCTGCATCTGAAGATCTCAACTCAAATTTGAAAGCTCGTTCTCCATATTTTTCGCCCTCCGAACTGCCGTAGAGAGAGCGAAGAATTCTTGATTCTAGTTATCATCGGGTTTCTGCGTTTAAGCTGAGACGGATGGGCGGTGTAGTGCTCCCGTTTTAACCTCCGTTTCGACAGGGTGGCGCGTCGCGAAGCTCACACTGTTCATTGAGCGCTAGGCTGTCCTTCCCTAGAAGGGCATGTGATAAGAAAACTGAAAAACCAGTTATGCGGCTACACCATTGCATCAACAGGATCAACTCGATCGACAAAACGTAGAACTTGCGCAAGCGGGAACGCTGTCAGCTGTCAGTTGATAATTATGGATTTCAGAGGACTAGATTCACAACAACTCAGACGTGTTACCTATAGCTAATATTATTTCCCTAGGTATCCTATCTCGGACAACTGGGCCTAATCGACAGTCTGTTCCTTTGCGCAGAAGTCCGTCAGCTTTTAATTTTATCATACGTTCGTTATTCTTTGGGTTTTTCTGAAATGCACATGTACACGTTTTATGTTCAAAGAACTGGTTAACCTTACCAAAATCCAATTTGTTATCAATGATTCTTCTTCTTTGCTACCGACATCTAATCTTTCGTCGGCTAATGCTTCTAAGATTTCGCACTCCGTCATTCGTTCATAATCTCCGGAACTCATGTGCTGAAGAGTAGGATACATTTAAACGCTTTTATAGCAAAGTTGTAGTCTGAGTCCCTTATATTTGCAGTAAGATGTTTATCACCAATGAAGACGACATGGAGAAGAAGAGTTCCGCGGATGGCATAGAAACATGCAACACTTCGTCTAAAGATAGGAACGAGACGGAAATTTCAAGATGTAATTATCATAATTATAAACTTTATTACTACTACCATGGCATCCTTCTGCAGCGTTCTCGGTTCACGGCCTCTTATACCCTTGGCTATCAGCATTTATCATTGTAATTTCCCAACCTCAATCGTTGTCAAAAGTGGACGCTTCTTATTGAGGATGTAGATTTGCCTTCGAGAAAATCAACATGTGTTGGTGATCTGGATGCAGACATTGGATCTCTGCGAGAGAAAAGAATAAAGTTGGGTAGATTCGAGAACTTCTATAAGGACAGCAGGAACAGCAACTACTATGTTCGGCTTCTTCTATTGCACGCTTCGAATATTAATCTCATGAAGGAATACTGTCCTAGAATGGAGTTGTGGAGCCTTTGTTCCGCGATAGCTTTTCCGTTCTTTGGTGCTATATATTATCTTCTTTCGACGGAATCACGCTGCTATTGAAAGTGAACAGGATCTATTGGATACCATCTGCAGCAAACGTGTCCTTTCCGAATATTACCAGTGAAGCAGTGATAATGTTGAGAATATGCCAATTTTGGAAGACTGTGATCTTTCAAACTCTGATCCCTCATGTTACAGCAAGAACCCGAAAAAGAGAAGAATGAAAAACAAGGTTATCAAGGCGTGATGAACCTCGCGGAAGTTATCGAGCAATCCAGTTGATATGAAGCTCTCTTTGTACTTCAATACATACTCGGGCCTGACATTATAGCTATTGTCACACGTTGACCGCCCGAAAACATAATGGAACTCATAACTTGAAGAACTCAAACTGCATCTTCTTTCCATTTTGATGTGAGGTCGCCTTACCCTGCAGTCAACGGCAATGTACACCTAGGGTGCAGCTCGCTGGACTTTATTGCAGAAAAAGCAGGCAGAAGAAGATGAATCTCGATGACACTAAACTAGATTCTTGACGAATTGTGATTGAGGTCCGATATTTACACACGAACATGCTCAGATGTGAAACACGTAGTCTACAAGTAGACTAGCGAAATACGACTTTGATACCTGCAAATGCTGTCATCCTCGGATAGTATGAGAATCGCAGAAATATAGTGAGAGACAGGGGCGAAATTTGTGCAGTAGCCTACACAATCAGTAGACAAGGGAGACGTTTTCAAATTATGCAAAGCTGATGGTATAGTGAAGCATTTGCAAGAAACAAATAAAGCTAAATTAAAGCAACTGAGATAGAAGTTCAAGAATGTGCAAAAACGTTGTTTCTGAAGGGATTTCCTTACGTACGTCGTGCCACTTACAGACGTGATGTACGCTACCATTTAACACTTACCAATCGAAACTCTTTGATTATGCTAGTCCACAACTTCTGCGCTAATCGTGCGTTTCGTATAGTAGCTTTTCTATATGCAGCTAATCGGTTTAACGGGTGCACACAATTAACTACCGTATTACTTAATTCTTCCATTAATGAATTCATTTGCAAAAACGATGCGGTCACCATGAGCTACAACTCAACGAGCTTAGGTGGGTGTAGAAAGTCTTTGGAAAATAGCTCACGTTCATCGCAGCTTCAGCCGAAAATCTCGGCGTTGTACCATTGTACACATGGGCAGTTAGTGAGAGACACGCCCGAAAATCGGACGAATTTATGCAAGTCAATCTGAATCTCTAGTTTTAGACGGTAAAGGTATAGGATCACCTCCCAAGAAATTTTATAAAAAGAAGGTTCTTTTGAATACCGAAAGAGTAGATGTAGAATGAACCGCACCGTAAATAATGCACTAGCGAATGTATCGTAAGCTTAATCTAGTTGCATAAATAACTGTGCGATACCATTTATTTTGACGAGGCGAGCTTTTTGGTTTTCGGGAAGCTGTTGCTTGGCTACAAGGTCAAGCCTTTTATTGACTTGGATCAATGACGGTGGGTAGACTGGCCCAACACATAGCGCAACACCCGTTTCAAATCATTCAAAAATCCCGTTTTTCTGTTGGTTCTACTGATATGCCATTAGTATGACAGACAATATCTAGACTTTTGCCTACACTTTCGAAGATCTTATTTCCAGCGAGTGGTGGAGAATGTAAAATGCTGCACAAACTTACCAACATCCAGGCTCGGAACGAGGTGGGTACATTCACTTTGAAGAAAGGAGTGTCTCTTACTTTGACTTTGTAAATGTTTGCGGTCTATATCGCTATGCACTGCTAGAGGTATGGGTTCATAGCATTCGCATCCAGTGGCCGTATTCATTAACGAACCCAGTGGGTCCCGGAATACACGAGATCGGTATTCACGAAGCTAGTGGGTTCGCGAACCTAGCAGCGCTTTTTGCGAATATCGACCCAACCCAGTAGCACTGTTTTTGCGAACCCAATGGGTTCATTGATAAATACGACTACAGCAAACATTGAAGATAGAGGAAGAAAGAAAGAAAACGTAGGCAAACGATGAAAGAAACGACATTATAAATACTCAACATTTGCGAAAGAATAGAACCATAAAATACGATTATAGCACTTTCAGTCAGGCTTTGAAGTACTATGAATGAATTATAGGAAAGAGAAAAAAGCGAGCCAGATATTTCACGGCATATGTTGATTAAATTGTCAATGTTCCTGTGTTACGATTTTTCCGTGTACAGTAGCAAAGATCAATCACACTATATCTATATCAGTGCACGAGCGCTAGCATTGGTCGTGTGCCCAGCGTAGGCGAAATAGATGGAGGACGTGCGTTATACTACAAGGGCCGGCACGCGCGCCGAGCTGGTGTACTGTAGTCCGCACCCATTTTGCAGCGGTGCGCGTGAGCCATGAGACAATCGCGCGAATGCAGCCTCGTCCACTTCGCCGCCACGCGACGTCGCGGGGCGATGTCGCGACTTTTATCAAAACTTACATGAAACCGCTCAGAAAAAATTGCTCTTTCAGATTTTAACATGCGGCATATTTAATTTTACTTCTTATCGCCGCACCGCGATAAGAAGTAAAATTCAAAAAGACTTGTCTATTTTCTTCTTTTTCAATTGTTTCATGTTTCTTTTATTTGCAAATAAAGAATAAACACTGTTGAACTCCAAAACTTTTTCAGTTGTTTCAACTTCCTCTGTTCAACTTTAAAAGTCTATCAACTGCTTCAATTTTTTTCTTTTTTACCTTATTTCCAGTTTGTTTGTGCCATGATGCCGTTACTTGATTGTCATTTCAAGCTGTGACCTGTGATAGATTGCAATTGAGATTAGTAACCCTTCGGACAATGCTGACCTGCGGCCTTAACTTACTAGGACAAATGCCTACGGCCGTAAGAAGACCTCCGTGATGCCGCAACATGTATAAAAAGGATCATTATGATTACTCAGCACACATGTTCCAAAATAACTCCTTTTACTACTCCTCTGCTCCTCATTTTTTCTTTTATTCTTCTAGCGAGGGCAGTCAGGTAAGTTTCGTACAAAAAATGTTTTAATTTGAGTGTTATGATTTTTTTGGGTCCCAGCACAAACTGGCGTGAGTGAAGAGCCTGAGGAAGCTCAGTAGCCGCCGAACACAGGGACTGTCAGAAGCGCGGAGTTATTTTGTGGAGAAAAAGAAGTAAGCAAATATGGGAAACACCAGTAATGATTTACAACATCCCAGGTAATAATCTACTTTTTCCTTTTCTTTGTCTTAGCGTGCTTCTTGATCTTATACTCATTAGATTCGCCACTGTCCTACGTATTCATGTATCAACGTCGCACAGCCAATCCAGAAGTTTTTGCATACTTATGCACACACTGCAAACGGAGCGGTGGAAGAAATGTATCCATACAGGTCAGAATATTTTGTGGTTTCTTATTTCCAACGATCTTAACTTTAGGTGAAAGGTGATCTCTTTCTCAGCGATCCTGCTGGATTACCTCATGTTTGTGCTCCTTTAGAACGAACTAAAGATAAAGCCGTGCGTATGTCTTATGAATTGAGGAGATGAATGCGAACACAATATACATCTGAAAATTGTAATTCTTTTTAGTGTCTGCAGAAGAGAAGACAGCATCCGGCTGGAAACCACCTAGGAACGCAGATGTACTGGTTAGCAGTGATTGGAAAGGTTGAGAGGATGAGCTGGGGTGACGCTGACAGGACATGTTGTGGCGGTACGTAGAAAACTTGAAACGTTTGATAACAACAATTGAGTTGTTTTGTTGCAGGAAGCAGTACGAAATGGACTGTTCGCACTAATTGCCGATGGAATACACCAATTGAACCTTAGGAAAAGCACAAGGGCTGCCACTAATATGGAGCGAGGTTAGCTTTACACGATACGTGCAGTGTGTAATGGGGAATTTGAGGTGATAATATGGCAACGTTTATTCCTTGACGTTGAAACAATGTTCAGACGCCACTGCTGTTCGCAATGATGCGAAACAAAAGGGAGCAGGATTATCTGGATGTTTTCGCAAAATTGAAGGAGGCGCTTCAGACAGCTAATTTTGATGGCGGGTCGCAGCTGCGGATAGTATTAGACTATGAATTGGTACTAATTCTTTTTCAAAAAACCAAAACTCATTCAATCCTTAGGGCTGCCATAAATGCTGCTAAAGCGAACTTTCCCCTCAACTCTGTCGAAGGGTGCGCCTGACATATATCTCAGGCATGGGTGCGAAAAACAAACGCGCTGGGGATTACTCGATACTTGAAAGGACGAAGCAAATCTTCGAGGGTGCTTCGATGGTGGCGAACCATCAGAGGCTTGCCGTTTCTCCCCGTGAGCATTTGGCATGGGTTCGAGCCTTGAGGGATCCACCCGTAGGAAGAGATCATCCAGCCTACCAGCCATGTATGAATTTCTTAACTTATTTCGAAGACACCTGGCTGAAAGGGCCGTTTTCTACCATGTGGTGTAAGCATATGGTGCGGGTTCAGCGCACCACGAATCTTGCCGAAAATTATCACGGGTAAGTCTCAAGTGGCGACTTTTTCAGTAATATTTCATTTTTAGGCGACTTCGCAGGTTATGTGGAGGAAGAAAATATCCCAGATACGCTGAACTCGTACGTGTATTTCAGGCATTCACCATGATCGCATTGGTCGGCTTAAGGACGTTAGATGTTACGGCTGAGGGATAGAGAAAGACGAAGAAAAGTGACCGCCGCCATGCCGGAATTCGAGGATCTTCGAAGAAATACTGTAATTACAGCCGCAGAAGCCGAAGAATATTGCCGTAAGATGACTCGCTTTACATCCGATAGAGCCATATAGAGTATTACAAGAACGGAAAATTGTATTTAGTTAGATGTATATTTTGAAAATGTATATTAAGCTTATTTATTTGACGTGACTGAGCGTCGCCTTGAAATTTGGTTTGATAAAAGATTGAATTTCAATATTCTTTTGTTGTTTTTTGCAAATAAAAGGAATTGAAACTAAATAAAAAAGAAGAAAATGGACAAGTCTTCTTGAATTTTACTCCTTATCGCGGTGCGGCGAAAGATGCTGCACGTCAAAATCTGAAAGAGCAATTTCTTCTGAGCGGTTTCATGTAACTTTTGATAAAAGTCGCGACATCGCGCCGCGACGTCGCGGGGCCGAAACTGGACGAGGCTGCGTTTACGCGATTGCCTCATGGCTCACGCGCACCGGTGCAACGGGTGCGGACTACAGTACACCAGCTCGGCGCGCATGCCGACTATGGCGGCGAGCTTTGGCGGCGAGGCCCGTTGTAGTATAACGCCACGCCGCCAAATAGACTGCTTACGCAGCCTTTTCTGTGTACGCCACGCAGCTTGGTCTATCTCAAAGAATTGCTTCGTTCCTTATGATGAGTTCAAACTTCTTGCTTCAATGAAGGATTTGACATTCCCATTCACACACATTCACAAGTTTGCCTTTGCAGCTACTATCCACAGCAATCATTTCGAGTGGTCATGTATTGATCTCTGTTCGGAGAAGCAGTATGTTATTATTGTATACCATTTCTAGAAGCCGACGGTTGATAGCTACATCACTTTCGGCTGATAACAGTCCTGAACCAAAATTACGCAGCGGGAATTCTGACCCAGTTAAATCTGACGAAGACGGTGTTTGTGAGAAACCAACGGGTTCCTGATGGTCTCTTCATGTTGAATGGAGCGACTATACCAAATGCTCTAGCTACGTCTACTTAGGTCGGGAAGTTAAGATGATAAACGATCTAATTTCGGAACTGAGTAGAAGGAAACGAGCAACACGGGCAGCATACCAAGCAATCGAGGACTTAATGAAAAGACCGAAAGCACCCGGCTCCGCGTCCACCTCTCCAACGCGACGATTTCTGCTTTGACGTACGCTTTGGAAACATAGACCATAAGAAAAAAAATTAACGCGCGGTTAGCGTTATCAAACGTGCTATTGAGAGAGTGATGTTTAATGTGCCCCAACTCACGAGGCAGTGGCGTACCCAGAATTTCCGTTCGGGAAGGGGGCGACAACGCACTCTGAAAATTTTTTTGGTATTTTCCCAAACTTCTTGCGCCTCCAGACCCCGAAATTTTGGAAAAGGGGCCCCGAAAAAATGTTTTATAAGGCTAAATTGAAAAAATTCTAAAAAGCTATTTTGATCATTTACAAGTATAAAGTATAAACAAGTGTCACTTGCACATCTTTATATGTGTAACTTTCAAAAATTTCGCGACCCATTCTGGGGAGGGGGGGGGGGGGGAGGGGCTGCACGCAAGTGAGGGAAGGAATGCGAAGTTCCTACGTCAACGATCGAAGATCAGGGATACTGCCACTACGCCAAACAGAACAAAGTTAGATGGGTCGGACATGTGATGCATTTTGACGACAGTCGCTGAGCCAAGGCGTGACGGATTGGATACCGCTGGACGTCAAACACGAAACTGGAAGACAGCCAACTTAATTATCGGATATGTTTACGAAGTCCTCTGATGCGGTCCTTCAGAGCGTTCCTTAACTCCTGGTGCGATACGCCTAATAGGACAAAGTTAGATGGGCCGGACATGTAATGCATTTTGACGACAGTCGCTGAGCCAAGGCGTAACGGATTGGATACCGTTGGACGTAAAACGCGAAACTGGAAGACAGCCAACTTAATTATCGGATATGTTTACGAAGTCCTCTGATGCGGTCCTTCAGAGCGTTCCTTAACTCCTGGTGCGATAAAAAAACATTAGTCAGCGATCGCGCGTGACAGGGACGAATAGAGGCATCACCATTCCATCCGTTTCCAATGATGACCAGCTGGGATACAAATGATACAGGTGATACGAAAAAAAAGTTTTTACATGCTTGTAAAGTCGCGTTCAAGCTGAAATTGGATATCCTGTCGTAAATTGTCCGCAAAACTGTTGAAGCCGTTTGAGGACGCATGGAGTCTATGTCCTAGCGTTCTCGCCCGTACATTCTTCGCACGCCTCTCGCACTTTTGCACTGCCTTTGGCGTCTTTTTGAAGAAGCATCCAAACTTCGGCCGGCGTATCTGCCAACGCATGGGAGGAGCAAATTGGCTACAGTGATGCCTACACAAAGTCTTGTTGCATAGACTGTATTTGTACATACATGGTATTCCAAGTCTTTTGAAGACGTTTAAACCTTACTTCACCTAAAAAACAAAATTTGGTATGGAGTTATTATTCAAACAGCTGGAAACAACAAGGTAAACTCAGAGATTCTAAAAATGGAATTTTTCCAAACGCTTTGTTCAGAATAGTGAAGTGAATGCATGACCAGCCAGGTTAAAGCAGAGTCGTTGCAGGACGCTATCCACATGATTGTGACGCCGCGCATTATGTTGTGAGATGGGATATGCAGTGGGAGGGATCAGTTAGCTATGGCGTATGCCGAATATCAGACCAGTTCTCACGCCTTTGGCATCATACTTTTGCGCATGAACAATTGTTTGTTTGGACCCTTGTCTCCACTACCACGTACCAATCAAGATCTCCCCAGGCTACGACGAACAAGTTTTACGCCGAACGCGCTCGACACAATATTGCTCGTCTCCTCTCGAAGCGCAAGAATTTGACACCGTGTACAGTACAAGACTGAATGACTCTTGCACAGCACACAGGTGAGCAGAACAGACATATCATATGACACCAAATCATGTACATGACTAGCGGCCCTACGGGTCGCTAGCAGGGCCCGGCACGAGGTGGGCAAACGGGGTTTTCCAAAGCGAATTCCCCTTTGATCCCAATAAATTTTACGAATACCCCCTTGAGCCCAAAAATGACGTTTTGTGCTTGTGCGACGAGATTACCGGCCACACTTCGCCTAAAAGCGCTCAAAAGCGCCCAAATTGCTCAAATTCCTCAAATTACTCCTCAGCTGGATCAAGATAGAAAACAGGAAGAAAAATAAGCAAGAAAATGATTAAGGATTAAGAAAATATCAAAGAAACGCAGTCATAGGAATGAGAGACGCCGCTCCCGCGCGTATCGATTGACTGGAGCGCGCTTTCCGTCTCAAAAAGCTAGGCTGCTGATGCAATTTTGGGCTCTAACAAGGTCAAGAGGAGGAGTTTCGGAACCAAAATTTCACCATGTAGTAAACTTTAGGTGTACAACAGATTTATGTAAAAATTTTGAAAAAATTATGTGAACTAAGAGTTTTGCCGACCTCAGGTGGGAATTAGGTCGGCAAATGCCGACCTAATTTGGAAATTAGTTAAGGAAACTTTTCATTCACATAAGTTTTTCATAATATTTCATACTTAGTTACCTAGTCCTACTGCGCATACACACACCGAATCCCGCGCAATTTCGTTACCTCTGCGTTGCAAACGAGCCATTTTTCCATTTCTTCGGTAGCGCAAAATTTTCAGAAAAAAGTTTGCCACAACCTTCAGTCACATAATTTTTCAATGAAACTCCTCAGTTAAGCCCTGCAAGTCCGTGTGCATGTACTTATCAAGTTTCATGCCATATCGTTCATCTGCGCGTTCCAAACGAGCCGTTTGAATTCACATCTTCATTTACCAGTTTTGCGAAATTCTCGGAAAAAATGCTAATTACTCGTTCCGTTCACATAAGTTTTTCATAAATTTTCATACTATGTTTCCACTAGCCTCTCTTTCCCTCTCGCATACAAAATTTGGTGCCATATCGTTACAAATACATTGAGAACTAGTCATGCATGCTGTTACAAATAGCATCGCAAGGGCGACGTCGCGCGTGCGGCAATTAGCGACGGCGCGGTTTGACGCGCGCGAACTCCAGTGTTCGCCTGTTGAGGCACATAACATGTCAAGATAAGTAGCGAGCATGAACTACCAATTTTTTTCCGGGGCTCCGCCCCGGACCCCGCAAAAACGATTTCCCCTTTGCTTTTTGGCCCCAAAACGATTTCCAGCTTGTCATTTGCCGACCTCGTGCCGGGCCCTGGTCGCTAGCAAGTAAGTAAGGAGCACATTTGTTAGGTTGTAATATGATTATTTTTGACAACGCTAATTGTTCAAAAGGGTTCTTAAACAAAACACCTTCAGCCAGCTTTGGTACAAAGGGACTTTATGGACTCCGAGCGCTCAGCGAAAATCAAAGATTTGCGCGTCGGCTTGCTTAGGTAGAGGCGCCTTTGCGACCGGAGCTTGCGCCACAATTTTTCTGAGGGCTGTATAAAAGCCTAAAGGAAATATCATGGAAGCGTCTGACTGTATAAAAACTTTTGCAGAGAAGTTGCAATATTTGCAAAAAAAGTATGAAAAATTACGTGCGCAAAGGTTCCAGTTCAGCTGCACTCATAAGGAGAGTTTTGAGGGCAGTGTCCGGACTAGGTTGAGGAGTTTTGTCATTCCACTCCCGCGCAAAGATAGCCGGCCTGACATGCCCACCACCCCAATCGCGGGTACATTTCATGGAAGTGGAAGCGAGAAAGATGCTCCGAAAGTTGGGAGAGTTAAGCCACGATCGGAGGACCCCGCCTACCAAGGGATAAATCGATAAGCTAGAGTGCGCATACGCAGGCAGGGGGAACGAACTCCGCCAGTTTGAGCCGCTTCCGCGGACTACTGGTCCTGCAACGGCATGCAACAACATTGCAAAAGGCCATTTGCGAAGGCGGGCTCAAATTGGCGGAGTTTTGCCCTTCCCCATTTGCACAAGTCGAGACGTAGGGTCTCACCACGACTCTGCGTCTTATTTTGGGAAGCGTCCAAATTCAAAATCAGAAGTTTCCCGTTTTCGACATTTTAAAATATTTTTTTACACATTTTTTCCCGTTTTCTTTTCAAATGGCGCATTACAATTGTGATGTACTTATATAAGTAAATATTTTCGTACTCTGCAAGCTGCATTTTCGGAATCAGCGGCAAGAATAAGCCCACGTAAGCGAAAAAATTTTTGTTCAAAATTTTACCCGGACGCTGCCTTTGAAGTGGGCGACGACATCTATACCACTAGATGGAGACGACATCCATATCACTAGATGCGTCTCGACGGTTTCAAATCTGCTCTCCTTTTCTGCGGGTTAACTTTTTTTGAGCGTTTCGATGTCAAGCCGCCGTTGCCACTTGAAGCTTGTCAATTGTCAAGCTTCAAGTGGCATAAAATTAGCGAAAAACTCCACAAAGGCACCTGAAGGCGGGTATTTGGGGGTTTTTTGAAGCTTTTCGCTGATTTTAAGCCACTTAGAGCTTGACAAATTTAAACATTCAAGCTCATAACTTCTTCCAGAGAGTTGTTCTGCAGAAAAAGGAAAGCGGATTCGATATCCTCTCATTGTCAATGGAGGTTCCAGCTAATTCGGGAGAAAGTTGGGTATCGCTTTCGTTCACCTAAGTTTTTATAAATTTTTAAGCCATCGTTCGAGTCTCCTCGTGCGCATGCGCACACCAAATATGGTTTCATATCCTTGTTCTGATCATAAACAATTTTGGGGTAGAGTATGCCGCTCGCAAGCCTACGGCATGCCTGCGTCTCTTGTCGACCCTGAATCCCACTTAAGCGATATCCTCTTTGCTTTTTCCCCAGAAACGTTATCCTGCTTGACTTGGTTCCAGCTGTGTCTCGCACCTGGAGCAATGCACTATCGACGACAAGAGAAGATCATGGATGATCAAAGCGAATGACAAGTATTTAAGCTGTAAAGGAAGTTCTATCAATATTTGAAAGTCCATAATTTTAACATGTTTGAAGATATGACTCCAGATTCGACTTTATCTTCTAAAAGGTTACTTAAGCTAGCATAAAATCACGATGAAATTGATCTTGTTAGAATTTTAGCATTATGATGTCTGTCTTACAAGAGCAATAGAGGACGTCGTCTATCATGAGTGGTGTAAACGTACGAAAGCGAAGACAGCAACAAGCAATATCAACGACGCATTCGCGGAAAGTCTCGTTACCTGTTGAGCGGTCACCGCTGGTTCAACTTTTGGGATGGAGAGACAAGCCTCTGAGGCAAAGTTGCGTAACACAGTGAAACCCGATCCCAGTGCAACTGCACGTGCGGTGGCGCAGACACTTCACTGTTCCCGTACTTGTAGCAGCCCACCCTCGTCCCTTTTACTGGAAAACTGTGTATCACATCGTCTCAGTCAAGCGAGCAAGATGTGCCGCGTGAGCATCTGTCAGTCTCTGATCCTTCTCCATCACCGGAGAGAGTTTCTTTAAGACTTAATTACAAGCTCAGGGATTCGCGCCGTGCGGGCGGTCCTCATTAAAGCTCCTCCGCCTGAGCGCACTGCATAGTTTTTGATGTACCGTGCGTGCGGTCAACAATAAAAATGCCGTGCAAGCGGAAGACAGTCTACCCATTCGATCGGCACGCAATAAAATCGACCGTGCAAGCGGCAGGCAATGCGTCCGCACGATCGGCCAGCAATCACTTGATCGTACAAGCGGCAGGCAATCTCGCCGCGCAATCGGTACGCAATAAAATCGACCGTGCAAGCGGCAGGCAATGTGTCCGTTCGATCGGGCGGCAAACATTTGCCTGTGCAAGCGGCCAACACTGACCTCTACCTTCGGCTCATTGTTTTCACACACTGTGAGCGTAAACGGCACCTGCGTGAGATACGACGCAGCGTTTAGGCTGGCTAAGCGTCGACATATCTTGTTATCAACATTTCCTCACCGCAAAGCTGGAATGAACCTGTGTGAGGCTACAGTTATCAAGAGTGATGGTGTGGGCTTCTCCATGAAAAGTTTGGGTAGTGCTGCAGGCATCCATACATGTTCATACTATGGAATGTGAATGATTAACCCATGAAAAATGTGCAAAATACCCCATATAAACCTACTCCAGCAGCAAGCGAGCGGCCGACCTTCCCCGCGCAAGCGGCGAGCATCAGAAACCGTGCGGGCGCCCCACGTCAACCGTGCTAACGGCCCTTGACGACCGTACAATCGCACACACCAACGAGCGATTGTAAGTTTGTCGCTGGCCGCCCGCACGGTGCGAGTCCCTGAGAGAGATGTGAAAGCTGGGTACTATACGAGAGACACTAGAGACCAAGACGCAGCCAGACCCAAGTCCCAGCCTCAGAAGATCTTGCTTTGCTGCTGATGGGATGCGAGAAAAATGCTTCGTTTTGACATGCTCCCTCAAGCGAAAAGTCACAGCTACCGAATACGTAGATCAGCTTTAGAAGTCAGCCGAAGCTATACAAGAAAATGTCGAAGAAGAGCAATTGTGCATTTGCTTCACGGCAATGCCAGAGCACATGTGACAAGTGAGACCCAGCACAAATTGAAAGTGCTTGGCTGGAATACAGTGCCACACCCGCCGTATTCGCCAATTAAAGCATCATCCGATTACCACTTGTTTCAGCATCTAAAGCTTCACCTGAGCAGGAAATGCCTCGCCAACTTCAACGATTAAATCGGAGCTCACCAGCGTTTTTAAATTGAGAACGGCGGTTCTGGAAGAAAAGCATTCGTGATTTGCCCTTCCGATGTAAGGTCCTGAGTACATATGGTGAGTATATTGTTGATTGAAGGTTATAATGAATATATATAAAAACAATTTTGGTTCAATAAATTCCAGGTTCCATTTTGTTTGAACCTGGGCATTGGATATAATTTTCACTTTTTCTGTGCCGTACAGGTTTGTTAGCTGATCTATTTATTGGTTGAATTAGCCTAACTTTTCGACAGCTTCGTCGTCCTCAGAACCTTAAGGGTTGTTTCTTACTGCCGCACTGACTGCAGCAGACTGCAGTGACCGCACTGACCGCAAAGGCCGCACAATCGCTGCATCCTTTCGTAGAAAAGAAAGTAGTTGCGAATACATTAAAACACCGTGATTTACGCCTAGAAAGTTCATAGGTTCTAACTTACTCTTCTCAATCAAATTTTGGCCATTGTTTTTCTTTAATATGCTCATATGTGTTCTGATTCCTTTTGTCATTGCATGTAGCTATTTTACTCTCGCTCGTGTTGCCTATTGTTAAGAGACTGTATGAGCTACAACTATTTGTCCTCTTCACCTTCACGAAAGGATGTAGCGATCTGTGCGGCCCCGCGGTCAATGCGGTCAGCTGCAGCCTGCTGCAGTCAGCTGCGGTCAGTGCGGTCAGCTGCAGTCTACTGCTGTCTGCTGCAGTCTGCTGCAGTCAGTGAGGCAGTCTAAAACAGCCCTAAGAGACTCAAATCTGGTGGTCTGGTGTTATTTACAACACAGACTACCAGATATCTCCTCCAGCTCAGCTATCGGCCTTTTTCTAACTTCTTTCCGCCGAAATTCTTGGCAGAGATGAACGCATAACTCTATAGCAAACAGCGGTGGTATAGAGGTGCATTCATCTCTGCCAATAATTTCTGCGAAAAGAAGTTAGAAGAAGGCCGAAATGGCTGAGTTGGAGGGGATATCTGGTGGATTGGTGTTGTAAATAACGCTTTAAGTCTTTTCAGGCCTCTGTGGACAACGAAGCTGTCAAAACGTTAAGCCAGTTCGAATAAATAAATATACCCCAACAAACCTGTACGGCACAGAAAAAATGAAAAGCTGGTTCAATTTATTGGCAGAACTTTCTTTACAGCCTAATATAAATGAACTTCTGTGTGGGGCCCGCAAGAACAGGAAGACACGCTTAAGTATCTAATTGTAAAGTATGGTATGTGCGAAAGACTAAGAATGGAACTTCAGCTTATTTAATGATGTATGATCTGGAAAAACCGGAGACGTAAGAGCCCTCCTTTCCTTGTCCCCCGAATCGACTTTCGCATCATTCACGAAATATAATATAATCAAAAGTGGGTAATAAAAAGCTTTGCTAAGTTGAATTGAGCTCCACAAAACAAACCTGCACTTGCATTACGCAAAAATTAGTGATTATGTGATCAGCTGCTTCGATCTCATGAGAATATAAGTTGAAACGGTTTGTTCACTTCATTCCAGCAAAAAGAAGAAATGGAAGCAACAATACCAATTTCACCAGCTTGCAGTGGCCTACCATTACACATTGTCTCTACACGCTTCTCAACAGCCTCCAAGTCAAAGAGTAAAGAATTTTGAGTTATGACTGAGAAGAAGCTATATTGTACGAAAGAATGAGTTTTTCTTACACCCATGAACAAAGTTTGAGTATGTGGTCTTGCATGATCTGAGGTCTGTAAATATGATTTATATACGTCTAAATTACCTTACTCGGCTTGATTTTGATTCTAAATATGTGCCGTGAAACAAAGCACGGAAGAAGTGCGACTCAGCCGCAAGTCGGCAGCGACTGAGTAGAAACTGAAAAAATGGATAAACAACGGTTATCATTGGGGCTCGTCGAGCAACTCGACGGCTGGTAACTCGTACAAAACTAACCAAACCTCCATCGCTAGTTTCAACGATAACTTCGTCTTTAGTGGAAATGACAGGTGTGGATGGTCCGGGTTGTTGTTCGTCCGGTGGCGGCAGAGCAGCACTGCATCGTCGTGTGTCGAGGAGGTCGTTCGTCGTGCTTGATGAGATGGCGGTGGTGCAGGCTGATGCGCTGGTGCCAGTCGTTACCGTTCCGCCATCCTCTTGCTTACCGACCATCTACCGCCGAGAATGTTACTGAAATGGGACAGCAGCACAAACAGACTTATATGGGCTTCCTAATCACTATACGAATATCGTTAAGAGGAATCTCCTCCCGAAGTCCTTTGCACAAGCGGCTCGCATGCGCTAGCGGCCGAAGCGCGCGCACGCGCCACCGAACTGATCTTTGCAATTTGACGACTGGCGAGAGAATGCGGCCCCACAAAACTGGTTCCGAGGACTCGGTTCACCGCAGACGACATTGATTCGGGTGATTTTTGAAAGATCTTCGAAGCTTAGAACAGGTTAGCGCGACGGGTGAATCCTATTAACACTTTGATGATTTGACGTCACAAACAAATAGTAAAAATTTTGGCCAGTTTCTGTATCAGAAACTGTTAGGCTCAAAGCTACAGTAACCCCATAAGTATCAAGTATCACTTGTGCAAACAACCTACTGAAGGATCTTACGGCTAGTGTAGCTAGACGTGTGGATAAGCACACTTCATTCCTCTGGCTAGCTACCGGTTGAAAAATCCTAAATCTATGTTTCAGGTCAGGGTACGGCTTACCTCATGTTCGCTTGGCTTCAAGCCAGTGGCAATCAGGGAAAGGGGAATGGATGAAGGCAAAACCAAACTGTGTTCCTGAACCATTCCATTCGCCTGAGGTTGAGGGATTGTAGTAAGTTTCAAGGTAAGAAATTGTGAAAACTGCTTTGCTATATGTGCTGGGGTCGACAAATTCATTGTTAAATCTATAACTAATGTAATTTTTGTCTTTTACTGACGTCTGGTTTTAGAGCACACCACTCATAATTTGTGCAAAAAGAAAGACCCGGTACTCACCGCAGCACGCGGCATAAGCATCGCATCCATCCATCGAAATGGACGAATTTGAAATCAGCTCGCATCGCACCTTCTTTATATGGAGACCGTTGTCCGAGTACGGTAATTTTATGATAGCTGGTGATAATTCAAAAATATTTTTGGGTTATGTTTACGCTAGAAAGCAACTTATTGCGAAAAACAACATACTGAAAACCTAATAATTATGTTTCATAAAAAAAACTAGTTGCCATAAATCTGATGTTCCACGAATTACTAATGATCCAGGTTACGCAGTGTGCTGATGGCTGCAAATAGCTTCCTACCGCAAGCGAAGCAATCCGAAAAGATTCGTTCACATTGACTAGGTTTTTTAAAATTACCGTATTCAGACAAGCATTTCTGTGAATTCTGGGTTGCGCTCACCGAGCTGAGTTGAATGGTGCCCTTAAAAAAAATTTGTCCGCTTTGGAGTGAGATATGGCGATGCCACTCTAATGTCATTGTTTCTTTCTTTTTGCAGAAATTATGGGAGTTATATGGATGTGTTAATATTCATACGAATTCAGTAACTCAAGGACGCTATATAATACCGAAACTCGGGGCCATTCTAGTGTGACAATCTCTGAAAGTTTTCAATTTTGAAAAATAAAAGTGTCCCTGTGGCTGCTAATAGGAGCAAAATTCATCAAAATCGTGGGTTTGCGCGCTCTGTTGCAAAGCTATAGCTAGCTTCCATCCTTCGTGGAGAAGTTTCACAGTTTTGTTAATTTTTCTTCCCACTTTTATCATCTTCATTCCTCAACATCTTTAAATCAATCTGTTAGTGCTTCTCTTCTCTTTATCCTCATTTCTTTCCTTTGTTTCTCAATACATTCAGTCTCAGCTGATCGTGAGTGAGTCGCACGTCTCCGAGCTGCTTATCCTTCCACTAGCCATTATACATGGCTAATCTCTTTCGGAATGCCATCGCCAGGAATACAGGTCGTGAGAGAGTTTGTTTTTCTGTTTCCGTCGGGGGTTACTTACAATGGCACAGCACGTCAACGTCCTTGCCCTCTGGCCTTCACGCGCGAAGTTTCTGGTTTACGGTCGCTAACCGAACAGAACTGATCAGTTCTTCTTCGAGAAGCAGCCGAACTGTTTTGCGCCTTTGTTGCCTTTGTAGCTAACATTTTCTTTGTTCGCTAACAGAATGATAGATTTTCTTTATTAGGTGCACTATGAGTGTATTAAAAATAATATAAAATTAAATTAAATTAAATTTCGTTACAATTTCTCTTATCTCTCAAAAATTGAAAAACATTCTAAGACTCTCAAATTTGTTTTATGCCCAGTGCATGACATCTTCTATCCAAGGGCATGATCCATCCGCAAATTCAACACCTAATAAATCACGCCAAATTGTAAGCATGCTCAAATTGTTCTTTTTTCTTTAGAATTTTTCTCTCCCGCCGGGTGCATTTCCTTATTTATTTTTTTTCTAAAGAATTTTCCGGCACTGTCTCTCCTATTTTCATCTCGTCCTTGAGAGGCTGATGCCGCCGACGAGATGAAAAAAAAATTCAAAATTTTCGAACTTTGTGCTGGTGTAAAAACTGGTACGAAAAGCTCGTGAGGGAATTTCGAAAATTTCAAGTAACTTCTTTCTTTGGAATGTCGAAAGCAAAGCTGTAGCAGAATCTATCCACTGAGTTTCGAGAAATAGCAAATTTATTCGCGAAATGTCCGAGAACTTTCGAGCCAATCTAGCATAATTTATATGGTCATGCATCAGCGGCGTACCCAGGATTGCCGTTCGGGGGTGGGGAAGGGGGAGGGGGAGCGACAAATATTTTCTAGATGAAAGTGCATAGCGTTAGCTCTGGAAATTCTCTTAGGACGCTTCCCAAATATTTTTCGGGCCCATAACCCCATGATTTCAGAAAAAAGAAGCGTGGCTACACGCTTTCAAAAAATTTTCTCACAAAGCTAATTTGGGTTTTTGAAAGTTTTCAAAATCATTTTGATTATTCACATGTAAGAACAAGTCTTTTTCACTAACTCAACCAAGGTATATGACTTCTAAGAATTTCTCGACACATTTTCAGAATGGGAGCCACCCCCCCCCCTTTTGTACGCCACTGATATGCATGTATGGCATATATGTATGTTACTCTATGAACAAGATCTGAATTTGACAAAAACAGTTTTTGAGAATTAAACTTTTTTTAGAAAAGTCCAATCGGAACGAATTTATTTTCAAAACCAAAACAAAAGTTGATTAGAAGCTTTAAGGCCGTTTTGAATCTTCAACGATCGAAATGACAAAAAAATAAATCTAAATGTTTGCTTTTATCACCTTTCTCGCCGCTATATAATAAGCTCATGATAATCTCCCTTTGATTTGGATTATATCAAGTTGAATTATTGAAATAACAGATGACTTACAGATTTCCAAGTGCAGTACTTATCCAACTGGGTACAATCTGTCCACCCCCTCCCCCTCCCTTTCTGGGTGTAGTATTGGCCTTTGGCCTACATTGGGGTCATCTTAAACTAATCACGACCTTCGTCCTCCTGATGTGCCAAAAGTTTTCGTGCAATTAGTTTCTATCTTCTATAGATCCTTTGTTAATTACCAGCTGGGTTGGTTTGCAGAAAATTTACTCTGTTGGTCATCTATACTTTCTTGCTTTGATTTTTTTCGCTTTTAAATGACTTGTAGGTGCAGCTATCTACAAGCCTGTACTCTTCTGCTGAGCATCTTATTTTACCCTTCGCACGAATTTGATACCTTGACCCTATTTGCAATACAAATATCGCCGCAAATGGAATTGGTTCGTTGTCCTAGATAGAGCTAGCCGTGCAAAAAAAGCGGAATGGATTAGTAATCTGCACGAATTGAGTAATTGTTATGTGCAGTCGCGATGCAAACTAATGTAGGTCGAAGAGTTTTTTGAAAGTTTTCTGGTCTGTTTTGAAAATGGATTTAATTTTAATATTCTGCTCTATGCGCCCTTTTAGAAAAAAACAGCAGTTTTTTTGGTCTTCAAATAAGGATCAGCTAACGATTGTGGAGTGATATTTATGAATTGACAAGTCAAGTATCACTATTGCTATGGCGAACGGAGGGAAGGGGTGGGAGACGGGCCCGTTTTTAAAAAAAAATGTCGGACTTACAAGTCCTCCAAAAAGGTTGCATCACGAGATTTTTTCGCGAGACAGGGCTAATGCCATGCCACTTCATTGAAACGAAATCTGCCCTCCCCCTACCTAAATTCTTGCTCCGCGAGTGATATACGCGTATTTGCTTTCGGGTGAATAACATTTATCCAATCTTTAATTGGGGTCAACTCACGAAAATTCCTTGGATATCTGTATGGGTCATTCAATTATTGTATATGCACTCAACGAAAATAATAAATAATAAAAAGATCAAAAAAAATTAAGAACAAAAAAAAGAAACAAGTAACACACATAATTCAATGGTATTAGGGTGCCCCGAAAGTTTTGTCCGTTTTTTTTTTATTGCTCGCCAAAATTCATAGAACACCAATCCATGGACTGAGTTATCATTTGTTTAAGTTTTTTATCCTTTTTCTTACAGCTGCATTTGCTTTGCGATCTACCCTGTTCTTTGCAATGTAATCGCGTTGGGTTTTTGAGCAACTCAACAGTAATGCCAAACTTGTCCTAAATTTTAAAAAAATTTTATCCTGATGTTTTTGAATAATGCTGGCGATTGTTATGTAGAACAAACCTTTGGCTACATTGTACCCATTTCAGATTACATTGGCCATGTTTACCAAGTCCGTTATAATTATTTACTCAGTAAAAACCGCGGCTTTTTGATTACGTTGACCACGTAAAAATACCGAAAATTCCAAAAAGCTGTTTTTTTTGAAGCATATCAAACTTGGTTATGTCGCATAAATAATATTTATTAAGAATCATGTTTCAGTTCGCAGAAACTGCAAAAGCTTGCGACATTTGCTGCAGCTGCGTGTTTCATAACTTTACCAAAAATGGTGACCTTCGAAGAAATAATTTTTTGAAGCTAAAATCAGCAGATGGAAGAATCTGAAGATATCACCTTGTCCGTGAATCTGTCTACTTCATGCCTATTTAAACCTTTCCGGAACTTATAAATGAAATTTTTAAAAATTAGCCTAACTTTGAGCAGATAAAATTGACGGGTGTAGAATTTCGACAATTATCAAAAAAAGCGTACAAGTTTGTAGTTCGAAAATGTACCTTCAAAAAGAGGAGAGAAAACCCCCCCCCCTTCCTAAACAATGGAAGCAAATCTTATTTTGAGACTTTTTGGAATTCTATGCACGTCCCTGCTAGGCGACACGATTCACCGGGCCAAAAACCTGAATGCTTATGCCCTGTTTCAATGCGTACAATCCCTGCATAACATCGCGTCGACGCAAGGGAGAGCTTTGAATTCTCAAGGTTAACAAAAGTTCCGAACTTTTTGTTCGTTTTCTATTTTTTCGCATCTCTCAACCATCAGAAGCACTTCATGAACTCCATACTACTTTTCTTGAGTCTAATCGTGTAGAGACTTGCCACTTTCTTTATGTCAATGATCATTTCTTTCGAGGGCTGACCTTTTGTTCTTTTTGTCAAGTTTTTTATAAGGAGCGCTGATGGGAATAGTGTCGTAATACTTCTTCTTCAGTTCACTAAAGAAATGCCAGACAAGACCATCGCGCAGAACTTGAAATGTTTCTTGATGTTCTTGAAAGTAATGTCAAGTGGCGGTGAGAGGAAGTTCTGGGAGAGGGGGGGGAGTGAAATTAGCCACGTTAGCCAAGCCCTCTGCAAAAATTTTTTCAAAATTCGCGTGAATCCGTAACCACGTTCAAGAAAAGGAGGCGTGGGGGGAGCCGAAAGAATAATTTTTGCGAAGCTAGTTCAAGTTACAAGATTTTGAAAAATCATTTCAAGTATTCTCAAGTAAAAGCGGGTCACATTCACGATTTTTCACTCCACAAAAACGACTTTTGAGAATTTCGCTATTAACCCCCCTCCCCCCCCCCCCTCCCGCTCTCAATTGCACTTCCTCAGTCTGCCATTTGGTTCAAGTGATAGCTTTGGTAATATGGTCATTTACAGTAACCTAACCTCGTTCTCAGAAATTTCAGATTTCTTGAAAGGGAATTTTAATAGGCTTAGATTGGGCAACGAATTCCAACTGGGGCGGTCTTCGAGGAAATTTTCTTCGAGACGTGCAACAGTACTGAAAAAGAACCAGTTGCCCAGAATGGAGCTCGTTTTCCCATATTACTGGGTTACTTCAGGCTTTTGACGTAACCACTAATACGATATCTCTTTAATTTCGCGATTTCAGGGTACAATTTTACAACTTTTCCGAATTTTGTAATGCTAAGGTCATCCTCCAAATTACGTGACAGGATTTTTCCTTACATTTGTTGTCCTCTGAAGAATGCCTGCCTATCGCAAAGGTCAATTGTTCTGACGATCACCAGAGCAAATTTTCGCCATCAGTTCAATTTTACTCAAAACCTGAACGACCCTATTTGCGGATTACAAACAGCACAGAAGCGACGGTGTTGACGCGATTCAGGTTCGGTCACACTCCAGTTTTACAACGTGTAACATGCGTATGACGATGTGACTTCGTATTTTTTTGTATCGTCATATTTTTTTCTTTGTGCAAAATATGGGAATTGAGGAAAAGAGTTTTGCAGCGATTTGGCGGATTATTTTGATCTCGCCATCACCTCAGATGCCTCATACAGCTCTATTTTGTAATTTTCAAAGATAGGTTACAAATCAGTTTGAGCCATGTTTTATAGCATCATAGCCTAAATAAAAAACATTGAAAATCAAAAATCAAAAATGTATTCTGCTTGCTCGACTATTACTTTTTTTACCATCCCAATTATTCAAATTACCTGGTAGAGCCTCTCAGGTGTTGAAAATAATGCCGTAATTTCTAATTTTAGGCAGTGATTTTGCTTGCTTCTTCTACAAAATTTTTATATTTATCTCTCAAACCTCAAAAAACAATGCGATAACCTTTATTTTTGTAAAAAAGATTTTGTATATCGTATTTGCTGAAGTGGCTGTTTGTTGTGTTGATGTAGATAATCAAATTTGTACGTAGTGCAACTAGATGTGTTATTCAACAACAAACATTCTAAAGGTCAAGCATTTTATTTGAATCAAATCGAAAACAACTTGGATACGTTTTTCCTTACTTTTAAAGATAAAAAAGTTCCGTTTTATCGCGTTTTTCCTCATTGAAGAAGACGAATCTATTAATGAGAAAGTAATCAACAAAATTAACCAAACCGGAAACTGCTATTAAAATTATGTACAAATTGATGAATCCTTTTTAGAACATTTTCTGAAAAATTTCCTTTTGCATTTTGTAGGTCTTTTTCTTTTTCTATCTCTTCGAGGGTTTGCTCCGATTTTATCTTTGTAAAATAATTGGAGATCCAGACAAGGGGCTTCGAGACATAAACTTGCTTGCATTCATCGTTAGTGAGTACTGGAATGAAACTTTTTTTTCTGCAGATTTGCCCATTTGTAATGGGCATTTAATCTCATTATGAAGTCCTCGGAACCGTTTGGACTGAATGGAGCTCAAAAACATTCGCGCCAGTCCTTTAGACTGGAAGAAACTTCTGGACGAAATAATTGCCTTCCTTTTATGCGAAAGGGAACCAGGGAACAGGACATCTGGTACTGGTAGCAATCCGAGAATTATTCCGGGGATGGGGATGGGGCGCAAATATTTTCGAATGAGGGAGCGTAGTGTTAGCGTTGCCTTTCGAAATTTTGAAATGCTTTTCGCGATTATTGCGGCAGAAAAATTTCTATGAAGCTATTGAACCTTGCAAATTATTTTGTTTATTTTGAGTTCAAAAAAAGTGTCACTTGCACAGTTTTCAACTCGTGTAGAGTACTTACAACATTTTCGCTAATTTTTCTCGGAGAGGGGGGGGGGCTTATACCCCTTTGTAAATCTTTTCGGAATGAGCAGTTTTGAGTGCATCGCTATTATCTCCAACTATCTGATTGAAGACTTTTGGTTATACTATCAACATTAATGAATGTCTGAAGTGACATCTGCGAAAGAAATGTCCTCTTCTCTGTTCTCCACATTCTGCTTATGATTGGTGAAAAATCGCAGAGTTGAAAAAGATCCAGTCTTCAGAAATTCCTCATTGCCTTCAAATGAATTTGAAATGAGATTACGATTTTGTCAGAAAAATACAAATTTTCCCAAACGCGATCTGGTTTTCATTTGGCTTGACTAATTTGGTCTTTTACTATCATCTTTCAATTCAACTTTCATCGCTTTGACTCTTCTTTGGTGGGAAACTACTTTACTGGAAAGTTCAAGCTTGATTCCCCCCAATTTTCTGATGTTTGGGACATTGTGTTTTTCGTAGTAAAAGTCAAGTTTCAATTTATATGTTAGCACCTAGGGTCTGGCACATGCAAAATTCAAGCAAATTCGAGCATGGTCTTTTACCGTTCACTTGCCGTAAGCAGAAATTGCGCATCAAAAGTAATCTCTCCTAAAAGAGGATTACCTAGATTCATTTAATCCAGTGAAATCAAAACAAAAGCGAACTCTGGGATTATCAGGGAATAACTGTACCCTCTCCCCGCCGCTGAAAATTTGTAGCGAAAGTAAGGTATTACCTATATGAGGAATAAAACCATGCAAGCGATATTTGTAAATAACCTAAACGATTTTTGAAAATCCTAGTTCAACTTAGTTATCTAAATACTTTGGGGGGGGGGGGGGGGCGGGGGGACTCTGCCACCATCCCCGTTGTTTCACATTTCAGAGCTATAGATCCACTAAAAAGTTGTGAAGGTATCCTATGAATATTTTCGTTAGATATGCTTAACTCCATACCCATACATTCGAAAAAAGATTCTGTTGCTTTCCTGATTCCCCCCCCCCTCCCCAATCGAAATTTTTAGCGCTACCTTATACGTTCTAAGGACTCTTTGACCCAACAAATTTCTTTGGGCGGACTAGCTCCACAATTTCTTTGTACAACTTTTCGACACTTTTTAGTTTTAGACCTTATAAGTCATCTCATATTTGGCTCTTGTAGTAGTGTACAGTGAGGACAAAAAACATTTTGCATCGAGCCTGTTTTTCTCGTCCATTGGTTTCCAAAATATTATAGAAGTCAAAAATCATTCAACGGTAGCCATCAATCTCCTGCATCTTACTGGTGTTCAGAAGACGAGAAAATTAAATTCAAAGCTCGGTTTGCTGATAGATTCACAAATGCGAACTAGAAATTGCTAAAAGGTTTATAACAATAAAAACCCCTGCAGTTGCCGAGAAATAAGTGTTTGTTTCGAAGTTTTTGCTCGATGTAATGTTTTCGTCTTCATTAGTGTCGTTAGAAACGCAGGAACAAGTTTGTTACTGCGCAATACTTCGACCCATCGCCATTCTGCTTTTCCCTCTACTGTTGTTATCAAGCATTCTTCGCGTGTGTCATTACGTCATTTCCTGCCCTTCAGACTTTTGGTTCCACTCTGATGCTCTGAAGTTGTCTAACAGAGAAAAACTATACTTCATGGCTTCTAAAGCTTCTCGTTAATTTGTGCTTCTTACATTTCATTTACATAAGTTTTCTTTTGCAGTGTGCTACACTCAACATTAGTGAATGAAGGTCATTCCGGACGATGCTGGTGGGAAGGATGTGTCTAAAAAAGCTTTGCCAGATGTTGGAGTAGGTAAGTAGAAACTACGTTTCTTGGTTGAAGTGAGACTCAACGAGGTCCCGACGAAATTCCACATCCCTCGAAATCTGAGTTCTATTACCTTGAGATCAAGTGAGGTCAAACTCTTCATGGTCAAACACAAAAAAACTTTATAGAAGAACAGCAAGTAAACTTTTTAAATTTTTAATGCAGGCCTCACAAAGAGAACATGTTTAGTCGAAACGGCCTTTTTTATGGGGAGTGTACGATATCAAAGAGCATTAAACGCTGTTTCCAAATCTGCCTTCCTTATATGCGGAGCTTGACTGGAACAAAAAACCAAATATGCATTTACGATAAAATAAGTTGCATAAATCCGCTTGCCTTTAAATGAACAACTAAGTGTGAAATAACTTTTATCTCAGGGCATTTTTTTGAATAAAGTGCTGTGATTACTATTACTGCTCCCTTAAAGGGTTAGAAAAATTATTGCGACTATCTTTTGTCCTGAATGCACATTTGATTTTTTGCTCCAAACGCTCATAACTCCTCGTCCATGAACGTTCCGCGGATAAGGAGGGCAGATTTGGGATCAGCGTTTTGTGCCCTTCAAAACTGTTTAAATCATGTAAAAAGGCCACTTGGATTGAACATGCTTTTTTAGTCATTGAAATGGACAATATATTCGGCTGTTTCAAAATTTTCTCGGTTTCATCGGTCACCAAAACTCATAGAACACTAGTCGATGAGCAGTCGTGCATCATTCGCTCCAGCCTTATTTTCCACTTTCTGGTAATTATACTCTGTGGTCATCAGTACATTCTCTGCGATGTTGAAAATCACGCCTGAGTTCTTTTTTTAACAAGTTCCATGTTCTCTCTTCTCTAAACCTTGGCATTCGGGAATGTGTCAGTAATTGTTATATGATATTATGCCAGTGCCAGGTTTGTACGGTGGAATTCCTTATTGGCCTTACGTTTCGACAATTTCGTCTTCGTCGGAGGCCTGGAAGTAGATTGCAGCGTTACATCTGCGAAACCAGACCGCCAAACGCCTCTCCGCACTGCCGAGTTCTAGACCTCGTCCCGCACTCAGCGTACTGAGACATGTTGATCAGAAAACGAACCTTTATCCACCGTAGTGTTAGTAAGAGTCAGTAGAGTCAGTACTTAGCCGCACCGAAGAAACAAACTACACTGAGTCTTGCTCAGCGATCGACACCTATATAGGTGCAGGGCTATCGCTCACAGATCGTTATGATAGGCAGTTCGGTTGTTATCGACACGCATTCATTTCTGTTATTCATGCCAAGGATTTCTGAGAGAAATCCACGCTGCCTCGACGGTCTTTCTACTGTAATCTCTGCCTCGTATGACAAGATAGTGCATTTAACGTCAAATTCTTTTTTTAATAATTTTCTATTTTTTAGAGACCATTGGCAGCTAGCAGTAACGTTGATAAAAATTTTGCTAACTTCCGACTGTTAAAGACTACTCAAATCAAGTTTCAACGGTTTTGGTAATCAATTATATAGGAAAAATCCCAGCTGCATCCCAGCTGCGTGAGTACGTGTATGCTTACCAAAAATTCCAAAAATACGATTTTTTCGAGCGAAAGTTTCTGCACAAAATCTTCTAGCAAAGCTGTAAAATGCTAGAACTTCAAAAGTATTTCTTCCGCATGTACATGTTTTATGATTTTCGCAAATTCGAGAGCTCCAAAGAGATAATTTTGAAAAACTCTGAGAAGCAGATCAAATACTTTTAGGGTCCTAGTACGGTCAAAACTTCTGCTTCATTTCTAATTTCAAATTTTTATGAGAAGTCCAGGAAAAGGAATTTCAAAAAATCCAGCCGATTTGAGTAGATAGATTCTACAAGCTTGTGAAATGTCTGGAAGTGTTTGATAGATTATGGTTTGGAGACATGACTATCAGAAAGAGAAGGAAAGCTGCATCGCATGCATGTCTGATTGCTCTCCCTCCCTCCCCCCTTTCCCACTTCCCTGATAGAATGACGTAACTGTAGTGAATTATTCAGAAACTTCTAATTTTTCCAAATGATTTGCTTTTATTTTTAGTCAAAAGGATTAAGTCATGCTCTTGATAAAAGTCTCTTATCTATATTTTTTAGGCATATCTTGCATAGATAGAAGCAGTAGAGGAAACTGCTCAGCTTCATTTCGATTGTGTCTGGACGTAAACAATCTGCAACCTGCGGTAAAATCGGAGCAGCTTGTATCATAGGTTCTATTACCTGCCCTATCTAGATGAGCAAAGTTTGCGTTGTTTAAACGCCTCTCTGAAAAGTCATGATTCTTGGGATAAATGCCAAAAAAATCTAATTTGCTATCTTGTTCTGCTTGATCAAAAATCATAACTTTTCATAGAAACATGCGATCAGCTCAAAATCTGCACGCTTAAAAAGATGATGTAATAAAATTATCAACATCTACTGCTTCGGTTTTTGGTAGAAGTTTTAGATTTTTTATGACTAAGAAAATCAACATTTGTGTAACCTTGTTCTACAGCTTCTATCTATGCAGTCTATGTGCATTAGAAAGCCTTTGAGGTATTACTATTTATTTTTTAGTATTATTTTTTATTATAAAAAGCTTGATTTGCTCCTTCGCAAGCAAATTGGTTGAAATAAATCAGCTTTGGAAAAAATCTTAAATCTCTAAAAATGGTGCGACAAGACTTTCTGCCACCCTATAATTTTGTTATGCTTACGTGAGGTCTTAGAATTATGATAACACTGTACATTAGTGTATCGATGGAACAAGGATTGATCTGGCAATAATGCGCATCATCTACTGTTCATTCTTTCCAACACAACGATGTTCAAAAGTGCAATAAATCATAAAAAGTAGAGACGAGCACTTCGCAGAAAAATTGACCTTTTATTGACCAACAAATTCTTCGCGAAGTGATCCGTTGCTCTGTAGACTTCGTTGAAATTGCTGATTTTGTAAGAGCTTAGCTGGGGAAGAAAGGATAGTCGAAAGGTCATTAATCGTTAATTAACTTTTTTTCAATGTCAGTTTCCATTTTTTGATGTTTGGTTGTTTATTTTGCTTTTTTCACATCTGTCAGACAAGACGGCTGAGGATGTTCAAAGACTACGAAGATTACGGACACCAGTTTTTTGTTGACAGTTCTGCAAAACACTGCAGAAATGGTGCCGATTTATGTCTTGGCAGTTTCCAAAACAGAAACTCTGACTCGAACTAAACGCATGCACAACAAAGACCTCGCTTTCAGTTGTTATAGAGTTTTTCAGATATTGGATACATCGGCGTGATACATGACAGTTTTTTTCATGTAGTTGCAGTTCGTAGCTCCTTCAAGTTTTAAAAAGACAGAATTTCGGTTCTCTTTATTAATCAGAATTTATTCGGTACAAAAGTGACTTTATGATCATGACCAAGGCTCGGAATGGATGGTACTCTAGCAAGCTATATGCACGCAAAGACTGGACGCCGTTGCTTGCGGTGAAAATTGTAAGTGTTTGGGAGAGGCAGCAGACGGTTAAAGGAATAAGAGGGCGTTTGATTTGAGGGATGCTGACAGCATCCGCATTGGCGCCCTATCTCTGCCTGCGATGAATCGCGTGTAGCCTGGTGATTCCAAATGACAATGAAGCCAAAGGAATTTTTGATAGTGTAGTCTTTTTTGACTCAAAATCGTTTGAGGACTTCGACAAATCATAAATATATAGTTTTTTTATATAGACTAATCTACAAATAAAATGTGCTTAAAGAGTTTGAAGCTTGGAACACCTTTTATAATGTACCGAAAACGATTTGCGAAGGGTGTTTTTGGCGCTCGGGGGGGGGGGGGGGGGAAGTGTCGCTAGGGATGACCGAGTCCTGAAGAATTCTTGTTGTATTGTACTCCTTCTGGTCACCATTTAATTTGAATTCCAACCATTTACCGCACTTGAATGGGTAAAAGAAGTATGTGACTTTTAACCAAACTTTGCTTACATAAAATTGCAACAACGTTAATAAGCTACTTCTACTCAAAATTTTGTCAATTGGAATTGGCTTCAACGATTTTTCGAATTATATTTTTGCATTTGCATAGCATGCTTCTTATGTCCAGCCTAAAATGGATTTTAGGATTTCCAAACTTCGCATACTTAACCGTTGGAGCGGAGCGAATGTCAAGCTGTTTCCGCTGGAAAAGTATTGGTTATCAATCAATTTATTGACTTTTTTATCTTACTCTTTGAAGGGCCGCAAATTGGTAGAGAGGAGGGGCAGGGGGAGCACGCTGATAATATATCTATCACTTGCTTAGTTAACTTCTGTATAAAATTTTTGCTTTTTTTGCTTTCGCTCCAGAAGGTGAATGGTGCTGAGATCGTGACGCCCATTAATTTGGATGGTCTAATGTTCTCCTAGATTTCATGGTACCCAAGAATGTCGGTTATCTGTTTTTTATGTAGAGAACACATTTAGACATTCAGGTACTCTAAACTTCACTTTTAGGCTTGTTATCTTCAGCCACCAAGGTAAAGCATGGCAACCCTAGTAAAATCCACCTTCTGGAGCGATTTTCTCGCTTCGGTATACATTTTTGCCGCGGGATTTGGGCAGTCACCTAACTGAGGGCTTCGTTATTCTGGTGCATCAAATTCTCACCAAAAATTTGGGTGGACAGTGCCCCCCTTGAAAAGATACAAATCCCAAAATATATCGTTTCAGGAACAACAGAGACATGGCTGATTCGATTCACCACTCGCCTCTACCATCGTTGGGCTCTCTTCGTAGCCAATCATGCAGTCCTCACCATCGTCATTTGTACGATTCTGAGTCTAGTGGGAACAGCAAAAATTGTCACTACACCGTGAGTTTTTGGACCATTATACTACTTTGTTGTCTCTCTTCAATACAATCTTTACAGGAATGAAAACGACATCACTGGCTACACCCCATATGGGGCCCGAGCAAGAGATGAACTTAATGTTAGTTTAATGACACAGGTAAGCTCGGCCTAGCAAAAATAAATTTTATTTTTAGGTTGCCGCCGAATTCTTCTCGCGTGGAGGAAATGGAATTGCAATATTTATCTTGATTTTACCCAAAGATGGAGGAAATGCGTTGCGACCCGAAATTCTTGATGAAGCATTGACGGTTGGCTTTTTTGTTCTTTCACAGATTTCAAGAATACTCTCAACCAGAAGCTCAATCGCCCCGCAGAAGGGTGGGGCGCAAGGGGGGGGGAAGGGTTTGAATGGTTTGTAAAGCAAATAAAGTTTTCATTTCGACAGTGCTATACCTTTTCCACTTCAAGGAACGCGACAGTTCACAGGAATTTTCTCAACACTTTTGAGGCTTCTCCGACGTCATTTACGCGCTCCCGCCTCTCCGCTTCTTCACACCTTCCGTCCATCTGAAGAAAAAAACCCTTTCGATCTCACCGGAAAGGATTTGAATAATTGATTCGCCCATTAAGCGCGGCTGCGAGGAGACTCTCTTATGAGCTAACCATGCCTAGCGAATTTTACATGCTCAAAAAAAATTGAAATTTTCAAGAGGTGTAAAGCGCATACCACATTCAAGGTCCGCATATTGAAAACCCAGGCTCGAGGAGAGGAGGGGGGGGGGTCTTGAAGAATTGTGGACCCAAAAAAGACTTATGCTCTTCTTCTGCAGCCGAATGTCTGTGGTAATAGCGCGTAACAGTGGACCAAGGGAGAAGGTGATTTGCTTGTGATGAAATAAAATGATTTTCGAAATTAAAATTCAGATTAGCATTGTAAAAAATTTCTTGGAGCGTTCGAGGTTAAAGGTTTACTGAAACGCTGGAAAGCACCTCAATTCGGAGTGCGGCTAACGCCTAATTTCCATTTCATAAATTTCGCTCCCCCCTCCCCCTCTACCAAGCGAAACTCTCGGACCGCCATTGGCGGGTAGTGATCTGAAATTGGAACGACGCTTAACGCTACGATTAAGGTCGAAGAAAAGCTGTCAACAAACTTCACAATGTTCAACCCAAACACGAACCAAAGCGAGACATATCAGGAGTTTTGCTTTAGTTTCTGCCAAATCAACCAACCATTTGTTCAGTTTGCGGTTAGTGACACTGTGCGTTCATCAATGAGTGCATTTCTCTACATAATGTTTAAGAGCACTTACATCGTCCAAGGGTCTCTCAACAAATCTGACGATGGGGTTGAAGACCGAATAGATCTCTCCTACCCAATCAGTAATTTCTACGGTCGGCGTCTAAACATTCAGGTGGGACTATTTCCTATCTTTCATAGACGAGTCATTGCACGCAGAGACATGATGCCACCGAGGACGCTGTCGGCGTCTCTTCAATCAAACGCACTTTCATCTCTCTTACCATCTGCCGTCTCTTCCAAGCACGAACTTTCTCAGTTCGCGAGCGTCACTATCTCTGCGTGTGATGAATCATCTAAAGCTCGATTTTAATCTGAATTTGTACAATAATGGTGGCATTTTTTACCTTTCAGCCACATTTCTTTGGTTTGGAATTGACTGAAGACATATTATCCGATGAAAACGATAACTCCACTGCTTTGACAAAAAGAACGACGCTTTCGAATATGAAATCAGCAAAGGTAAGAGTATAGCTCCAGAAACATAGCCTTTATGGGTGTCGTCTACAGGTCTAGAGGTTTGCTTTTTCATAAATATTTACTTCCTAGATGCTTGCTCTTACCATACGAGCAGAAAGAAAGGACTGGTGGACTACCCAAATGGTCAAAGACTATGAGCTAGCCATCACGCAATATTTCGAAAGGTTGGTGAGGATAAAAAATATTATGGGTATCTTCCAATGGAAATGAAGTCACAAGGAAGGTTACAACCTATATGACCACAATTTTTGATTTTTATTTCCTTTTTGAACATGGAAATAATTTTTAAAATGTTTCAGGGACTTTGTATCACCATATATAAGAGTTTTGACGCTATCCACATCATTTGTTGAAGCAGAAGTAAGTGAATTTGGTGCAAGTACTCTTGAAGTCATCAGAAATGCGCCTTAGGCCTCGGACAGAGCTCACGCGATTTGATCGTCGCGATTTAATCGCCGCGATTTTCATTCATTTTCATTTTACATTCAAAAATTTCGATCTGTAAAAGTACCACAATCGAAATGCAATCTGATCGGCATGCAATGTCGTAACAGCTGTCTTGTAGCGATTGAATCGCGACGATAAAATCGCGTGAACTCTGTCCGAGGCCTCACGATCGTCACTTGCATTACTGGAATGTATGAAAAATTCTGACCGTTTTAAAATACTTTTTCTATTTACCATTATTTATTCCGAAATAGATCACTGCGACTACCTCAATTAGGTGTATTGTGTTACAATCTATAAATCTTAGCATTTTTGTGCATGCTCAATTTCTATTGCGGGAAGTATGCGATTTCTCTGTTCCGGAGATCGCTAAACATTTTTTGCCCTAATTTGAAAACTGTAATTCAGTCTGAAATCTAACGGTAGCATTAACTCTGCTCATTGCGTAGCCAATGGTCTGCTAAACAAAAATCTTTTTGTTAGATTTCGCTATGTTTTCACAAAAAATTCTGGAGAATTTTTGAAAAAACCCACTTTAATCGTCCTGTGTAGAGCGGCAAAAAAATGCAATTTCTGAGATCTTTCATTCTTTTAGCTGCAGAAAATTGCGAAAATTCTGCCATCTTTTCGATATGGAACGTACTAGGCAAGTCTTGCTGTATAGAACGAAGGTTGCGTAGTCGCATTGCGCGTATGATTTTGACGTTCTGTGGATCACAATGAGAGCTTATGTTTGTGCCGGTTCTAATTTTCAGAAATTTCTGAAGGTTAAATCTTGATAAGGTAGCACAAGTTCCCAGCAAGCAGCATACTTTTTTAGATGTCGTCACTTTCCCATGGATGCCATGGGGATAGAACAAAAATAAAGAATTCCACGCTTGCTTGGTTGCCTTCAAAGTTTGGAATTTCAGACTCTATAGGGCTCTGAAAATGAAAGCTTACATCAAAAAAACTAGAGAAAAAAAAGCGACCAGATTATACAATATGTCTGTGATCATAAAAAGTAGTTTTTTTCCCTGAAATCAGCAAACTGAAAAGGAGAAATACGAGTAGAATTAACATGAGCCAACATCCACTCATATTCATTTTCTCTTTCAGGTAGTTCGCGCCGGTATGAGTCTAATGCCTTTCCTCGTCGTTGGATTTGCTATCATGGCCTGTGTCTCCTCTCTAACAACCATGTTAAGTGCCTTGTACATGGGTCAAGTCAGCATTCATAAGGTCAGTTTCAGTAGTTGCGAGTCAAACTGTTAGATTGGCTAAAAAATAAGTTGGGTCGTTTCTAATAGTTTGTAGGAATGTCACAAATTAATTTATGTACGAACATATGGTACCCTTTGATTCAACTGGCTTGACGACTGGAAGGCGGGGCTTCGTGACCTTATTAAGGCTAGATAATGATCAGAGGGCACCGCACGAGAGAGATGGAAACTGCGTTGCGGGAGGAGTGGCCTCAATTAGGGCACAAAGCCCGCCTTCCAGAAGTCAAGCCAGTTGAATCAAAGATTACCATGGAAACAGCGAATCAAGGAGAATCGGATGGTTTACTCAATCAATTAGATCAACTCAATGACGAAATGGTGAAACAAAAAAATAGTCAGATTTTTCCATCAAACTTAAAAAATAATCATGCCCCAAAGATGAGTCGAATAAAGCAGAAATGACACTCACACAAGAAATTTCCAAATTCCCGAGCACTTGTATGGCTACAGCTAGTCAAATTCGAGTGTTTTGATTGCTCAAAAGCTAACTTCTTCACACAAATACGCGGAATACCTCACAATTCTGGCTGCTGCAATTTATAAAGAGCAGATCACATTTTTCACTGTGGTTCGCTGTGCCAAAGTTATATGTTCGATCATTGAATTACTCGTCTCTGCATTCACTAGAAGTTAGGAATGGAATTTAGAAGACAAAAGTGATTTTCTAGAAGGCTAGACATATAAGGGCATATTGTTGTTTGGTGATGACGGAAAGTTTCAAGTATCTGATATGCTAGAGTGGAGTCTGCAAGCTACTTTCTACCAAATAATCTCAGACAATTAGCTGCTAGTCGAGTTATAAAGCTTCGGAACTGCACGCCAAAACGAACTTATTTACTAGCCAACCTAATAAGTCATTCATGTTCAAGTGACTGTACTAAAAGACATTCATCATGGTTGAAACAGGAGACATCATAGAAAATTTTTCTAGTTCTCTCTGGCTATTATGGCTTGCATCTGCCCATTCATGGCATGTGGTACAGCGCTTGGCGCCCTCTTCTTTATCGGAGTGCGATTCGGCTCGATCTTATGCGTGACACCATTTTTGGTGCTGGCTATAGGTAGAATTTTCATTGCTAGCCAATGATTTCTAAAATGTACGTTTAGGTGTTGACGATGCTTATCTTATGATTCATTCTTGGCAAAGAGTGACAAAAGAGTTGCGAGAGAATCCGAACAAACAAGACTGTGCTTCATACCGATTAGCGCAGGTACTCCAAGCATTTCCAACTTGCATAATTTAGAGTAAGAATAAGGGAGAGTTAATGTAAAACTGAGTACACGGACTTTCAATATGGAAACTAGTTGGGTTTTGCTAACTGAGGCACTTCTCAGCCCAAATGTTACGGTCGAGAAATCATTTTCTTAACATTTTTCCAGATCGTTCTCTTTCCAACCTGACTAGTCAGCATACCGTACTCGAGCGGGCCAATTAGAGCTTTAATGTGGTATGCTGATTGGTGCGCTTAGATAGAGGACAGTACGCACTAGAGCTTGAAGGCAGTGGCTCGGGAGAATTGCGAGTGCGAGCATTTTGCACCTTTTGGATCCGTTGAGCCCGAGACTGTGCTTGAAAAGTCAAATAAGTCCTTTTTTGGCGTTTTCCGGCCTTGGAAATGCTGAGGAGGCTAGGCAAAGGATTCCCGCCAGAACAGTTGGCTGGAGGATACTGTAACTCCACTCATTTTGGCGGCAGTTGGCTGGTCGGCTCAGGCAGCCAATCGCGACTCAATTGGCGATCGCTCGCCCATCCCCTCCAGCAACCTCCAAAACCGGGAATGCCATAAAAAGCACTTTCGACTTTTCAAGCACAACGCGAGACTCAGCGCATCAAGCAAGGCCAAGGGATGGAAAGAGCTCGTAATTGCAATTTTCCCGAGCCACTGCCTTAATTAACCATAAACTGCATCACCAGTCGAATTCTTTCAAAACTAAAAAGCGCAAGTCGCAAAGTTGTTCTGAAATTTTTATGGAAGTGTGTTTATTGGTGAGACGTTAGTTGCCTTGACTGACAGATCTTAATTATATATTACAAAGATATGTCAATTTGTTTATTGATTTGTTCACTGCTCCCCTTACGAATCTACTTAGTGGAGAAAAATTAAAGAAATAAGTCATAAGCGACGTCTCTAGTCGTCTAATTGAGGTCTTGTCTGATACTGGCCCGGCTATAATGATCAGCGCACTGACAAACATCTCCGCTGATGCTGTCGGAGCATTTACGAGTTCGCCGGAAATCACTCTTCTTTGCTATGGAAATGCAGCCTGCATCTTCGTCGACTTCATTTATCAGGTATGCTGCGATAGCTTCGAAGAACCCTTGTTATGAGAAAAGTTTTCCAGATAACGCTCTACTCTGCCGTGATGGTTCTAGCAGGCCACTTTGAAGTGGCAAACGAGCGCGAATTGAGCCTCACTCAGCGTTTAGAGTGTGGCGTCGATGGCAGCAATGACGCTTTGAACAAGGTAAGAGAACGTCGTTTCTAACTTTGTGAGGTTCAGTCCCACATGAAGGCGAATGGGTATGCGAAGTGGCCGCTAAAGGGGCTACTTCGCATACCCATTCGAGCGGCGCATGGATCGGCGACGCCTCGCGCTCGCCCGCTTGCGCTATGTTTTTTAGGCATCCGCCTTTGTCTGGGATTAGATAACCTTCTATTCAACTGGCTTGGCGGCAAGGAGGCGGGGCTTTGTGACCTAATCAACGCCGCTCGCACACGCGACGCAGTCTGCGTCTCTCCCGCGCGCGTGCTCTCTGATCATTTACCTAGCCTTAATGAGGTCACGAAGCCCCGCCTTCCAGCCGCCAGGACGGCTGAATCAAAGGGTACATTATCAATGCACACTTGGTAAATGAACCCAAATCATGCTGCTTGCGTTTCTGATTGTTATCGGCCGTATTCCTGTGTAAGAGAACATCGCCACAAATTACACTCTCTTGGAATCAAGTCAATCCGAAACCGATGCAGAATTCAAACATAACTACCCAAATTGTTCTCCTGCCGTACAGCAGTAGCGGTCCAAAAAATCTCGTTTGATTCGGGACGGAATGAAAAATTTTCGAATGAGAGGGCGCATAGTGTTAGGCGATCTTCGAAAATACTTATAGGCTGCTTCCCCAACTTTTAACCAGGTCTACGACCCCGAAATTCTCAAAAAGGGCGCAATGACAGCCGCCACCCCTTAGAAAAAATTCTTCGAGGCAGTATGAATTTGTTTTGAATTTTCAGAAATTATTTGAATTGTTCACAAGTGAAAACAAGTCACTAGCACAGTTTAATACTAGTGTAGGTAGCAAAAATTTCGCCATCTACTCGGGGCGCTCCATCTCCCACTTCCTTCCCGAGTCCCCCACTGCCAAATAGTTACCGTAACCCGACGAATCAACGCAGCCTAAGCTGAGTTCAAAGTCCAAGGTGCCAGGCCATGCCGAAACTGTGCTGGCCAATTCTTCCAAAGAATACGCAGTGGGTCTACGTGGTATCCGGCCCGGCACTGGAACGGCGCTGGTACGGCTCTGGCAGACGCCGCATGAGACGCACCCTTAGCAGGGCGTAAATCTGCGTCCTTATGCATCTTGAACGTTGTTGTAAAAACTCATTTTTCAGAAATCAGCGTCAATCACCTTGCAACGATTTACTGAGAAATGTTCCACATTCCTTGATAGCTACGTTGCTCTCGTTACCAACAAATTCTTCGACATCGCTGCTGTTGTGGTGTGGATTGCGTTCATACTGATTTCTATAAAGGGTCTCACACAAATGCCGATAAACCTGACTCCGAAGAAGTTATTTAGCGGTGATTCATCATTGCAAGAGGTAGAGCATAGGGGATTTACTACTTTCATAATACTGCATGTTTTCAGATGGATGATCTTCGAGTCTCCTATGTGATCCCATATTTTACTTTAGCTACGGTGTTTGTGAACAAACCAGGCAATCTTTCAGACAAAACTCGCCTTGCTCGGTAAGATTATTGGAGCCTAGTCTCGACGAAGGCACTGTAAGCGAGGTGTACGCGAGCGTATCCTTTGATTCAACTGACTTGGCGGCTGGAAGGCGGGGCTTCGTGACCTAACTTAAGCTAGATAATGATCAGAGAGCATGCGCGCGACAGAGACGCAGACTGCGTCGCGGGCAACGGCCTCAATTAGCTCACAAAGCCCGCCTTCCAATCGCTGAGCCAGTTGAGTCAAAGGTTACCTTTGAAGATGAAATGCACTTACACTGCGTTCGCACATGCTCCGCAAAATAAAGTGACCGCATTCGTCCGGGAACAGCCTGTGGACTTTCGTGGAGGCCTAATTTCAGCTTTTAGACTAGATGCTTTCGTTGAAGAATTGGAATCACTACCGGGTGCATGGGGAAAACGCAGCTCGAATTATTTCATTAGAGATTTTCTCGAGTACGAAAAAGAAATGAGCAAAGTTGAAGTTGACATTGGCGAGAAAAAAAATACCTTCAAAGGTAACCCATCTTTAATTTCCGGGAAAAAAAATAATACGAAAGTTTTAGAAACTGGTGCTTTGCGCATGGAAGAACTGCCTAATTTTTTGGAATGGCCCGAGTATGAATACTGGCGCGGATTTGTCCGGTTCAAAGAGAATTCTACGTGAGAATGACACTTCTTGCTAAAAGTTGTTTCAACAATCTTTTTTCAGGGAATTAGAAAAGTTTTTCTTAACTACAGCTTATTACGGGGATTATCTAAAAGTATGGATCAATAGGGACAAACTGCTGAAAAGCTGGCGAGCAGTAGTAGATCGATACTCGTAAGTGATTGGCATTAGAGAAAATATCTAGTCAATTTTTAATGGATTCTGAAACTTTAAGACCAGAGTTCAACGCCACTGTTTACTTCGACGACGGCATTTATCTGGATTTGATTGAGAATATGCCCACTGACACATGGCAGGTAAAATTTAACACTATTTGCTGTAATTAAAGCTCGTGTCAATCACGTATTCCCTTTTCCATCGGCGCAATACCACATTAGAGCCTCGCGCTAAGTTCCGCGCGTGGCTTGAGTTTACAAAGTGGTCTCATCAGGAGTTCGCACGCAGAACCCTCGCGTTGCGACTTCATAATCAATAATAATATATTATTAATACAAAATACGTAATACGTAAGTGTTCCATAAAAAATTCTGTACGATGTAGTTCATTCATCGTCCAATGGAATCCCGATAAAACTTGGGACAGCACGCGATCGCACGAAAATATTTTCTTTTCAAAACGTGAACGACAGTGTGATCCAGCGGTGGGTCCCGTGTCTGCCCGTTCGTGGCGTGATGGACCATACGGTCCTCAAAATTCTAAGCCTTGCAAATTTACGACGTACTTCAAGGAAGGAGACAAATATTGGAGGCAATTAGGGGAGCTTTAGTTAGAAAACCACCCTCTTGGATTACCCATTAGTGTCTCGTGGATCTGATGTTGCAGAATACGCTCCGGTCCGAAACGGCCGTCGTAGACTGGCCGCCTACTCCAGACGTCAGTGGGTAGAGCTTCGGCCTACTGACCTGGCGTTCCACCTCGAAAGATCCAACGATACGTTTGAGTGAAAACGGAGTTCGCGGGAATGCCAAGATTGCCTGCCACGATGAAAATGCCATGTACCTACTCTCTGTATCATTAGAAGTGACGAGTGCTGGCCATCGCGCGGCCGTTTCGCCTGAGCTCTGCATTTCTCGCAAGCGTGCTCTCTGATTATTTCCCCAGGGTTAGTTAACGATCGAAGCTCCGCCTTTCCCACGCTTACTGTGGGTTAGAGAGCACGCTTGCACAAGAGATGCAGAGCCCAAGCGAGGCGGCCACGCGAGAGCGTAGATGCTGGTGCACCCCACTCTGCAGCTGATAAGCCACGAATAAATTTTTGTGCTGGACTCGTGGTATTCGTAGGCGGCTGTGAGGAAGGGGGGGGGGGAGTCGAGCACGAGGAGTGGCGATTTGGGACCAGGGTCACGCGTGTGATGCGACTGTCGCAACGGGGGGTCGTAAAAGGAGGTAGTTTGAATAAAAAACCATAAGCATGGAAGGAAATCGGGTGGCAAATAAATACTACGTGTGCTTAACAATAAATTCATGGAATGCCGTGTACCAATGTATCAAATAAAAACGAGTGAACAATAATTTGAAAACATCTGCAAACGATAGAACTTCACTTCATTTGCTGCACTTCTGAAAGGTTAGGACTTAGTTCTCTCTTTTTTAAAGGGCATCACTATTTCTCCCGCAAAATATTGTCGCAAATGGGGATCGAACCAGGGTGGCATGACTAAAATTCAATAAATGAACACCTTCAGAAGCTCAAATGCTACTAAAGGCATGTATGTGTGATAAAGATGTTAGATGTACCGATTGGTGTAGACATCCTGCTTCCGAAGGCTCACGGAAGACTCGCACACTTAACAAAAGCGCATACCTCTATCAACGCTAATCATCAATACCCTAATTTCACGCGTACAAGGCGCGGGGTGGTCCTAGCTTTCATCGACCAGCCCGAACACGGCAAAGGACTTCGCAACCAAAGGAACCCCATACCGTGCTGCGTTTTGCCTGACGAATCGTGCGGCATAAGGATCGCTTCTTAAAATACGTTGGGGCGGTTGAGCAGCTCGATGAAATCTAGGACCACCCCGCGCCTTGTACGCGTGAAATTAGGGTAAATTGTAATTCGTTTGTAATACCTTTCATACGGTCTTTACAATTTATGTGTACTTTAGAGGTGCTCTACTACATTTGCACAAAATTTGGTCCTACTTTACAGCCTTTGGATTTTCTTATGATTTTATGTACGGTGGCAAAAAATGACAAAAGGGGGGTCGTATCTGGGTCGCATCTAAATTTTTCCGGAGCGATTGAAGCTTGTTGGCTGCAATTTTGCTGTAATACGAGGCCATTCTAATGCCTTCCCTCATAAAATTTGCAGGCTGTTTTAAAACTTCTCTGGTAAGTTACAAAATTTTTAGCTCAAAAATCCCAGTTTTTGCTTTTTAGGATCGCATCTAAATTTTCGAGAGTCGCATCTAGATTTTTTCGAGCTTATTGCTCCTCAAGAACTGAAACTTTTTCTATGGATAGTCTGGGCACTATGCTACAGAACCTGTTCATAGCAGCTTCTCAGTCTTTTCCTGGTCCTAGTTACGAATTTTCAAACTACCGTGCTCATGCGTTTCTGACCTCGTTTTGGACGGCGCTGAAGCGGTTTTTTTTTCGCAGAAAAAACTGTGGAAGAGGTAGGAAGTAAGCTTCTTAGTCGAAAACATCTTTTGTAGTTCAAGAATGTCATTTTTTCCTCCGTGCAAAAATTTGTGTCGCATACGGGAACCGAATTTGCTGGCTTGAAGTGTGCCTGAAAATTTTAAAAAAACTTGCAGAATCTCAAACATTATTGAAGGTGTGTATATGAGCTACGGATGCTGGGCGCACCTTGGCCTAGAAATTCTGCTTCCGTAACCTCACTGAAGTTCTCACGCATGTGTTTTTTGAGATTGACATTCGTTTATGCAGGTTACCGCGAGGAATGTGGGCAGGTGAGGTAAGGGGGGTAGATGGGGGGGGGGGGGGTCGTACGGATGGGTACCTTCAAGAAGGGGGGGGGGGTCGTAAATGGGGGTCCCGGATCCCATCAACGCGCTTGATCCTGTTTGGGACCCTTTGCGGTGGCGGCGAAATTCTTCTAACACATACAAGGCCGATTTTTCGATGAGTGCCCTTTCGGACCAGAGCCTTTTTCGCTTGTTTAAACTGACGACCCATCTATGGGTCGTGTTGTTCGAAATGGTAGCCTTCTTGAAGGAAGTTCGGAACATGTCTCCGGAAATATGCCCAGAGGAGTTATCGAAGGCGCTGGATATCTAAATATGATTTATTATATCTCAGTTTTCGGCATTATACTTAAGGTAGTCATTCTGTACAAAGCCAACATCATGAACTTTCGTGAAAAATTGTTTTTGGGGTTATTTCACTTGCTGATCATGATTACAGTGTCCACTTTGTTCACTATTGTTCACAGTGGGACTATAGTAGCAGTACGGTAGAACTTATGTAAAAATTAGAAAACGGACGTAAGAAGGTGGTATTCGAGCTTGAGACTATTATTTTCGTAATCAGCATGCTGCAAAATCTATATATGTGAAATTTGAGCTTCCTGGGATGAATAACGCAAGAAGTCAATAAAATCAAAAAATTGGAAATTTTCTGTTTGGCTAACATCAGTCCCTTGCCCGCCCACTATCCCTCGTACATGTACACTCAAATTTTTTAGAAACAGCATCATTCTGCAAAGAATTTGAGCCAAAGTCTGTACCTTATCTCTATTTACGGTGTACCAACCGTAACTTTGCATTACAGTATCCCGAGCCCGGACCGCTCTGGCTGGAGCTTCGCCTAGGTGTCCCCAATCATGTATCAGAATCCCGAATTCCATCTTGAACTGACAAAGATAGAGCTTCGGGAATCTTATGACCTACCGATGGGTGATATTGTCCGAAATGGCAGAAAATGTACGACCCACCGGTATGTCATATTGTCGTGAATGTGTTAAAGAAGTTCGCAACCCGCGATGTTGACAGAGATCAACAAATCTGTCAGTGGATGTGTTGAGGGACAATTTGGCCCTCGCCATTTTTATGATCTAAGAAGCTTATTCTGGATTCTGTAATGCGTTTGCAAGCATTTCTCAATCGAAACTATTTTACAGTCCGGTGTAGCGACAATTTGTTGCATGGCCATAGTATGCTTCATTTTTATGTGGGATCTTCCAACAGTGCTCATTACCACGGCAGTCATTGCTAGCATTATGACAGGTTGGAAAAGTTCTTCTTACTAAAGCTAGCTAGATTGCACTCATTTGCTCATCTTTTTTTCCAGGAATCTTGGGAACACTCTCTTGGACTGGTACCGAACTTGATCCAATCGTGATGGCCGCTCTGATTATCTCAATTGGATTCTCTGTGGATATACCGGCACATGTCGCCTACCATTATTATAGTGCTGGTAGGCTAGTCGATAAAGTAGAATAGAGGAGTATATGACGCCGGAAAGGGAGTTCCTGTACGGACGCCCATAACACCGAAATTTTAGAAAAAGGGGGTGTGGCGTCAGCCACGCCCCCGGAAAAATTTTTTATAAAGTTAAATTTAAAAAATTTTTAAAAAATATTTCTAATAACTTACAAGGATAAACAAGTTACTTGCACATTTTTATAACTCATGTAAGTAACTTTAAAAAATTTCGCGACTCATTCCAGTATTTGGCGAGATCTAAGCAAATCTCATTCATATTTTTTGAGCGGCGGAATTTTCGACAACGAATACATGCCGTACGTGCCACTTAAAGACTATAAAAACGTATAACTTACCTTACGACTCGTACAGAAAAAAAACAATGAAACAAGCATTTACAACGTATTAAATTGCCCTATGTGCCCTTGAGGATCGTATTATAAGAGCTGCAGCAAACGTACAAAAATCTATTTATCTGCGCAATCAAAATGCCTTACGTGCCGCTTACAGACCGATGTTTATTTGAAAGAAAGTGCATGCTCTACGTTCCGCTTAAAGACCGTATTTATAAGAAAAGAACTGCCTTACGATTCCTAAAAAAGAACAACCATCTGCTCACAACCTATTCGTAATGTACCCTACCTGCCAACTAAGGACGGTCAATTATGAGGACTGCCCGAAGATACAAAATCTGTTTCCCTATCCTGCCCAATCAAAATGCCCTACGGACCGCCTACAGAGCAATCTCTGTTTGAAGGAAAGACACCAGCGGGACTCAGTTAGCAATCCAAAGACAACATCAGTATATTTCACCATAATTTCTTCGTCTGCTCTCTCCTCAATTGCCGTGATCCACGGATCTAGGGGGACGGAGTGGCAAATAAGTTTCCATTCAGTGGCGTACCCAGGATTTCAGCTTGGGGGGGGGGGGGGGCGACAAAAATTTCTTTCGGATGAAGGTGCGTGGCGTTAGCTACGCACTCTGAAAATTTTTTGGGGTGCCTCTCAAGATTTTTGCGGGTCCCTGACCCCGGATTTTGAGGAAAAGGGGGCGTGCCGTCACCCACGCCTCCGAAAAAAATTTTTTCATAAGGCTAAAATGATTTTTTTTGAATTTTAAAAATCATTTTGATTACTTACAAGTGCAGACAAGTCTTGCACAATTTCATAACGCATGTAAGGAACTTTCACAAATCTCGCCCCCCCCCCCCCCGCTCCCCGCCCCTCCCCCTCTGTAAGCCACTGTTTCCATTATATATCACAAGGTTATATTATGTTTCCAGGAGCGCACATTCCTCCTCCTATCACTACGAAGCGTCGGCTGCACTACTGTCTATCATCAGTAGGATTTCCAGCATTGCAAGCTTCGCTCAGTACAAGTTTATGTGTCCTGGCTCTCCTTCTAGTCACCATCTACATGTCACAGGTAATCCGTGTCTCCAAAGTTCCCCTTTTTAAAAAAAATTCGGTTGAACCTCAGGTATTCGTCAAAACCATGATTTTGTGCATGACACTATGCGTGATACATGGCCTCGTCCTCATTCCGTGCTTGGCCAGCCTGGCCGATCCTATTCTTGGCGGACTTCGGCGGTCTAAGAAAGCCTAACAATGAACCACTTTCATGGCTACTTCCTAGTCTGTACTGGAATTTGCCGAATCAGGGTCCAAGTATCTGGAAGCATCTTTCCAGCACCTTTCATCTTTCGCTCTGAAGCTTTATAAGTCTTTGTTTTCATTTGTGCAATCTACTAGATTCGCATATATGAATTTATTTCTGTACAAATGTGAATAATTTTTTCTCTTCCTTCTAATATAAAGATCTTAATGCTATTTCTCGTTTATGCTGCAGCTCTACGACAGGAGCGTTGATGAGTACTACATATTCCAATCTCAGATGCCCACATAGGCCAAGCGCGAGCGCGGCCTTCGGATCCTAGTCTTAACGCGCTGCAACACAGGCTTCAATGATGACAGGCTCTAGAACGCTAACGTTTTATTTAATCTAATATATAAAGAATCGTTAGCTCAATTCAAAAATCTTCCAATAGTGGGTAGGAGCGCGCGGACACTATCTAGTGCCTTCAATTACTGATTCACTAGTACCTCAACAATTAGCCGCAAATGAGAGACGCAGAGCAAAGGTAGTTGCATCAATCGTGGGATGCACGTTAAAGGTAGCGTCCGGGGAGATGTGAAAAACGTATCGTGGATTCGTTGGTCGCAGGGACTGAACATCACCACGAAGCACGCGCCGAAAGACAAAACGCATGCTCCAGTACAAATTCGCCATTGTACAAGTCGTGCTCTCGCTACGTTTCAGCGCGCCGTCCGTGGTCCGCAACGTCTGAGCAGTCCGCGTGATCAACGAATTGACGATTTATGCAATGATTTCCGTTGGTAAAACTCTTGCCTGTGCAGCATTGCATCAATTTGCTTCTGAAGCGAAAAAACCGCTTCAGAAATAGCGACAAGAACCTTTGGCGACAGGGACGCCCCGAAATCAGCCAAAGTGCGGGTGCGATTCGCACTACCGTAATGCTTTCCAACGGGTGGAGGAACGAACACCTCAATTAGGCACCGCCTCCGCGGACCACTGGTCCCAACACGATGCACAACAGTGGAACGAAAGGACCACCAGCCCGCGGAGGCGGTACCTAATTGAGGTGTTCGTTCCTCCACCCCTTTCCAACAGGACCATCGCCGCGCACGACACACCCTGCGGCGGCTTTTGCCTAAGCAAAGCACAGGGGAAGGAAGGATTTGCCGGTGTGACGTGTTGGGACAAGTCATCGGGTTGACGCTGGTGACCCCCGGTGCAAAAAGACCGTCTTCTGCATAGTGCTCATATCCACAGAGTGACACGCGTCGCTTGGCGGCAGGCGTCCAAATCCAAAATCAAGGGTTCTAGAATAGCCTCTTTTCATTTTCGTGCTCTCCAAGCTGCATTTTCGGAATCAGTGGGAAGGACTCAGTTAAGTGCGATCATTCAAAATTTTGCCCGGACGTTGCCTTCAGGCGGTGGCTCGGCAATGCTTCAATGCATGTGTTTCTCGCATACCTGGGTAATCCGCTACGTTGGTTTCGAATAGCCGGCTTAGAAAGCACGAAATGGCTAAAACGAGCATTTTTCAAAGCCACCAACTTCGAACATGGATGAGTGGACGCAAATCCCGCCCCAGCGAAGACGTAGGGTCAGGGCTCGGCACAGATGGACTTCGTTTTTGGAGTTAGAAGCAACGGGGACATCGTTTTTATGAGGTCCTGGAGAAAGCGCCAAAAAAGACGAACATGTCAGGTTTTACGAGTTGAACGTGTTCTTTCGCAGGCGCGCGAATTTCAAATGCAAGACTCAAACAAACAAATGGCTTGTTTACAGCGTACACAATCACATGGTTCCGATGTTATGTAAAAGTTCCCAAAACTTATGTGTCCTAATATCCGTCCTCGAATTTGTTGGTTTCTAGACCAACACCAAAACAACTGGGTTGGTTCGGAGCATAAATATCGGAGAGTTCACATAAGTTTTACACCATTTTAATTTGGAAGATTAGAGGTCAAAAATCTATCATTAGTGAAGAGAGCGGATCAAACCATTGCCTCTCCCCTTTTTGAGCCAAAGTGTAATTCTACGCGTTGATAGATATCGCGCTCCAATCACTTGTGGTGTCCTTTGAAATATGTAGCGAAAAATGCATCGCAGGATTGTTGAGGCTACAGATTTGGTTGGCCTAGGAGGTTTTCGACATTCCGAGCATCAAAATGGTACTCTACCCAATGGCAAAGCCTTTAATCGACTCGAAATGTTTTCTTTTTGCTTTTTTGTTATACTGCATACCTCAAAATGCGCCTTTTTCGCTTTTTATTGTTATTTTGGTTGAATAAGGGGTTTCTTTACTAATTTTTACGTCGAGAGGGATTTCGTAAATTTTCGCGAAGTCATGGGGGACTTCGTTTCCGAAAAAGGTCCAAACCAACGCCCCCTGCTAGAGTCGTTACATGGCCCTTATGCTAATAGTATTGCCGCATTCGCGCTCTGACGGTGGGGAAATCGCAAGGTGGGAAGGGTCAGAGATAGAAGCTGTCAGGGGAGATGAAAGCGCTGCCTTTCACTTTGTATTTTCGGGGGTTAGGAGTGGTTGGACTTAGGTTCCATTATGGGGACTTCTTCTGTGAGTGTCGTAAGGCTCAGAGGCAGTGTCCGAGCACAAACTCGATTTTGAGATTTTGTGTTTACTCGGGCCTTATCGCTACGCTGACTGCGAAACTGCACATTGGAGAGCGCGAAAATGGCGAAAAACGGCACTAACACAGGGGGAAATCAGAGAAACCATTATCCGTCGGAATCCGGCGCTGACCTTAGCTACAGTACATAGCTAACGCGACCATAAAAAACGACCCAGCTGCCTCTTATCTTTCCTTTGGCTATGAATCTTACTTATTATATTATGAATCTTACTTACCACATCATTAGATCATCCTGAAACTATCATTTGTCTTGTTTACTCTCTATCATGCCATGGTACTGGAAATTCTCCTCATCTTGAATACTCTCTCAATGTACCATAACGTGCAAATACTAAGGAACTGATGTTTCTTTAGAATATCTCATGAATTTATCATTTTCGAGATATCCCAATAACTTTTCGCCAGAATATAAAAGGGTTCTTTGATGAAGTTAGAAGAACCTCTGCTTCCCAAAACGTGTACATCGTTCAGGGAGATGAAGTCATCCTTACCAATGACAATCTTGTATTGAAATCCTTAACAACAACAAGATTTCGTAAGTGATACTTCTGCGTCATCCATCAACATCAGCAACTCAGGTCCCCATTTATTATTCGAATACAGATAGCGAAATGATTAGTTATATATACGACCCAGAGGATAAACAACACATCATATCAGATGCATGACCACCTTATCATCTGATAAGTAAGATCAATGAAAAAGTAAGAGGCAGCCGGATCCTCTTTTATGGTCGCGTTAGCTATATACTGTAGCTAAGGTCAGCGCCGGATTCCGACGGATAATGGTTTGTGAAAATCAGCAGGTCGGCGGGTCCTCCCCACTGTGTACACGCTCCCAGCTTCCGGAGCGATGTTCTCGCTTACTGTTTCAAGTCAGTCATTCGCACTTGGCCGGTAGCGATGTTGGGACGGCTAGCGTAGTCGAGAAGACCGCTCCGGAAGCTGGAAGCGTGAATTTACAGTGGGAGGACCCCGCCCACTTGTTGTTTCCCTCCTGCGCTAGAGCCATTTTTTGCCGTTTTCGCGCTTTCCAGTGTGGATTTTCGGATTCAGCGTGGTTAATAGGCCCGTATAAGCACAAAATCTCAAAATCGAGTTTTTGCCAGGACACTGCCTTCAGTCCGATTTCTCTCACCTGCCGTGTAGAGGCAGTGTCCGGGCAGAAACTCATTTTGAGATTTTATGCTTATCCGGGCCTATTCGCTATGCTGAATCTGAAAATGCACACTGGAGAGCGCAGAAACGGCGAAAAACGGCTTTAGTACAGAAGGGAAATCAGCAATTGGGCGGGGTCCTCCACACTGTGAATTCACTCTTCCAGCTTCCGAAGCGATCTTCTCGCTTCCGGTTTCAGGTCAATCGTTCGCACTTGGCCGGTGGCGATGTCAGGACGGCTAGCGGAATCGAGAAGACCGCTTCGGAAGCTGGGAGCGTGAATTCATAGTGGGAAGGACCCCACCCACTTGCTGATTTCCCTCTGGTACTAATGCCGTTTTTCGCCGTTTTGCGCTCTTTAGTGGGATTTTCGGATTCAGCATGATAAATAGGCCTGGATAAGCACAAAACCCCAAAATCGAGTTTTTGCCCGGACACTGCCTTTATGGATATCCCGACACTGCCACAAACCTATACAGCCAATTTTTTGGGCACATAAGCAAAAGAGGTTGGATCTCCGGAAGAAAGTCGGGATAAAGCAGCTAATCGTCATGCACTGCACTGACGCCATATGAACGCATCGCCTCCGCCAAAGGGAAGCGCTTGTCTTTCGCTGTTATGGAGAAGAAACGTTTTTATTTTGCCTATCAATATCTCCGAAATGCTCTTACGACTAAAGCTCAGCGTGAACAGCTATGATGTGATGCGACTGATCCTTATCATTTATTCATTGAAAGCATCGTCCACCCTGAGTTGAGGTTAAAGATTTCTACAATTTACGATGATGAGCCTCCCCATGAAACTACTGTTCAAGATCCGCAGGAAAAATTGCTAAAAAAACGAAAAATTCACTACAGAATATCGAAGGGTGAGGGCCGAGAGGTCGCAACGCCCCTACAGATATCCCGCCCATCCAGTGATTTCTCTTGCGTTCGAAGCAAGCACGATCAATACGCGAGTGTCGGCGACTGTCTTGCCAAATCAAGAAGCGGTTTGTTTGCCTTTGTCGGGGTCCCCCCCCCCCCCCGCTGCATTCGTCTGACTTGCAAGGAACTTCTGTAATGATGGTTTCTTGAAATCGTCGTGCTAATCACGCATATATTCGGGATAAGGGCAATAAAAAGAGGGCGGGAATGGCAAAAAGTGGGAGTCGAGAGTCCAAGTGGACGGAGCTTACCTTGTCAAGCTGCTACTAAAAAAAGATGATATTGAGCAAATCTCTCAAATACCATCCTTCATTTTTGTGAAGCAAGATGACAAGCCCATTTCCTTCAGAACCAACGAACGCTTTGCGATAGAGGGTACGAGTTCAACGTGCACACTTCTTCGGGACCCATTTACGGCGGCCCATAATGTCAAATCAGCTGTGGCAGAGCACTGCATTGATCGAATGTCGATGTTTTTCTTGTCGTCACGCTGAAGGTTACTGGTTCTCAACTCGTAAAGTACGTACCGAGTTCTTGCTCTGCCCTACGTTCAGCACTTCGCGTCATTCATATTGCTTGGCGTGGGTTTCGTGTGCGAGCGGATCGATTGATTTGGAGTCCAGTTGTGTAGTGTCGACATCTCTTCCTTGTTTTCGGCACCTTTTTTTCTGCCAGAGTTGGAGTTAAGTGGGGTGCGGGTCACTCCGGTTTTGTTACGTGGTTCCTTTATTAATACTTTAGATGAAACTTGCACATACTTGCAAGATTTTGACATCCTCTCAACATTGTGGGAACAGCGCAGTCGCTCGGTTTTCACGGTCGAAGAGGACATCCACAGATTAACTTGAGTTGACCATTCTGAGACTAGGAGACCCTTTACACACATCTAAATAAGCTAAAGCGTATGACAAGTTCTGCTTGTCATTCACCTCATCTCAGTGTAAGATTCTTACGTGAAATCGGGTGAGAACAAGTTCAAGCTTATTTAGACAATGTATGCAACGCGTACTCGAGTCTCCTAGTGCGCATACGCTTTACAAGTTGTAGCTCATGCTTCCCAGAATCTTTAGCAGCTTACAACTCCACTGTGAAATCATGCTTGATCGATGAGGTCCTTTGTTAATGAGCTTGTCCTGTATTTGTTAACAGTATGTTTGGAGATATACTTTCCGGGTACGTTCCTGCCAATCTTATGTGACGCGTTGACGAGCGAGCCATTTTGAGCGAAATCCTACCAACGTTTCTTGCGAATTTGGCCTGTGCATGCGCGCGTATGCACAAAATCTTTATGTGGGAGTCTTTTTGACGATCATTTATGAAACATACGAACTTATTCCAGTAGTGCATGCATATCAAAGGGTCTTACCAGCAATTGCTCATATCAAGATTTTTGCGTCGCTTTTTTCCAATAAACCATGCAGTGGCTATGTCGGGGAATTTCCTTTTGGGGAAAGCGTCACACTAGCTGTCTTTTGCCTTTTCATCTTTGTTTGCTCTCAGAAAGCTAGGATTTTCCCCGGGTGAAAAATGATTAGCATATATTTACCACATCAAACATGGCCGGGTACCTAAATTCGCGGTTTGAACTGCTGGAAAGCTTCCGCGATGCCCGCGTTCTATATAACGGTTAGGCCACCAGTAGTATCACTACAATCAACAGTTAGAAGTTACCCTATAACATTTTGTTTACAATTTGAAATCCAGCGTGCATACATGTGTATGCCCGAAATTGCTAAACGGCAGCCAGAGCGGATGCATATGCACACGGCAACATATTATATCTGGTATCTATCTATTAACCTTGCTCTGAGATGGGTTCAGCGCGTTTTTGAACTTCTTTATATATTATGAGAGTATACGTTGGCAATAAAACCCCTATTTTTTTCTTGTCCGCCTTGTGGAACCAAGCTTCCCGGACAAGTTATAACTTTTGAATGAAATCACGCAGACCATCATTTGCAGTACACCTACCGTAGCTCTATCTGCCGAGAAACGCGAATTCTTACAGGTCCGCATAAGAAACCTCGGGGAAGGATTTTATCCCAGAATAGAAACCATTTCAGCGAATTTCTAGTTATGATTCACCGTGGGTTATGTTATCATAGTGTGTCAAGATTCGGAAGTTTTGGAAGCGCATCGACTGGGAGGTTGGGAAGCTCGTTATTGATTCATGACAAAATTGCTCAGGGGTGCAGGCTTTTGACAACTCCCGTGTAAAGCTATACACCTCGTGTGACTTGGATCAGCGTCTTGCTAAACTGCGCGAGTTTAGATTCAATAGAAGCGACCATTTCTTTTTTATTTGAGATAGAAAAAATTAAAAACACAACGTGCTACTCCCTTTTCTCTAACTGATGGGTTTCTGAAAGTTTGTCAAAGTTATTTTCAAGAATACGTGGCTGGACTTGAACTTTGTGAATGCTCGCTGTTGATTTCACTGGACGATCGTTCATAAGCGTGCCCCATGTTACAGGAAAACTAACTTTTTTCAGTTGAAGCAAAACTCATAATCGTGGGTTTTGCTAACAAGGGAAGTTCGCTTGGTTGAAGTGGCGATCCGGAAGATGGTCTATACCAGCGGATAGAGTATGAAACGCTGATCTTATATATACTCCACATATCTGCGAAGCGTTCTCTGGGAATAGTTATGAGCTCTCCTTATGCCAAAATTTCGCACGTTTTGGATCGGAAATCACGGCAATTTCCACATGAAAGTATGCAGGCTCAAGCAAACCACCTTATAACATTCTAGGTCTAATCTGATATCGTCTGAACGTTTTCGAGTGGTGTTCAACCACGTTGTCATCCACAGGGCGTCATCTTTCCAGGCCACACTTCCATTATAAGTACAAAAACCTCCCGAACTTCCTGCAGGAAAACGCATCGCAGATATAGAATATTGAGATAGCGTTTCCAACTCTATCCGCTGGTATAAATTATTTCCGAATCGCCACTTCGACCGAGCGAACATCCGTTGGAAGAATTTGCGCGAGTAGGTGATAATGCGCGCTGATTACAGTATCATATTGAGTGAACACAGTAATTTCATTCCATTTTTTGTGATCCCCTGTACAGGTCTGGAGTTAAAATCGCAAATTTTGAGAAGAAATTTAGGGAATTCTGCAGCTTACTGAAAATTACTAATTGTGCTCGAAAAAGACTTGCAGATTAGGAAGTTTCGAAACCGGCTACCCCTACCGCAGCTCTAGAAAATAACGCTATTTAGCTACTGTTACGCATGCCTGTGGTCGGCATGCTCAAATAGTTTTTGTAGGCGAAGTCGCAGCGAAATCCATGCTATTGTAGGCGAAGTCGCAGCGAAATCCACGGTTTTAACTTTTTTGAGTCATTTGATGTGAAATACTAGCAATTTCAGCTTTATCTGGCTGCCAATTCATTCTTTACAATTTGAGGATGATCGCTGATATATCTCTTTCGACTTTTTTCAAAAAGTAGTTACTTGGGTTTGAAAATTCTTCAAGGGTGGCTAAGTCTTTTCGAGCGCCAAATGGCGTGTCTGAGAAAGCTCAAGGAGGATATTTCCGTACTGGAGTCCCTTTTTCCGAAAAATCATGAACGTTTGCAGGCAAGTGTTGATTCCAGCTCTTTCTATTCCAGTAATGCTGAAAAATTCTTTCAGGTACTAGTCGCATCTGTCGATGAAATTACGCTCAAGTTTATTGATGGTACAGGAAAATCGGTGATTATCAACGCGAACATCTTAGTAAGTTTTCCACCTTTTTTCACATTTCTGTTGATAAGAAAATAGTTCGAGATAACTATGTGTATAGTTTGTGTCACAAAAAGGTCATGGGTACTGCCATTAACGTGACTGTCTTTCGATTGTTTTAACACGTTGGCTCCAGCTTAGGTATTCGCAGTCATGTTAGAGCGGTTGAAGGGTAGCCACGTTGATGGTATCTTCTGTTCCCCGAACCATCAAAGTGGCTACCTCTCGATCGTTTCAAAATGTCAATTTCGAAGAAGGGCCTCAAATTTGCTGGAATTAACGTAGAGCGATCGAAAGGCAGCCACGTTGATGGTGCTTATGGGAACATTTTTGTGGGACAAACCATACCTATGGGAACCTCTTCCGGGCACAGACGATATTTGGTCAAGGAAATGTATCAGCAAGGTACGTTGTAGCGCGGTAGGTTGTTGATCTCTTCCCATGTGGATTAGTGATGCCAAAATCTGAAGAATTCATTTGTGCTGACAAATCATAATTCCAAGCACTTATCGCATGGTTTAGTCTCTATTTGCCTTTGCCGACCATGTTTTCGCTTTTTGAATTGGTCTAAACTTCCTTGCAGTGGATGGTTCAAAACGCTTTCAGCTTTCTTTCTGTGTCACTGTGCATCATCATTATTGCTTACAGGAAGATTATCCCAGACAAGCTCCATTATGGTTCAGCGAATCTGATGATGCCGTGATTTGTTCAGCACTGGAACGTTTATCATCAGGCGGTGATCATCAAACTTGTTTGCTTGCACAGGTCGGTTCCATGTTTTCGGCATTCATCATTGCTGTTAAATCTGTATCATTGAAATCAATGTCTTTTCCTTGGCTGTCATGAATCATCTAAATATTGAATCAGCAAGTGAGGCATTCATGGTTCTCTTTCTTATCAAATGATAAGACGTCACTGCGTTGTCTGTGCGTTGTGATATCGTTTTTCTAGATAGCAGACATAATTGCCAGTATGAAGCAAAGGGAACGTATAAGTCCTTTTTTGTTATCATGACTCACAAGGGAAGGATGGTCAGTCGAAGTAGCTTTTTGCAATGATTTGTACACCGTGTTGGAGGGCACAAAACGCTGATTTCAAATCTGCCTTTCTTATCTGCGGTGCGTTCCTGCACGAGAAGTTGTGAGCGCTTATTGGAGAAAAAAATTGAATGTGCGAATAATATTAAAACAGTAGTAACATTATTCCTAGCGCTTAAACGGACCAGCAGTAATCTTTTCAGCACTCTATAAAACAAATACTCTTAGGTGAGACATTCTGCACTCCGGCTGTCTCATTCAAGCACTGGGAAATTTTTAAAAGCGGTTTTTATCCTTTAAAAAACGCTCATTTTTTGCTCCTTCAAACGCTCATAACTCCTCGTCCAGGAGCGCGCCGCAGATAAAGAAGACAGATTTGGATTTAGCGATTTATGTCCTCCACCATGGTACACAAACCATTTCAAAAGGCCACTTCGACCAACCATCCTTCCCTTGTCAGTGACTTGTCATGACTCAGAAGAGAGGAATCTGCTAGGGTGTATGTAAAGAGGCGCAATTTTGTCAGCCGAATAAGGGAAGATATTTTGAGTTTACAACGCTCTCGAGGCATTCCAAAATTACAAGGAGATTTATAGATAGCCGTATGAGTTGTCAATTCTAGCATCTTGAGATAGATCTAAGACGTAGACGTTGGAATAAATAATTCGATCAATTTTCCATTCAACCTCAACTCAGCAAGTGCTTTCCAACAGTCATCAAAGGAAAGCGTTTGTCCGAGTCAAAAACTCTCATAGCGCTGAAGTGGCTTCTGATAAAAAACCAACGTCTTTACTATCTCCTGTTCTGCCTTTACTTGTAAATCACTAAAGTGTGGTCATTATCCATGCAACATATTTATCGAACGTTTTTATCTACGTAAAGAACTTTGACAGTTTAAATAGACAGTTACTATGAACTCACAGTCATCGTTGACTCATGTCAAGGTACTGTGGTGTGGGCAGATGAAGCGCACTCAGGTAAATGGCGGATAGTCCAGGTGGCATAAGGCAGATTCTCAACTATCTTTTCAAATGAATCATGCGTTCAAATGAATCATGCGCGGTTGAAACCGTATTCCAGCTTTTGAAAACTTCGAAAAGTTGGTTGGCTTCCGGATATGAAAACTTCCGGGGTAGGAGGTTATATGTATGTCGCCGAAAGGGGGCGGCCCCCGCGGTCATTTGCAACAAATGCGCAGGATGGTCCGTTTTTGCAAAAAATTTGCGCGTGACCCTCCCACACTCGTCGACGTATAGTCTTCTACCCAAAATTGCGATTATTCACTTGTCTCTCATGAGTAGTGTCCCCGTTGGATCGTCGCATTTGCCTTGTGAGTACCTCGCGCGGCATGCGTGGGTTTTAGCTTCACTCAGTCGACTTATTCAAATAAGCGCGCGATTATCGCTACGGATGCGTAGTCACGCGATATGAACACATTGCAAGTGAGACGGTCTTCGCGCAATGAACGCAACCCTATCCAGTACCATCCAATTTAAACAAAGCAACTGGACATTACCATAAGCTCCAAATCATGCTTCTGATTGCACCCATTCATATGTTATCTACGCTAAGAAAATGAGTTCGAAAATGCGCCTAGACGCTGCTGGCAAGGGTGGCATTAGTATTCTAAGGAGGACTGAAGTGTGTGATTTACTGTCTAGCACACAGTTTCCGTAAAATCAAAAACGGCATCCCTAAATTTCTAGGATCAGAAAACAACTTTTGTTGTATTACGTCGTCCCGAAATTATTTTCGCTTCATTTGAACGACTGCCAATCCGCCGAACGCAGGATTTATACAACAGCTTAGTAGTATCTAATGTATCTTTTCATTTTCTTTCAAATGGTTATGTTTCTACGGCAGTGAACGAGCTCTTGAAAACTCTCCAACATCTTGAACCGTTCCTTTTTGCCATAGTCAAGGTTCTTATTTTTCTAAGTTTTTATACTGATGCCGAAAAAGTGCAAGTAACTGATGCGTAGAGCAAACCCTATAGGATACCAAGCATTTTTCCCTCTTCCCATAGCTAGTTATAATTTTTTGTTAGATCCTCAACAAAACTCCCGAGTTTTTGCGGGGTTATCTCAGACACAAACGCGGCAAACACTATTAGTCCATCGCAATCTGAAAGTTTTGAAAAGTAGAGCAGATTCAACTCAATTTGACAAAGCAAATGAGGGTTTTAGGATTAGGAATGGTGGAACATGAATTTTACGAGTGAACCTTGGGACGTCTCAAAAACATGAATCATGTTGATTTTATCCCCGAATACTTCACAAATCAGAAACCAAACCTGTTGAAATAAGAAAACATACTGCATCGAATGATATTCGAGTTGCTTGCCTATTTATGTTCTGGTGAGTTGACCAAATATGGAATTTGACCAGTCCGAAGCGCCGCTTCGCGGCGCTCCGGACTGGCTGTGTGTGTGAAGTGGGATATGACTCTCAAAGTTAGAGCGTGGAAACCTTTTCTCCTCCAAAAGTATGATTTCTTAGGACCTTTTCTCCTCCAAAAGTATGATTTCTTAGGAACTCGGAGATCATCAAAGTTAAATGTCAGGATCTCCTGCTTTAAATGGTTTCCCAAGTTACATCATTAACCAAAGTGATAGATTGATCGCTTCCTCTCAGCTTTCTTTGCAACTCGCGTTTTATTGTCATTCCTGAGTTCTAAGCCAAACTGGCCTCCCCCCCCCCCCTTTTCATCCAAATGTTTCCTTTATAAACTGCCCAAAACCGATCTTTTCTCGCATTTTCAAACCCTCTTGATCTTACTCAATCGCTTTCGAATCTAGCTCCAAAAATGCTGTTGAGAAAATGCGCCACCTTACACCTTTAAAGTCTGCACCGAATCAGGCCAAAATTGATATGATGAGCTGCGAACGCAAAGATTCTGCATCATGTCTGCGGCGTTAGGACGTCCGTTCCCAGCTTTTCTTTGAACCCTCCTGCAATGCGAAATGCAGCGCAAGCCCTAAGCGTTGGTGTGCCGTTTTGAACCAAAATTTCAGCGTTATCACCATAAACTGTAGCTGCCAAAGTTGCTCATTCCCACATTTGCGAAAATCCTCGGATGCTCTCCAATTTTCACATCCGAAAGTTTTCTGACCAATGTGGCCGTCACAAACCCGGCAAGCTTTTCCCAGCTATGCACATTCTCATGGCTATTTTCACCCGGACTCTGCTCTCCTCATCGACTGTCCCTACGAACTGCCTTAGAAGGCACATATGAAAGCTGGGGTGAAGTAAGCGACGTCCCTTGTCACAAAAGGGCCGCGGGCGATCACTGCTATGACCTTTCAACATTGGGGACTCCGCTTCTTTTTTTGCCACTGGGAGGATTTTCATGCATATCGGCCTCAAAGTAACTATTCTGAATTTGCGAGATTTCAGCAAGAGGATTCAACTCAACGCATTTGAGTGCATTTAGCCAAAATTCTAACTTACTATTATGAAATTTCCTAAATGGAAAAACCTCCCTTCCTCTTCACGATATATGCTTAAAAAATTCTAATGCCAGAGCTCGCGTTCGCGTCCTATATGGGCTTTCCAGATTGTTCCACAATTTGGAAAGCCTTCCATATAAGACGCCCTTATAGGACTACTAGCTGGCTTACCCGGCTCCGCCGTATCCGGACCGATTTTATCGATTTTTTTTGCAAAGTTTGAGCTAGGGGGCTGGGAGTTGGCACAGGGGGGTAATCGAGCATGCTGATCATCCCCAAGGGGGGTGATCAGCATGCTCGATTACACCCCTGTGCCAAATTCCAGCCCCCTAGCTCAAATTTTCAAAAAATCGATAAAATCGATAAAAGTAATGGACGATCTTGAAAACCAATATTGTATTCGTAATCTGCATGCTCGATTACCCCCAGTGCAAACTCCCAACCCCGCAGGTCAAACTTTACAAAAAAATCGATAAAATCGATAAAAGTAATGGACGATCCTGAAAACTAATATTGTGTTCGTAATCAGCATGCTCGATTACCCCCCTGTGCAAAATCCCAGCCTCGCATGTCAAGATTTACAAAAAAACGATAAAATCAATAAAAGTAATCGATAATTCTGAAAACTAATATTGTATTCGGAATCCCCATGCTCACTTCCCCCCCCCCCCCCCTCCCTGTGCCAACTCCTAGCTCTGTAGGTGACTCTGCAAAAAAATCGATAAAAATCGGTAAAATCGACATCGATCGATAACGAAAAGTGGACTGTGACACCCGCCGGGGCCCGAAGTGTATGTGTGCCAAGTTTGGTCCGGATCGGTTCAGAAATGGAATTATCTATTCGGAACATACGTACACACAGACATACATACATACAGACAAACAGACATTCAGCTTTATATATAAGATAACTTCCACCCGGAATGCTTTAAAGCGCACCCTTCCAACTCATCCTGGTAGGCTATTGACTCGAATTCCGTAAAGAGAGCTAGTATTGAAGCGTATATCCAATTTTAAGCTGTTCATTCAAGCAAATCACCGCTGTATATACGATTTTGAGGTAGTGCATTGTTCTGACAAAATTGCACTAAAAAGCTACATGTTCCTGAGGTTAGCTAGGGTTGAGTTGATGGTTAGTGAAGCGTCCCTTTCTTCCCATCTCTTTTGTTCACACTTGGTATACTGATAACAGACAGACAGCGTGTAGCTCTTTTCAAAACTTCTCTCACGATCACAGTAACTTTTAAGTTTTTTTTGAAATTTTCAGTCTTTGGATTAATTTAAAATCCTGAGATGAAGTGTTCTCTTAAAACCTGCGTTGCTTGCAAAGTGAGCTTTTTGTATAACGTTTAGTGTTTCAAGGCAATTCGCATCACCATGTTTTTTTAGTCACTTAGTGGATAACAATTTGGAAAGTTGGCACAGTATTGATGTTTGACTATTTTCTCAAAGAGGATCGATTTTCACACTGAGTTTAAGGAATTTTTCATGTGAAGATACGTTCAGCATGCTTCATTCGCTTCTTTTGCTTCATTCTTGTAGAAGGGTTTTTTCAGAGTAAAATTTGAAAATTTTTAATGAGATACGTTTGGTAATGAAGACAAAAATAGAATAGTGCACAATAGGAAAATGCACAATGAGTGATATGATTTTGCTTGATGTTTAAGGAAAGGTTCAATTTTGAGTTTTGTTTTTGCACGTAAAGATACGTTTAGTGGTAAAAAACAGTGATGATGTGGTGCACTGATTAAGAAAGAATTGAGGATATGTAATGCGGATATCAATGTTAAGCATTATCACCGACCTGAAGATGCTATCCGACGTTTGCTTATTTTCACAAATGAATAAAGCAAATGTAAAGCGGTTGAAATAAATCGACCGCTAACAGCGTTGTAGGCGACGGAATTGGGGTTGCATTCAGCTTGACGTCGAGATAAACATCACCGAAGCAGACGGAGCACCGAAGATGGTAGAAAACATCATACCATTGATGACGTCATAGGTTGCACTTAGGTTGAGTCGTAACGGTAAACAGTATGGAAGCAAGTGAAAGTGCAAGAATTAACTCAGAGATCTGGGCAAACATTCTTCGCCGGTTGTTGACGTCGGATGGTCCCCCCTGCGCTTTATTATAGGGTATGATAGCATCAAAGAAATAATCTTGAAATTTTGAAAAGCAAGTTATGAGGGGGAAAAAATGGTTTTGTATCCTGTAAGGCTTGCTCTATCCACATTTCAACTGGTTCTGCGGAGAATCGGTATAGATATTTAGAAAAATAGCGAAACTTGACCTTGGCAAAAGGCTTGAGCTACAGATGTTGGTAATTTTTAGGAGCTCGTTCACTGCAATTGGAAACATAATCATTTGAAAGAGATAAAAAAGATGAATTGAATGCCACCAAACTCTTATAAATCTTCGTTCTGGGGATTGTGGCAGCCGTTCAAAAAAAAAGCAAAAGTACTTCGACGCGACCTAGTACATCTTGTAGAGGTTGATAACCTGGTAAAGCTAATTTTCTTCATGTCTTGGCTTTTTATTGCGTCAGTCTATATGAAGCTAAATCAGTTAGTTGTTGTCAAAATTTTGGACTCAGATTCACAAGCTCGTATCGGAATTATGTCGCCAGTACAACGTCACCATTCCTTCCGAACTTACTCGTTTGGCTCCCGAAGAAGATGATGATATGAAGGATGAGGGGCAAGGAAGTGACATGGAGTCGGAAGATGAAGCTGAAGAACTTGTGGAGGTAAACTTTTTCGTTTTTTTTGTTCATGCCATTGTAAAGCATGTGGAAGTTTTGTATTTATCAAGATTGCCGAAGTTGATATGACCGAAGAAGAGCCTCACGGCAGCACTGATGACGATGTTTCACCAGAGGGCAAGGAAATGCTCGAGAAAATCACTCGTTCTACTCGTCAGCAACATCTTAATGGAAATGTAGGTGCATTCCGAAGCTATATTTATCATTTATCATTTGTTTCACAGTTAAATGAATCGTGTTGATATAGCAGTTTCTTTTCGTTTACCTTTGCATATATAGGACTGTGCCTGATCGTGAAGTTTGGTAAATTTGCGGTTCATTGCGAGAATGCCAGAAAGCCCAACCTGTTGGACGACCCCCGTACTTTCAATCTCCGGATGATTGAAAGCCAACATTTGATAACGGAAGAGCATATGAAAGGAGAAAGAAAACTGTGAAAGCTTATTGCATGAGCAATGACCGCAAGCTCGCCGATCTTCACGATCACATTGCCCTATCTCTTTTCTTGTTTCTCTAGCTCATTTTTACACCATTCAGCTAATTTTGATACTCTTCAGATACAAGGATCAGTGACCGCAACAGATCGACTGATGAAAGAAATGAGAGACATTTACAGGAGTGAACACTTCAAGAATGGTATTGGTTGTGTATATGCATCTCATTGTTCCGTATCTTCTGTTACAGGAGTTTATTCTGTTGAGCTAAGAGATGGAGATAATTTGTATGAATGGTGGGTCAAACTGTACAAGGTGAGTGTAGACCATTACTTATCTTACTGAATATAAAACGATCATTTTAAATGAAAATTTTTAAGGTAGACACTGATAGCGCTCTTTACACCGATCTTTTGACGCTTGCTTCAGAACACAAGCAGGATCATATCTTGTTTCATTTCCTTTTCAATGAGAATTTCCCATGTGATCCTCCTTTTGTGAGGCTAGTTTCACCAACGGTAAGATCTATTCAACTTCAGCTCTGTTTTGGATTTCAAGGGAAACATGCATAATTTTTTTTTGCTCTTTCATTATCTGTCTCTGCTATCTCATACGGTTCTCATTTAAGGGCATCATGAACGTTTTTCTTCTAGCGAAATTATCATTTTGTAAGCAAGAACATTGATATGCGTTACTTCTTCTATGCTAAAATCCTATATATAAAGAAACGTAAGCGTAAATCCAAAAATCTGCAAAGAGCGGGAAACCGCGGTGCGATCCCGAAGCGCGCGGATGCAATCTAGCTCCTTTAATTACTGGTTCACTAGTAAAGATATGAAAGCTTGTGGATGATAGAACTAAATTTCTTGGTTTACGAAAGGCTTGCACGAAGATTTTTTTGTTCGAGGAAATCTCTGCTGACGAATGCAGACATAGTTAGGGTCTCAGTAGGTTCTAGTAGGTTTTATGCTTATAGTGTACTTGCGGTGTCGAACAAATGCGATACAATTTGCACGTGAACAAACAGCTGCCCCTGTTGTCGGCCACTTGCGCGCAAGATGCCGGCATTATTAGTGTGATTATCCGCAAATTTTACCGCACTTTCTTGGCACCGCAAGCATACTATATTGAGCGGAAATCCTGCGATCTACTGTATATCTTATCGTGACGGGCTTATAGTCACCGAATTCTTTCCTTTTTCCCCTATGAGTGATTGGCATTGTTCCAAGGTTTCCAACGGGTACGTACTTGGAGGAGGAGCCATATGTATGGAATTACTTACTAAGCAAGGATGGTCGTCAGCCTATTCGATCGAGTCGCTAATCCTGCAGATTGCTGCTACTTTAGTGAAAGGAAAAGCTAGGATACAATTTGAAGCAAAAGTGAGCTTTAGTTGAAAGAAATATGTTGTTGAGTGTTGATTTTGTTGTTAAGTTAGTTCTTGATCTTGTCACTGTGCAAATTCTTAATTGCCGCGGTAGTTACGCCTTACTTTCAATGTTTAGGCACAGTACAGCTTGGCAAGAGCTCAACAGTCCTTCAAATCACTGGTACAAATACATGCAAAATCTGGCTGGTACACTCCACCCACGACTGAGGGATAACACACTTGAGGAAACGAATTTTCCAGTTTTGTGTAATGGTTGATCTTTATATATGTTTGCTCTCCGAATCCATTTTTCATTCATGTTGATTTAGGCCAATGCTTTTCTAAGGTGATTAGTCTTGGCCATTTTCCACATTGAGAAAAAGAAAGACGGATCACCTGATTCAGTGTAACTTTACATTCACGCATTCGTGTACGGAAGCTCGACCTTTTTTCTTTTTATAATTTATAATCATTTTATTCAAGAAGTATCTATACCCGTTCATAGTCACAACTGGTCATTGGACAATGGAATTATGCTTAGTTATTCCTCTGTCTTTTATCTGTGGTATCATTTTTCGATTTGTATCTGAACGTCATAGTAGCACTTGTATGATGGAAAGGCTCACTATTATTATTTTTTGGATTTTTGGAAAGAGCGCATTTTGAATTTATTGCGGATTGAAGGCGGTGTATCAAAATTTTGAAATTCTCTGTTTTCTATCGACCTTTTCGACAGTTGCCCGATTTGAAGTTTGCGGTGTGGGACTTGTCCCTTTTCATGCCTATATCTTTGACTGAAAAGTAAATGAGAGTATTTTTTTCTTGGCTGTGAACAAAGATGATATTGTTGGTCGGTGTTGCTGTTTACATGTCACCGTCATAGTGACGGTTTAAGAGGTAGGTATTTAAACGTCGAAGTATCATAATAATAATACGTTTTTTTTTGTGAGCGCGATTGCATTTTCCACATAGTTCATTTAGTTCATCTTTTTGTCATTCGAAAGATGTGTCCTATGCGACAAATATCAACCGAAAAGGTTCAGAACCACCGTTTCCCAATGCTTGCAGCCGTATTTCGTTTACGACGAGCAGCCGCAAGCAAATCAAAGTTGCGTTAATATCAGCGGTACAATGGGGACGATGCAGTGCCGCGAGGAATGCTGCATCAGCATAACATCTTGGTGAACATGCTCAAGCCTTCGTGAAGAAAATGTCTACAGATAGTAAAAGGTCGTTATCTATGCTTACAAAAGATTTGACGGTTAGTTTGAACGACCTCGGCACGATCTGTGTGTAAGCATGACATATTTTTTGTTTATATCCAAAGACGTAAAACGTTTCAGCACATCTTCAGTGTCGCTCAGTTTCCACTCATCGTTGAGGGAAAGGCGGGTATCATTTCAACCTTGCCAAGCATAGAAGTTTCCATTTCTTCTAATCCATCACTTGGGTAAGAAGAAATGGACACTTGGGAAATTTGCGATTGGTAGCTAGTGACTGTACCGTGAGAAACAGGTCCAAAAGTCCTACCTAGATGGTTTCAGGTGGTACATCCGTTTCAAGTATACATGTGTTTATCTCGTTGGTGGTGCTCGTTATCCACTCAAATGTTCTCAGCGTCCCATCTTTGTGGTCCTTCTGTGATGTAATTAGCCCGCCGGTGCTTCGCTGTTGCAACAATCGAAATCATGAAGACGGGCATTCTTCTCATCTGCGCTGTAAAGTCTTACGAGATACTTGCGCCGGTAATTTGTTAAAGACTGGGCTCAAGCGCTTGTGGTAATCCGTAGAGCTTTCTGCTTGGCTGCAGTATCAGTGCTGGTCTTAATTGTGCAATAGAGTTTCGGAAGAATGTCAAGTAGGCTGCAAGGCACCGTCCACCCGAAATTTTGACCTTCAAGTTTTTGCCGTTCCAGGGCTTCCTCATACCCTTGATTCCGAATATCAAGTCGGAAATCCGCGAAAACCACGAAATCTCCCGTTTTCAGAAATTGCAGAGCGATTTCTTCGGAACGATGATTGGTTGGAAGCGCACGGATATGAATACGGGACGAACGTCACGCCCCTCAAAGGGGAGGAGCCAACGTGGCGAATCTGTCATTCGCGCGATTTTAGAAGCAATTTTCTCACTTCGGAAGCAAGTTTTGCCAGCGAGAGTTGGATAAGTATACAGTTGGGGGCCTCATTACTGTTAGGCATCAAAATCTCATCGACCCCATTTTGGGTGAACGGTGCCTTCAAAGGCAGTGTCCGGGCAAAAACTCGATTTCTAGAAAATGCACTTACCGGGGGTTATCCGCAACGCTGAGACCGAAAATCCACAACAGAAGGCGCGAAAACGGCGAAACTACTACTAAAGCCTACTACATACTACTAAAGCCGCACAATTTGAAAGTCGACGGTCCCCGCCAGGGCAGAGACGCAGAGTCGCTGCGGGACCCTACATTCTAATTGTAGCGGCATGCGTACTCTGCCGCATGGCAGGGATTCGGACAGCTCGGAGGACCCCACCCGCCCCAAGGCGTAAGTTTCCCCACTTTCCGGTGTTTTTCTTGCTTTAGGTCGAGCGTTATGAAGTCGCACTTGCGCGATATTGTGTCTGAGGGGGGCCAGTCTCGCAAGGCACTGAAATCCCGAAACCCCATCTTGCTCGGACACTGCCTTTAAGCTCCGCATACGTCAACTGGTCGATGACATCTCTCGAGACTCAAAGCTGTTCCAGGCTGCTCTTCTCCTCCAGTCAAGTTTCTCCAGCAAACTCTGAATTCATCGAATGTCCTAGATATGTGTACAGTCTGTTTCAGCCCAGTTTGGGCGGAAGTTAGACCGACGCGCGTCCGCTGCACAACGATTCGCGCCGCATTGTAACGACAATACTTTTTTTTCGTGCTAAGAACCCATGTCTGTGTTTCTTCAATCTCCTCTGTCTTTGCTTGGCAAAATGCTAGCGCTGTGGCTGGCAGAGCCTCCTCATGCAGATGCGCTCTGCATGAAATGTTCCGCTTATTGGATTGAAACAGACTGTAAGAGGGTCTTTACGTCTTACATCAAGACGCCGCAAATAGAACGGGAAAGCACGTCTTGTGAATTGCTTGATTAATCTGTCGTCCTCTCCACAATTGCTGCTACTCGTGCTCTGCTTCTCGAACTTGCGGCACAAGTATAGTCCCCTCCACAGATCGTGCTACCCTTGGTCTGCGTCTCAGACCTGCCACGTGTGGCTAACATGTTGGCAACGGGCAACAACATGTTTGCAACATGCCCCAACATGTTGGCAGAACATTTTGGCCACGTCAACATGTTGCTGCATGTTGCCAACGTGTTGCTGCCAACGTTCCCAATGTGTTAGTCACATGTGGCACGTCCGCGACGCCACAGGGGTAGCACGATCTGTGGAGGGGACGATAGCTAAAATGTTGGCAATATGCAGCAAAGGTTGAACCAAGGCACGCGCTTATCTGTCATGTTGGCAGCATGCAACAGCATGTTTGCATGCGCAAACATGTTGTTGCATGCTGCCAACATGATAGATACAGGGCTTATCAACTGCAGTGTTGAGTGTGCCTTCATCTTCGCTCCCGCACGGTCGCTTCGCCTGGACTCTACACCTCTTTCAGGAACATGCTCTCTGATCACTGTAATAAAAAAATACGTTTTCTCGACGACTGCTCCGCCTTTTCCACGCTCGCCCTTTCGGAGAAAAAAAAAACGACCAAACGGAGCGTCAGTCTGGAAATAATTAGAGAGCATGTTCGCGGAGGAGACGCGGAGTCCAGTGCGGGTGAAGATGCTGGTGCACCCGACACCGCATTGGCAAGCCCCATAGGTACGCTACCTCGGATTAGAGGAGCAGAGCAGAGGTTGTAGCAGTCGTGGACGGGACGGTATTTTTATCATCAAAGGATGTCTTTTGCATTCATTCATTGTAGAAGGCAGCTGTCGAAGCGTTCGTTATAGCGGTGGCTACGCTCGCTACTAGCGACTCTTCGTCAAAGGTTCGATGCCGCGTGAGCAAGCAAGTTTTGCAGCATGTAGCAAGCATGCGTAAACGCGATTCGACGAGTGTGTTGAAATAAAGCAGGTGTGTTTAATGGCCTACTAATGAGCACGGACTAGGTTTGCGTTTCGCCCTGAGCTGTCGAGATCCTTCTTTTCATGTTGTGACGTTTCGGAGGGAGATTTCTAGTGGCCAAGGTTGCTTTGCGTGAAAGACGGCAAGGGTACCAAAGGGTACGGCACGCTGCACTTTTTGAGGATATCGCACCTCAGTTCGCTCATTTGACCAACAGCGAAGTGGATGAAACAGATCAAGTGTGGCGTTCTGAATACATCCGCCAATATGTGAACAGATGGAGTGACATGGCGGTGTATGCGAATCACCATTTTGTGGGATCGATAGGGCAGATATAGGCTGTACCAACCAGCATCGGTTCTGCGACTTCGCGCCTGAGGCAGCTTGCGACGGCGCGATGTGACGCGTGCGAATTCGGTTACATGTTAAGGCACGTCGCATGCGACGGTGCGACCTCGCAAGGCATGCCAGCGCGGAACCGGCTGGTTGATACAGCCTATACATGAACAGCGAGAGGCAGTCTGGCCCAGGGACCAGCACGATATACAAAAGTCAAACCAGGCTTGGTTTTTAGGACAAATAGCGAGAGACATACCTCAAAACATTTGAATGTACGCACACCTGTCCCCCTCACCTGCACACCTGCTTCGCCATCAACTTATACATGACTGAAACGCTTGGCGTGTCCTTAATCTCAAGGCGCGAAATTCAAAATGATGCCGATATAAAATGGCCTGCTTGCAGCGCACGCACGTTTGAGCATGTGACACCAAATGGACTATATGTATCATTTAATTTAACGGGATTGACGGATGGAAGGCGACCACTCGGCCTGCGATGCAGTCTCTCTCGTGAGCGTGCTCTCTGATCATTCTCTAGTCCTGATTAGGCCGTGAAGCCGCGCCTTCCAGCCGCCGATCCCGTTGAATCAAAGGGTAGGCAGTACTATTCCCAACTATTAGGTCATTTCTAAGTTCGTAGTTTCTATTAAACGGTTGGTTCACGGGTACCTATACCATTGAAAAGGGAAAATCTTGCTCTACAAGAATTGTTGTTCGTTTTTGGAGCAAACCCAAATCCCCTTCTTTGACGACTTCTCAAAGCAAAATTTTTTGAGAGGCAAAAATTGACGATTTCGGCACCTGCAACTTTCGATCCATATATGGAGTCACCAGTCCCCCCCCCCCCGAGAATGGGTCGCGAAATTTCTGAAAGTTACTTAAATGTGTTATAAGAATGTGCAGAGGACTTGTTTTTATTTGTAAATAATTTTTAGAAAGTCTTAAAAATTTAAAGCTTTGTAAAAAAAATTTTTTTTCGGGGCTGCGGCTGCCGCCACGTCCCCTTTTTCTAAAATTTTGGGGTCAGGGTGTATCGGTGGTTCTTAGGCTTTATAGTAGCCTGAGGCGAAATAGCGCCCCTTGATGTGTGTTACACAGAACACATTAGCTGTAGAGCTTTATGAACAGTCGACTAGCACACGTGGGTGCTGTGGTAGGTGCTGACATGAAAAGGCGTTGCAAAGTTACTCGACAACATCTGGGCCATAAAGATACCTATATCACAGCAGGTCATGCTTATGCATGACCTTAACAGTACTCTGACAACACACAATAAGGCTACAAAGAGAGGTGCCGATTACATCGGCATACAGGAGCCCGGAAAAATTTTGGGAAACATCCCAAAAAAATTTTCGAATGCGTGGCTGATGCCACGCACCTTCATTAGAAAAAAAATTTGTCGCCCCCCCCCCCGAGCCGAAATCCTGGGTACGCCACTGGGAGTCACTAGTGGGGTTTTTTCATCTGAACTTTTATAGGTAATGAAAAACGACCTCTTATGGTACTACGATGCATATAAAGGTATCGTCTGCGCCCCAGAGAGGTTCCCATAGGTACCACGTCATCTCGCTGCCTTTCGCACTTTTGAACGTGTTAATTTCGGGCACTTCCGTTGAAATCTCAGGAGAAACGTGTCAAAAAGAGCGAAAGGCAGCGTCGCACCACGTACGCACGCTGGTTCACATGGGAACCTCTCTGGGGTGCAGACGGTAGTCTCCATATCCAAAGAGACGTCAAGAAAGATTAAGCGCACTTTTACCATGTGTGTAGACGTTTTGCATTCGGTACAATTGAGAGTCCTTACTTCAAAAAAATTTTAAGAAAGCGTAATATGTTGGCCAGGGCTTGTACTCATACATTCACACCAATTAGAAGAGCGCATCCATTCCTCAAGGCGCGATAGGAGCACCGCATATGTATTACTCCAATCTGCATGGTTTGCCCGTATGGTAGATGTGGGGGCTGTAGGCTAGCCGGGGTTATCTACCTCATTGTGCTTATCATGCGGCGACACTTACATTGGCGAAACAGGACGTCCGTTTGCTGTCGCGTTAAGGAGTATCCAGATGGTTTAGATAAGCTCAAAGCAGCTAAGCTCAAAGCAGCTACGCCACTAGGGGAACATCGCATAACGCGCTATGGAGGGGCTCCTATACAAGTTACTGCAAAGATCTTGTCGTTAGAACCCAAGATCCTCACGCGCAAAACATTAGGAGCGTTTTGGATTAGCGCCAAAAATCCAAAAATGAACCGGAAGGAGGAGTGTACCGCCATAAAGAGAGAACTCGCGCCTTATCAGTCCCTATGCGGATTCGAATATGAGGCCGGGTCATCAAGGCACGTATAAAAGAGCTGAGGTTGAGTCTTGTGTATAGTGGTAGTCCTCGGACTTCCGTCTTATGCTATCTAAGGTGAGTACTGTGCTTGTATATGATTTTGTTCAGCATTGACTTTGTTCTTGAATGATACTTTATCTATTGGTGACGTCTGGGCGAGTAAGTTCATATACTTTCGGCTTGCAGGCTCTGAAGAAGGCGAAAGCGCCGAAACGTTAGCGAACAAAGAAGTGTTATCAACCTTGGAAGTTTGCTCAGCCAATTCCATTACGAGTATCCACCATGCCAAGATTAAAAACAGCCGAACCTGGACCATCTTTTCACTTCATTTCCCCTTATCGTCATTGTTCAAATCGAATTCAAGCGACTGCAGTTCAAGCATGCACTCGCTATGATCAGCCTAGCACAAGTGCAATTGATATTACAGTGGGAGTGACTTCAGAAGCTCTCTGTTTTCGCATGGTGAGCTGTGCGTGGCGTGGTCAGGGGTTCGGCGAAGCTGTGCATGCAGTCTATGCAGATTGCGTACTCTTTTCTGCGTAGAAACTATGCATACGCAATGCAAGAGGCTTTCTTACGGATCCTCAGTCGCCTCCAGTCGATAAGGGCAGCTCAAATGTCCAAGCAAATCTGACATGGCGACTGCGGCGGTGGAAAAAAAGTATCTAAAGGCTGCCGCATGACGAAGGCGCAATGGCGATATTAGTTGAGCAGGAGCGAACGCGCGCGCGCGTATCCTCACCGTTGTAGATCCCGCACCTCATGCGCTCTGCGGTTAATAAAGCCGAGTTCGCGCCCGAAGATATTGCGCCTTCGTCATGCAGCAGCCTATACGTGATTGATAAGATCTGTGTATGCTTCCGGAGAGAGCATAGTCTATGTATCCTGTGTGCCTCAGAAAAGTTCCTATGTGAACCAGCGTGCGTACGTGATGCGACGCTGCCTTTCGCTCTTTTTGACACATTTCTCCTGAGATTTCAACGGAACTGCCCGAGGTTAACACGTTTAAAAGAGCGAAAGGCAGCGAGATGACGTGGTACCTATGGGAATCTTGCTGGGGAACAAATGATAGTGTATCCCAGGGTACATCATAAGCCATGTAGAGCAGTACTTATCTGCCTGAAGAAATGGAAAGCATGAAACCAAAAAATGAAAGGAAAACATCACAATAAATTATTGTTCATCCAAGTTGCGGTGGTTAGTGAAGGGAAGGGCAAATAAGCCAATTGAATAGATCCAATCGAGCTATCCTTGCTTACCGATGAGTTCGGAGAAAGTCAAAGACTTATTCAATTAACAGTCCAAGGATAGGACGGATTAGTGGTTTCCATGAATCCGCTCCACTCGCCATTGTACGAACTTGCAAACTCCATGTCAAGTGAGGACGTAACATGGGTTTCTACCCTCGACTTCCATTTGGTAGTTCGCTGGGTACTATATCAAGTTAAGCTTTAGATTCAGTTTCCGCCCCGGGTATTCTTTGAATTTTCATTCCCGTGCATTTAAGATTCCAGCGGGAAAAGCGCAGTCATTACCTTCATTTCAGCCCATGGCTGGATATAAAACCATAAATCATATGAAGCTGAAGTGAGGTGAGGTCGATTGCTGCCGCGCGTATGCGCCGCGCGACGACGTTTTGTCATGCGGCGCTCGCGAAAGGCGGTGCTGTGCTCGCGGTGGCCTCGACCGCCTTGCCTGAATTTGCATAGGCCACGCAGTTCTCGATTCTACATGATTCGTTACAATTTTGTTACCCCATTACACATTGAATTTAGTAGAATAAAATAATTTAAGCAAAAGCCGTTACAGGATTGTTACTGAATGCTTTCAACTTTTTTTCAGTAGCTAGATTAGAGAGGTGTATATAGTGGAGAATGTACATTGCTAGGTCAGAGTAAACGCCTTGGAATTCCTTTTTTTCTTCGTTTCTATTGATTCTTATCTACTTTGGTTTGAATCAAACATTTGCGACTAGGCAGCTCAAGGCAACAGTACGCAGAATTAGGTCGTACTCATACAACTTTTTTGCATTTTCCAGTGTTCTTTTTTTATACATTGTTATTTTTGAGTGCTCTAAAAATCGTGCTTGTTGTGTCAAGCCAAAACTCTCAAAACATGTAGTTGTGATAAAACTGCGCCTTTCGAAAAGTCCAGTGTGTAATCTCAAAAAATAATACTGGAACAGCAACACGATTGGCATTGAATAGAAACTATGTGTATACTATTCTTCTTCCTCTCATTGAAAGCATGCCCTGTAGTCGTGCACATAATGCTGTGAAAAGTTTACAATTTAATATTTGCTTTTGCAAAAATGTTGGGTGATTGTGTGTGTTGTTGGGCACGCACTCGTCTACTGTTGAAATTGATATCGATTGGTTATCGAGTTGATTTACATGCAGTGGTAACATTCAGGGTTGTGACTTTGGCTATGAGCGTTTCCGCCTACGATCATGACCACAGCTATATGGCACCTCCGCATCCATCAACTCAGGCACCACCACCGCCTGCACAGCGTTCGGTACAATCTCCGAGGTAAGAAATTATGGATGCTGCAACAATTTCCTGAGTTTGAATCCTTTCATTTTGTCTTTTTGTAGTGACTTTTCCATTTGGTATCTTTACAAATTTGTCATGATTTAGTCAACGGTATCTTACTGCTCACCCGATCTGTTGATGGTGCTAATGTATTTAATGGAAAACCTGAAATTAAAGGCAGTGTCCAGGCAAAACCTCGATTTCTAGAAAATCCACTTATCGCGGGTTATCCGCAACGCGGAGTCCGAAAATCTACATCAGAAGGCGCAAACGGCGAGAACATGCGTTTTTCAAAGCCTTACAATTTGAAATTCGGCGGTCCCCGCTAGGCTGAGACGCAGAGTCACTGCGGGACCCTACGATTTTGACTGTGGCGGTATGCGTACTCTGTCGGATAGCAGGAACCCCGCCACAAGGCGAAAGTTCTCCCACTTTCCGGTCGTTTTTCTTGCTTTAGGACGAGCGTTATGACCTCGCACTTGCGCGATGTTGTTTTTGAGGAGGGTCACTTTCGCATGGCACTGAGATTTCAAAACCCCCAACTTGCCCGGACACTGCCTTTCTTCTTCAGTTTTACAGACAATTCGTTGTTTTCAAAATATTGTTCTGAACAAGTATGTACCATGATTTAGAGTGTCTTAAAAATGCTTACATCGTCTTCCAGATTCTTATGGAGGCGGGTTGCGGACTTCCCTGATTTTTAGGATAAACTTGTTAAACCTCCACGTTAAGTACTGTATCTCGTACCCTCTCGTTAAGCTTATCCTTAAAGTCAGAGAAGTCCGTGATCCGCCGAACTAATCTGGGAACCGATCATACACATGATTAATCACGAATCTAATCAGGTTTGAGCTTCCCTATAGTTATCATTTTGTAGATCTGGCTTCAGCAGAAAACGGTCAGAATTAAAAAGGCCATGACTATCGACTATATAAAGTAACTACAGTGACTAGCTGCATTATTGGACGAGCTACAAGCTTCCATATGGATCTGTTCTTAATTCGAACTTTGCATGCACGATTTCCTTGATATTCAATGGCTCATAACTTCGTCCGCAAAAGGATTTAGCAGAAGAAAGACAAATTTGGGATTATCGTTCTATGCTGCATCTGATTGTATGCTTGTTTGAAATGGCCGCTTTGACTTTTGACCAACTTGTTGGCACAATACAAAACAAATCACCTCTCGCTTTGTACTGCATCTTACATTGCAGTAGGAGCTTCTGTATACGACGCCATTGTGACTTAGTATTGTCACTTTCACCAACTCAAAAAGTTAGGAGTGAATTTATTGAGCTTTAGAACCTCGCACACACAGTTTTCCAGATTTTTTAAGAATATTTTTGAAACGGTAGCCGAGTCATAGTGGCACTCTATACTAATGTCCTATTATCCTTACACAAAACGACCATTGCTTTGTTTTCTATTGTGAATCAAGTTGAAGCCAGATTTACATAGGTCCGCTCAAGACCTGAAGGCAAGATCGCTACGATCCAACGATGTGTACATGCTTTTGGGACACCATATATTGTGGATGATGTTTTAGACGCATTAAGTATTTATCAGAATCTCTTTCTGTCCAGTTCACATTCAATCTTTTGTTTTCGTTTGTTTAATTCTTTTCGATTTCATATACTATCTTCTACGAATTCTCAACGTGAGCTTACGAGATTAAAAATTTAGGGTGGCCACGGTGAAAGCTGGAACGTTTGTTCGATCTCCCGTCGTACAAATTCGATCTGGGCAGGTGTGGCGATCGCCAACTCAGTCACATCCGCAAGTGCCTGGAAGCCAAAGCCCGTTAATGAGTCGGTTCTAGTTTTCTTCAGTTTATTATGAGTTTCTCAATTTTCTCGTATAGCATATGCGCAGCATTCTGCACAGAACTCCGCAGGCCCAGGAGTTCAACGAACTCGACAAATGGTGGTGCAGCCAGCACAATTCCAACAGCAACAGCATACAACTCCGCAACGGCCGCTATACCAGCAAAAACCTTTAGTACAAGGCGGTGGATACGTGTACCAACAGCAAGGTTTGCACAACTTTTTTCATACCGACGCTCAACCACGTTGAGATTAATTGTATTATCGTACCATCTTTGTTCACTTGAAAATTTGAGGATGTTATTTACAGTGCGATATGTAAGTGGCGGGCATCAACAAAGAGATTCACAGCAACAGTATGCGTATGCATCGATAACCAGCTCACAAACACAAATATCCAATGATTTCTCCGCTGATTACTCATATGACAACGGCACGACTTCTCTTAACCTAGCTGTACCTATTCGAGAACCTTCACCAGAACCAGTAAGTTTTGAGATATTAATAACTAGAAGTTATAGTAATGGCAAAGTTTATTCGCATTTCTTGTAGTATTTTTTGCCAAAACCTATTTTCGTGCATACAACGCTTTAGTCACTTGAAATTTTGAAGTTAGTTTATCTATATCTACATCAAATTGTCGCATGCAGGTGGAAGAGGAACCGCCTGCTCCGACTGCTCAAGAAGACCCATCAACCAGTGAAGCTGTTGAAGAGAACGATGACGAAGAAGATGGAGAAATTGATATTCAAGTATGTTCATATGTCTCCGTGTCCATGTCCTATGCGCCTGTAATCCACTTTCTCATATTTAAGAACTTATATTTAGATAAGGAATGTGGTATGCAATTACACTTTGCCACTACATATAGATCTTCGGAAGTTAGCGTTGAGCACCAATAATGTAACATTCGATAGAGGTCGTGGGGTAAGCTCTTACTTTTTTTCATAATAGCCACTCTCCGATGTGTACATTTTATTCTGAATTACTAGCTCGATGATATTTTTCTGGGCCATTGATTTATCTTACTCTCGCCGTGCGTGTTCTTATAATTGTCGATTAACTGCATGTAGTTCCCTGTCCGTTAAGGCACGCGTTGCACTTAATTTGTCCGCTTGATCCACTTCATTCACTTCGCTATTGGTCGGACTGATTCAACCAATTGCGAATTGGATCAAGGGGATCAATGGCGCTTGTCTTATACTTTGGTTGCTTGAACTTAGTTGCCCTTCATTTGTTACGGTCTTTCCTTTTCTTCGCGCGCTAATATGGTAGTGTTGAATGTTAATAAATGCTCAAGGGACCCGTCATACTTCGCCGACAAAAGCCCGAAAAAGCCCAAAAGCGCCAGAAAGAGCCGGAACACTTCTCGCACGTTTTGGCGCTAAGGCATGTGTGTTGACTTCGCAATCGAGCCTTTTTGTCATTTTCTGTCGTCCGCATGGTAAGATAATGTCAGAATTCTACCAAAAGTTCGTTTCTACATTCAGGCTCTTTCTGGCGCTTTCGGGCTTTTTCGGGCTTCTCTGGGCTTTTTCGGGCTTTTTTGGGCGCTTTTGGGCTTTTTTCGGCGAAGTATGGCGGGTCCCTAACCGTACTCAGGTTTTTCCTTGAATGCACAATTGGTTTGGCAATTTTTCTATCCACATATTATCCACCTGTTGAGGTTCTTCTCAAGCAGAAGCGCAGGCCGAATTGCTATGTCAAAATCTATAGCTCTGGCAAGGTCTACATTGTAGGATGCAAGAGGTAATATAGTTTCCAATTTGAACATCTCCTGCCAATCCATACACTGATATACAGTGAGGCTGATTGCATGATCGCTGCTCGCAACATCGCTAGACGGGTGCAAAAGGCTATGAATAAAGAGAAAGACATTGTTAGGATACGGAATTATAAGGTTTGAGCGTTTAAACTCATAATTTTTTCGAGTGCTTAGTCATATGATAGTGGTTTCAGGTCTGCAACGTATTAGCCACATGTCGCATGCCGTTTGGTATAAAGATAGAAGAGGTATTTTTTGGTTTTTGGTCACTTGTTGATTAGCCTGCTTTTTTGAACTGCTTTCTTTTATTTCAATGTTGCTTTATAGCTAGCACAGCAGTATCCTGCTCAATCGCAGTATGAACCGGAGTTATCAGTGGGCCTGGTGTGGCGGTCGCAAGATCCAAAAGCCACTCTGCGGATTCATACAACTGGTAGCATCACTGTTACAGGAGGTAAACCTGCTTGTCCCCTCATGTTCGCTTCTTATGAGCTGTTTGTTGAATAGAGATTTGTAAGCTTATGCGGAGTGCATTCGCCATTTTGCTCCCATTCGACCATAAAAGAACTGCACACTCTGCACAGAGGGCGTGACATAGTGCATGCAGATGCATTTAGCTTCAAAAAAAAATTGGGTTGCACATCATATTTGCTGGTGGTCACTAGTTCCCCGAATCATGGCCATTGTTCGCATATTCGGTTTTGTGTGACCTACATCAAGATGAGCGTCTTTAAGGGCTCATTTCCTGACAGTGTCCAGGGAGTGATTGATTGGAATGTGCTCACAGTTTTCTTTGCAATAAGATTGTCGCTTACTACCCATACTTGGCTGTTCCAGCGTCTTCCGAAAATGATGTGATGCGGTCTATTGAACTAATATATCCCATAGTGCGCAAGTTCCGCTGCGCTATGCGACATCGAGCGGAGCCCAAACGAAAGCGACCACCAAGGAAAAGAGCCGCTCCGTCGTCTTTGTGAGTTCGAGTTGACAATCGTTGTTTAAATGAGTAGTTGCTCTCAATTGATTGCTCAATCGATTGCTTTCTTAACTTTGTGACCTCTGCGTTTGTGCATATGATATACAGGGCATTCTAAAAATCGTGACGATGGCGCGACCGCGCGCGACACACATGCACCTTCGCAATCGCATTTTCTTGCTTGTAATCTCTTCTCAATTGGTTTTTCTGCTTAGGTATTATAGTACTTGGAAACAAGTGACTGAACTGAGCGCTGAGGTTATGCTTTTTTGTATGAGGTAATGCTGCTGTGGGCGCAAAGACCGCAATCAAATTTTCGTCACGGTTTTATGAGTGAACCTTAGGCAGGTGCCAGAGTAAGCGAATATTTTGTTCAGGTTGGGGTCCCGCGCAGAATTGACGTCACTTGGATTGACGCCAGCATGGTGAGAGACGTCAATTCTGCGCGGGACCCCAACCTGAACAAAATATTCGCTTACTCTGGCACCTACCTTACATTACCGACTGCTTGTGCGCTAATCATAAACCAAGAAAGCCATTCTCATATCTGATTTTGTGGGATGTCAGTCATTTATAGTTTTGATATTTTGGATTTGCTGGCAGGCTTTTACTTTATCGAAAACATCTTACGCCACAGAAAGCTTTACATGTTCATGTAATAGCTGACAAGCTGTTGCACTGATAGTTTACATGAATTCTCATATCTTGACACCGTTTTAGGGGTGGGACGTTTCCCGCCAAGCGTCCTGCGTTGTCTGGATCGGGTATTGTTGGCAATAAAATGTACTTCAGCGATGAAGAAGACATCTACGATGAAGAAGATCTACTTGATGATGAAGACTGATACTGTGTGTTGAGCCTGGAGGTTAGGAGGTTCTTATAATCTCGAGCAAAGGCTCGTTTCACATGACTGTGATGTTCCAATGCAGACATGTACCAGTCAATGCTCTGCCTGACTACAGTTTGTAATATACTAAGTGCTCGTACTCTGTTACATATTGTGATTTGCTTTCGTGATTGCTGTTAGTCGTTTTTATCTGTTTGTCAGTGTTCCTCTGAACTTAATTTTTGTCACTTCCTTTATATGAGTCTCGTGCGTGAGGTAGCTATGAATAGCTGGACACATATAACAGCATCTTCTACCGATGAAGGGTAATTTTGGCGGTTGGGGAGTATTCCTTCCTTTTTTCGATATGTGTACATCGTTTTTTATTGTAGACTGCTCATATTAGCGCCGGGCAGCTCGATCAGGGCTCTATTGATTGAGCGCTTTACTTTTGTTGCGTTTTGAATTACCCAACTTACTGATGATCAGATGACATTCTTTTACTATATAGATCAGATGTCATTGATCTCACAATCATTGATGTGTTGCGATGGAGAAAGATTGCATGTTCCAACTTTCTTTAGTTTCTGCAATCACTCATCAAGCTAAGTCAGGCTAACTGGGAGGTAATCTGCCAGTATTCTCGGTGGCTTTTGATATAGCGACTAGTACCCATCTATGAATACTTTCATTTTGAACAATATTCTTTCTTTGCGAGTTGAAATTTGCTGTTATGCGTGTGTATATCCATTTGTGCTTTCGTGCCTATTCGTGCCGCAGACTTCCACTCTTTACTTAGTAATTGAATTTTCATATTTATCATGATTGGGCTGTAGAATCGATTGCATATGAGCGAACAATTTTATTGAATGCCCGTGACTCATAGCTTCTTACTAGATTATTACTAACCCAATCTCAATTTCTTTTGTTTGAGATTCTACAATAAATGAGCTTTCATTCCTTATGTTTCTTCTGAAGTCTACTTCGCCTTTCAGCACACCTCAGATTTGTTAAACGTGGATCTTTTTTCCTTCAGTCTTTGATAGTTAAGGCTGAAAATTTTCCATTGCTTCACCCTGAATTAACACATTGACGACCACGCAGTTTTTCAGTTGTCTGCCTTCTGGAACCAAGGCCTTTTACGGACCAGCCCACATAACTATAATTACGCATACTGCCATCTACAGTGCACCTACAGTAAATATGAAAGGTTGACAGATAAGGCAGAGGATCCACAGATTCAATGCAAAAGAAAGCTCATACAATGAGTTTATCCCAGGATAGTAGTATTTTAACAAAATTTGAGCCTTGACCCACATGGTTTGTCAAGCGGTCCCACGCGGTAATCACTGCTTGACACCACAGATGCGATAGGTGGAGAAATTTCTCTGGCCCCTTCACTTTAGGGCCGGAAGCTGGCTGACCCCTTTCACCTGAGGTTGAGACTAGAATCAAGGTATAACGACAGAATTAAACAGCTGTTACACGGCACTTTTTGTCTGGTATTGAAACGGCCTTTGCTCTTTCCTGCTCTTCTCCTCAGGCATCAAGACTGCAAGAGAGCATCAAAGCAACAGCGTTCTGTTCAAAACGCAATCTTGAGACCTCCTGCGCACTCAGAGTGGCATTTATAACGAAACATAATCAAAAATTGAAAGGATGCCTGATTTTTTGAATAATTAACATTCTATCAGTGATACACATTGTCGCAAGAAAGAGTTGAGCAAGAGTAGAAAAGCTGGACTGGCCAATGATGAATGCTTGTTTACTGAGAAGAATCGTATCATATCTCCTTTCATTGAAGAGAATAATAACAAGTAATAGAGAATTTAGAATACACATTTCTCAAGCTTTCGAATCCTATATAAAGCTGAATGTCTGTTTGTCTGTATGTATGTCTGTCTGTATGTATGTATGTCTGTACGTATGTTCCGAATAGAAAATTCCATTTCTAAACCGATCGGGACCAAACTGGCACACATACACTTCGGGCCCCGGCGGGTGTCATAGGCTACTTTTCATCATCGATCAACATCGATTTTATCGATTTTTTGCAAAATTTGAGCTACAGGGCTGGGAGTTGGCACAGGGGGGTAATCGAGCATGCTGATCACCCCCGTGGGGTGATCAGCATGCTCGATTACACCCCCCCCCCCTGCCAAATTCCAGCCCCCTAGCTCAAATTTTGCAAAAAATCGATAAAATTGACATCGATCGATAACGAAAAGTGGACTGTGACACCCGCCGGGGCCCGAAGTGTATGTGTGCCAAGTTTGGTCCGGATCGGTTAAGAAATGGAATTTTCTATTCGGAACATACGGCGGAGCCGGGTAAGCCAGCTAGTCATATATAAAACTTCGAAAAAGACCATCTTGGTTTCAAAGATGAAGCATGAGATAATTAGCCAGAAGTGGCTGATATTGTAGCTAGATCAAACGTATCTCGCTTTACAGAAAAGCTAGGAAAAAGGAGACGGTCTACGTCGATTCCTCGTGTTCTTAGCTATCGAATGGATACAAAGTGTTAGTGCACAAAAGCTTTCCCATTCCAAGTCTTGTCTGGCGACCCGTACAAGCCAAGAGCGGGGTGGGGCAAGCTAATAGTAAATATCTCCACTTCATTTTTGGAAAGCCACGAGTTTTTTTCACTCAACGACCTATACACCATTAAAGCTCACGAAACAGGGATTCGACGTACACCGTCTCTTTTTTCTAGCTCCCCCCACTCAGAGATACATGGCATTTTAGCTAAAAACATGTGTGTTTTTGTGAGGAAATTTTTATGCAAAGACTGAATGAAGATGCCCAGTTGTCTAACCTCATTGCGGAGCAAAACTTCGCCAGTAAACGTAGAGTTCCTTCTTTTTTTCAGAAATGGAGCGCAAAGTGATGCATATAATCAACTGATGCTGAAGTTAGATATGATTTTTTATACCTGATTTCAGAGGAAAGCTGGAAAAAAAGAGACGTCTACCTTGATTCTGTATGTTCCACACTTTCGAATGGTATGTCGATGATGAAACATGAAGCTTTCCTAGATAAAAGTCTCTGTTGGATGACACTCCAAAGCCTAAGCATTGAGAAAATCATATTACACCTCTGTACCACTTGTTTTCCCTCTTTTCACTCCCGCTCCCGTTAGGCATGTACACTTGCGTCAACATTCACCTTAAGGCTCAGCTACCTCTTCATTCTAGGTCAGAAATAGCCAAAACCCCCTTCACCTGGAGGGGATCCTGCTCCCCCTATTGCACCTATGCTTGACACATCATGTGTGTCAAGCAATCGTCAATATGTCAACTACCTAATTCTTTCACCTTTGCTTTTGTAATTTGAAAGAGAACACTATTCTGGAGGAAAACTCTAGTAGACAACCCAGCCTTATTGACCCGCAGCGCTTCCCTATCATCAACATTGACTCTAGTGACGCATAGCAATATTCTGCAACATCAAAGGCAGTGTCCTAACAAAATAATGGGTACCGGGATTTTGGAGCGTTGTAGTGGCAGCCCCCCCCCCCCTCACTAACTTACAAGGGAATGGTCAGAAGTCGAAGTGGCCAAACCATATAAGCTCCATACCGTTTGATGCAGCATAGAATGCTAATTTCAAATCTGTCTTCCGTATCTGCAGAGCGCCTTTGTAGGCGAAGTTACGAGCATCTTTAATTTAGAAAAATCGTATACAAAAACTGCGAAATTAGGGAAATCATTGCTCTTTCAGCTCATCTCTAGGTACGGGTCATATGAAGTGACCTAGTTGCATGTTTTGGTCCAACTACCAGGAATAAGGGTGTCGACTCCCCTTACCTGAGTGTGTAGCGGTGTCTTACATAGGAATGGTCATCATATTTATTATATACATAAAATACAGATAAGGAAAGGGGGAGGGGAGCAGCTAGGCTGCACGGAGTGGAGGTGACTGAAGTGCCAGTTGCTGGCACGAGCTTATATATGCGACTGAGTGTAAACGGCTGGACAGTTGGTGGATGCTTCCGATAGCAAGCTACATCCAACTATAGGGTTACACAGCGTCTACATCCTGACATCTCCATTCCTTCGAGAAGCTCGTCCTCGAGCTTGTTGTAGCAAGGGTGATGTTGGTTATGGTATCATGGCAGCGGAAGGTGTTCGTTGTCGTTATGCACGCGGAGTTAGGTAGGTGAACTGCGTAAACACTCACTCAGATAATCGCCGGGGGCAGGCGGTCCGCAAACTCGCGCTTTTCTGCAGGCGGTCAGCAGAATTTTGGGGCGTGGCCAAACCTTCAGCGGGCGGTACTTCCGCGTTCTGCCAGCGGGCAGCAATACAGAATTTTCTGCGAGCGCTCGTCAAATAATATCTTCCAGCGAGCGCTGGCCAAACTTTCAGCAAGCGCTCGGACTCTTTTTAGGTATTTTCGGGCGTACGTCGAGCACAGGTAAGACTCTGTGTGTTAGAGGTGTACCGTTGGTTTAATTACTCAAGTTTGAGGTACTTTCTCTCAGCGGAAAGTACCTGGGGGTTGCGCGGTCCTCCACAAAGGAACGTGCGGCCCTCGAAATTTTTGCATATTCTCGCGGAATGTCCGCGAAAATGCGGCCACTGCGCCGCAGCTAATTCATAAAGAAACCGCGATTGTTCTTCAAGCATTCGTCTTTAATTTTGCCAACTTTCTTCCAAATTTCTGCAAGCGGGCCGCAAAAAATCAACGAACTATTTTTCCGGTGCGCGCTTGCTCAAAATTCGCATGGCCGCCTGCCCCCGGCGGTTATCTGGACAATCGCCGGGGGCAGGCGGGCACCGGAAAAATAGATTGCTGATCTCTCGCACCCCGCTCGCGGATTTTTTGCAAAGCAATTAGGAGTTTTCGGAAGACCGCTTGCTGAATTCTCGATTCCTCAGAGATTCAGCAATATATCTGCAAAAGATAAGAGCGAAAAAAATTCAACAGGCGGTCTCTCAAAAATCCGCTGACGTAGCAAGCGGTCTTCCGAAAAGTCCTGATTGCTTTGCAAAAAATCCGCGAGCGGGGTGCGAGAAATCAGCAATCTATTTTTCCGGTGCCCGCCTGCCCCCAGCGATTGTCTGAGCAGTTACGACCTCTCCTATCCCGGGCACTTCGAAAAGCTCGTCCTCGAGCGGAAGGACATCGATGGTCTTAGTTGGTCTTAGGAGTAATCGGCATACAACATTGGAAAAAATGATATTGGTGGCTTTCCGTGCAAGACTGGCATGGAGTTCTTTTTGGAGATGGGGCAAAAGGTGGGAAGAATTGGATTGCATTGAACTACGGGTTGACATACATCAATATTGTGCATTTTCATGGGTGTAAGTGAACATGAAAGCTAGTCTTACAAAATTACAAGCGAAACTGTTTTGACGGGGTTGCTCAATACAGTAACAAATCAATCTTGAATTATCAGCTCAAAATGGTTATGAATGTAGACCCTATGTTAATATACATACATGTATCTCAATCATAGCTCTATCATAGACGTAGGGACAAGTGTGGAAGTAGTGACAACATTTATGCTACTTTCTACACAAGGACGAGATTTTAGACTGCTACAAATTTGTTTTGTACGCTGCTTGATTAAAGGAACTTCTTTGAATCGCCTTTCCAAAGAAGATAGATTGACACAGCAAGAAAATGAAAATCGAAACTCACTCAAAATGTGGTTGCGGATCGTTAAAAATTTCATGCATTTTTGCTAGAAAATTACTAGATAAATGAAAAAAAAGAATAATCAGAAATCCGAACAACTGGTTTTTTTGCTGTAATTGTCCAAAATTGTTGGCATATTTTTTTTCATGAATGATATAACAGAATATCTGGAGAATCGTGTGGACGCCAACAATTTTTTTCTGCAAGCATCTGTATGTCGGCCCTCCTAATCTATTCTTATGTTTCTGAAAATAGAAGTTTGATTCGAAACATCAGTCGTTAGGGGCATACATACAGATATGATCATTGGAATACAATA